CTGGATGTTTTATGGCCCAGCTGGCATTAGCTTGGCGTTTTGTAATCTACAGTAGCGGCTAAAATTGTGGAAACCTTTTGGGAAAAGTGTATTTTTGAGGTTTGATGGCTAATAACACCATTTTTGGGGGGAACAGTACCATAAAATTATATATCAATGGGAAGATAATTTAATCAAGAATGTAATGCAACATAGTTTGTTCAATTATCTGTACTGTATTCTATGAAAGATTATAGCCAAATAACCAGAAATAGGAAGCACAACTTGCTTAGGTTGATCTCATGTAGCTTTTCTTATCTGATTGTAGTCAATGAGCGTGAGTGTTTAGAGAGCCAATCAAGTGTCATCTTCTTTTGGTAATGAGTCAATCAGATCACAGTAGGGTTCAGCTATTGATGTCCTGTATTGAAGCTGAGAGGAGGACATTTGTCAGTGTATTATGTGATCGCTATCAAGTTGGTTGGGTTTTTTTCTTTCATTTAGTGAGCTTGTAAAACGTCATAAAATTAAAGTCATGGTGCCAAGAGTTGACTGGTTGCCCAGAAAGCGATGTAAAATAGTATTATTAAGTGAACAAGGCTACAGTTACAAAGAAATTAGAAGAAAAATGGGTGGAAACCTAACCAAAGGTGGCATTTCTACTGTACACTTTTCCTAAAAGGTTTCCACGATTTTGGCCGCTACTGTACGAGAGCGGGAAAAAACCTACATACTGTTTTCTCATCTTTTCAGGATTATGGTGGATGGTCCTTTTGGCACAGCCAGTGAAGATGTCTTCCAGTATGAGGTGGCCATGTTGGTGGGAGCTGGGATCGGGGTGACTCCCTTTGCTTCAGTCCTGAAATCCATCTGGTACAAGTTCCAACATGGTGACCAGGAACTTCGAACCACAAAGGTAAACTCAGCTGGCTTCTCCTCAGCCTGTTTGCAAGAAGTCTTTAAGGTACAGCCCTAAAACAGTTCTTGAATTTATGTCTTGCAGGCTTAGGCTAGAATCAGCACATCATGTTTCTCCAGAAAGATGAGAACAGGGTTAGACATCGGGCTCTTCTAAACTGTCAAAAATTCTCCATGATCAGGAATTTTCCCAGCCTTAACTGGGAAAGTGGAATCTGCAGCATTTATTGATTTATTTATTATATACTACCCATCACACTACTCGTGTGACTCTGAAAGGCTTACAAAATAATAATAAAAGATAAAACAGAAAAGCAGTTAACCTTAATGAAATAAAGACGAAAAGACCGGATGCAAACATCTTCTCTATTACTCAGCCAAGATTGCCTTCCATCCAGATTTTATAATTTACTAGCACTGGGTCACGCAACCCGGCTTATGGATTTCAGCTGAACACTTATTGGGTTATGCACTTTCTATGTGCCAAAGTTGAGGAGTTTTCACTGAGTTTCTTTGAGGCTTAGTGCGCTGTGACAACTGAATTTGTTTGGGGTTTGATGGTCAACATAAAAAGGGAAACCCATGCAGTAAGAAGGGCAAAGATGTTGTGATCCCCCAAAAGTTGCACTTCTCTCTGATCTCAACATCTTTCAACTTTGTGTTGAAAAAAGAAAAGCAAAGATCATATGTCAGCAAGGCATTATGACGTGGAGGATGAAAACTGGCATTTTAAAGCATGTTGTCATTTCCATCTTTTCTTTTCTTTTCTTTTCTTTCTCTTGTGGGCTTCAAGATTTACTTCTACTGGATTTGCCGAGAAACAGGAGCATTTGCCTGGTTCAAACACCTCCTTTCCTCCTTGGAGCAAGAGATGGAGGGATCTGGTAGAGCAGATTTCCTAAGCTACCATCTCTACCTCACTGGCTGGAACAGAAGCATGGTGAGTTGGAGGGCTAATTTTTGTGAACCTTCTTATTCTTGGAAGATTGAGCTTCTTGACTTATCACTTGGCAGGAAGTCATCTGCATTTCATAGTCTGCTGCCTGAGCTGGAAATCCAGAACAAAATACATTGTTCAATGTTAGTTTGTTCAGTTTTATCAGACAAGTCAGGTGTTGTTTTACCAGGCAAGTCAGGTGTTGTTTTCACAGCTCAAAGTGTTATAAAACCATTTTAAAGATAAAACTGGAGGTGAAAAGTCACATATTTGACTTCTAAAAGGAATCAAGCCAAGATTTCCGAGAAAGGGACTTCATATATGAAGCTTTGCCACTGAGAAGGCCTACCCTACGATGGTCTCTAGGTTCTAGGTCTCTCTAAAGGAGCCTCCAAGATGTTCTTGGAAATAATCTTCAGGAAGGGCTGGCATACAAATAAAGTACCGATAGTCCTCTAGTTAAAATCACAAATGGGACCAGAATTTCCATTGCTAAGCATGGAAGTTGATAAGTGAACTGTGTTCAATTTCACCATGGTTATTAAATGAATCCAGCTTCTTCCATTGTCTTTTCTGGCTAAGCCAGCCAATTTTCTTTTATTAACCAGGATTTATAGCTTATTGAACAAAGACAGCAAGTTGTTTATTTAGCAAACCACAATTAAACAAATGAAAAGAGTTTATGTTTGCGTAAAACGTGCTGCTTAGCCGGTTTGCTTGGCTAAGTGTTTATGTATAGAGGTTCATTAATTAGGTTATATTCCCATGAATGGTAGAGAACACCTTGACTCATTCCAAGACCTGGAAGATGCGTTTTAACAAACAGTTGAGGAGATTGTTGGGACTGCTATGCAATGTTGACTTCGGCCACCTTTTCTTTGTTGGAAACTAGGTTGGCCATGCAGCTCTCCATTTTCAAAAGTCCACTGACCTGGTGACAGGTCTGAAGCAAAAAACCTCTTTTGGGAGACCCATGTGGAATAATGAATTTTCAGCAGTGGCAGCCACACACCCCAGGTAAGAAATAGCTTTTAAACCAGGTAAAGCTCCTTTCTTCTCATCTAACCCAGTCACAGTTCCTCTAAACAGCAATGATTTTTCAGGATTTCTGGAAGAAGGAAAACTTCCCCATCATTGGCTACCTGAATTTTGAAAACTGGAAATGCAGTTCTGATGCCTGGAATTGAATGTCCAGATGCTCTGTCACTGAGCTATGGTCTCTTCTCCAGAACATTGTGGACAGGGAATCAGTACCCTGGAGAGCTCCATATTTTGTTTTTTTGTGTGTGATGTATCAAAGATTTATCTGGTTAATCTTTTATTATATTTCCATGTCTACCAAGTTACTTTAAAGAATCCATGCCTTATTCAGTTCCAAATACATTTGCCCCATAAGCTAACATTTTAAGACATGTTCTCTCTTTTGTGATAAAGAAGGAATGTATATAGTGCTTGCCATTTATGGTTTTATAAATACTTGTATTATTAATGCTTTCTTAAACAAGCTAGAGCCAGTCTTGAAAAATGGTGGCTTGTCTATTCTTAGTCTCTTCTTTGTCTTTACGTAGTTCTGTGTTTTGTAAGTTAGATGGACACAAAAATAGGCTATGAAATCATAAACCAATTCATTGTCGGTGTCTGCATATTACACTAAGCCGTAGCTGCAATGTGTAAATAAACAGGAAAAAAAAATCTTCATTGATCTATAGAAACCATGGATTATTCACTCGCCCAATTTGCTCATCATCTAAAAGCAAACCCACCTACATTGTTTTGTTCACCAGCCAATGTTTAAATCTCTCCACCAACCACAGGGTGCCATTTTGTTCCTAGCCCTTAATAAAATAATGGTCAAACCAGTTAATATTGCTTCCAAAGCCTAGTCTAGAGGCAGTTCCTAAGAACGTTCATTCCAACTGATTTATGTTATTTTTATTCTAGGTCTGTTGTGGGTGTGTTCTTGTGTGGACCAGCGCAGCTGGCAAAAACCCTGAGAAAGTACTGCAGTCAGCACTCTAGTCTGGATCCCAGAAATGTCCAGTTTTACTTCAACAAAGAGAACTTCTGAAACCGCAGGACTCAAGTCAGAAGGGGAAAACTATTAAACGCTTCACTGAACTAAGTAATGACCGCCAGACCAGAGTTTGCAACTTTTAACAGGCGGTGTGCGCACTGCTTTCAAGTTTACATATTGTGGGCGTAACTTTTTTCTATTTATTTTTTTACACTTAAATAGCCAAAATGTGAACTTAAAAAAAAATAATAATGCTGGGAACCAATTGAGACTAATAAATGGTCTCCTTCCGATTATATAGATAAAACCAGATTCTCTCTTTTGGTGAACTGTGATATCAGGATGCACATCAACTTACAATTTTTTTTGTTTTGCTGCTCTCTGGCAAAAAGTGCAAGCTGGTGACTTTTTGTACTGATGACAGGAAATTTGGGGACAAAAATGTTCAAATAACCGAGCCTGCGAAATGTGGTCCTTCCCAAAGCTGCAGTAAAAGAATGGCCCATTCAAACATTTGATTCTTGCTTCATCCGGCCATCATTATTTTGACCACTGTGTTCGTAAATCTATGCTGATGTCACATCCTCAGAGCTATAATCAACTCAATCTTCTGTTCAGCTAGAGAGTCAACATTTCCCAGATGTTGCCCTTATTTTTGCAAGGGCTGCAGACAATATTCAAGCAATCAGCTTGCTCGGAGTGCTGTGAATTGATTACTCTTGTGGTGGGCAATTACAAGGATGCAACATGACAGGTGCATAAACAGCAATCCGATAAGGAGTTACTCCAATGCTAATGTTAATGTCAAGGGTTGTAATGTATTCTGAGCAGGCTTTGAATGGTGCAGAGAGTCAGGATAAGGTTTCTGTTAAATGTTCCTCTTTCCTGTGTTAGAATGCTACATCAGCGGAGCTATAATCTGATTTGCTTACTGGTGGTTTAACTGCTGCTGATTTGCACAAACTGAAACCTGGTCTTTGATGATGTTAGATTTTAGCAGCTCTCTTCCATCATGGGTTTTTTTTTTTCAATTATGTTCTTTTTCCCAAGCAATGCAGCAATCTGAATCCAACTTCTTATCTGCTGCTTAAGGAGAACTGGGTGTGGTTGTAAAAATACTATGGAAATAAGGATAACACACAGGCAAATGTGTTCAACTGTAGAACATAGTTTTATTTGAGAGACAAGAATGGAAACAACAAGGGGGTGGGAACAAAAATCCCCCTTCTCCTTTCTGATTTGGACCGGACGAGGGAAGGGTCTGTGAGCTGCCTTCAGTGTCATTTCCAGCCAGGGCTGAATTTCATTCAAAGGTTTCCTAAGGCTGCAAGAATAAAAAGGACAGCGTTAAGAAAAACTCCCCTGCAGAAAATAAAGAGGACATTTCAACCTAATAGCAAAAGAAAAAAAAAAGAAAAAAGACAAGCAGTGAAAAGTTAAATCTGCATGGTAGAATGAGGTAGCGTATTAAATATGTGAGTGTACTAATATTATAATATAAAAAAATGCAACAAAACATAACAAAACATAACAAAACGTAGCACTCTAGAGAGAGATTTGATTTTCTTTCCAGAATTTCCAATGCTCAGAACACACTAGGCCTGTACGGTAGTTTTCCCTTTTATTAATTAACTTGGGATGTCCTTCGCTTCTCGAGAGTTTATTGAGGAACAGCGTCATTTTGTAATTGTTTATAATTAATATAACACCACGTCACACAGATTTATAGAAATCTTGAAGTGTACACGAGAACAGACAGGTGGCATCGATACTTCACTGAAATAATTAGGAGCGTAAAACGAAACCGGACGCAAAGCTTACGGAGGGTGAAATTTCAACACGGGGCAGGCTGAAGAAAAATTCTTCTGCATTTCACCCTTTATTTATAAAAAAATTGCTCCTGCGTAGGCTAAAAGGCGGGCTTAGAAGTTAAAAACCAAGCCAGAGCTAGAACAGGAAGGCTTTGCCTTAAGCTTGAAGAGAGCTTGTGAAGGGATATTTGCATAATCGCTAAAGATTTTGTGCTGTTTTACCGAAACCGCTGCAGTTTCCCTGCTGCTCCCACTTTGCTTAAGACCCATTTTTACCGGAGGAATGTGGTTCACGGGGCGCCAGTGGATTTCTGTATCTGCTCCTTCAGAATGAGAATGCTCTGCCTTTGTTCGGGAGGCAGCATGGCGATCTGGTCAGCCGTCAGCTGGAGGACTTGCATAATGAGGGCTGCCTGTGGAGAAGTGGGAAAAGAGGAAAAAATTATGCACGAGGCGAGGGCAAGGGAAGCCTTTCATAGACTGGGCTGCTGTAGGTTTATGATCTCTCTGTCTGGGATTGGGGAGAATTCTTCCATAAATCTAGCTGATGGCCTCCCTCTGCTCCGGACCAAGCTCTTACAGAAGAAAATGGACAAGGTGCCCCATTTATACTCGATGGATTGTTAATAGGCAGTGTAAAAAAAAAAAAAAAAAAAAGAATCCTAGCTCGGGTTCGTTGGCATTTCTAAAACACATTAAGGACCAGATTCGAAAAAGGCCTCAAATCTCTCAGGAGCCCCTGGACTCTTAAGAGAGAGTCAAGAGGAGAGGAGAAAGCATTTTTTACAGCCTCTTTTGGGTACCAATCCAAACCCTTTCTTTGCTCCTGTCCTGGAAGGTGGCTAAGAGCCCAGAAACGTAAACACCATCAAAACGAAGCAATCAAAACAACGTGCAGAAAACACCATCCAACCTCAGGTCTAAAACCCATTAAAAATGCTCAGGTGGAGTCTTTAAAAAAGTTAGAAGTAAGAATTCAACTGTACTTTCCTCCATTTGCTCACATCGGAAGGATTGAAAGCTGCCATGGGGAAATCAAAGTGGGGGGAGGAAACCCCACTGTCTTTTTATTAAATCGAGGCCTGTAATTTTTTTTTATCTTTACCTTTTCATGATCCTGGGGTGTGACTTGGTTTTGCCCAGGGCTGAAGCCTCCAGGCTGGGCTGCAGGCTGTACGGCTCCGCCTGCCATGGCTCCAGCCTGCATTGCTGTCCCTGGCATATTAGGAACCTGAGGGCAGAATATATTCAGATTTACTGCCCTGCCAAGCCAAAGTGGAACTGACAATCTGAGAAAAGAGTAATTTTCTCTGAACAAGAAACGAGGGAGGAGGGGGGATAATGGAGGGGTGTGCCAATCTATTGACAAGAGAATAACGGGAAGACCTGACCTCCTGCCCCAGCAAATTTTAATTTCAGACGACAGGTTTCAAAATAAAGCTTTTGCCAAGAGATGGATTTTTCTAGTCCATGATTTGGAGGTGGGGGTGGAGGATGATTCTTTTAATGACAACAAAAAGCTTTGTCGATTATCAGCCAAAAACTTATCATGGAGCCAGCCGTATTGTTTCCACAAACAGCCCTTTATTTAAAGGAGTGGTTCTCAACCTTTTTAATGCCGCGACCCCCAACCGGTCGTAAGTCGAGGACTACTCAACTGGTGCAGCACCGTTTGCAGACTGGGGCTTTTTGGCGGGCTCAGCAGGGCAGAGACAGCCTGGACAATTCCTATTGGCTTTTGAAAGCCAATAGAATTAGACTCTATTCAAGAGAGTCTATTCTATTGGCTTTCAAAAGCTAATAGAATAAAAGGGAGTAGCACAGCTAAGGAAAAGGGGGGAAAAAATGGCGGACTGCGTTGTTTGGCGACCCCCGTGAAATGGTCGTTCGACCCCAAATGGGGTCCCGACCCACAGGTGGAGAACCGCTGATTAAAAGGCTTGGTTCATTTCAACGCATGGATGAAATGACCTCTGAGGCAGCCTGCCTTTTGACTTGGACAATGCCGAGGGCTTTTGGCTAAAGAGGCAGCCAGCTTTTTACAGAGCTGGTCTTTTTTCAGGATGGGGGGGTGCATCCTGGGGGGAGCGCATAAAGATCCAGCTCCGTTTCTTCTGCCCGAGGCTCAAATTTAGCAGTAAACTGCATTGTTGGCAACCCAACAATGCATCTTTGAAAAGATTACAAACTCATTCCAGCCATCGAGCAACCACTTAAAGCACATCAGAATTGCCTGATGTGGTTCATAATCTAACTCAGGGGTCTTCAAAGTTGGCCCTTTGATGACTTGTGGACTTCAACTCCCAGAATTCCTCAGCCAGGCACGAGGAATTCTGGGAGTTGAAGTCCACAAGTCATCGAAGGGCCAAGTTGGAAGACCCCTGATCTAACCCATGCATTACTGAGAGAGAGGTGAGGAGGAAGGATTGGCAGCCTGCGAAATGGCCATTTTGGAAAGAACCACTCATCTTCTCTGGAAGTGAGAGGAGAGGACAGACAAGGTCCCCTACCACCACCCCCAGCCTCTTATTGTTGGTCAGGCATGTGGCAGGACAGACCGTCCTCGACATACGAGCCATCATTTAGCGACCGAAGATATGGCTCACTGGAAAAAAAAAAGGGGGGGGATTTAGGACAGGCATTTGAGGTTCCCAAGGATTTGGCCTCCTCTACAGTTACGTGACTCAACTTCAGGTGTTTGCCCACCGCCTCATTTAGGGTCATGTGCAGCACCTTGTGCTCACGTGACTGTTTTTTACAATGGCTTTTGCTCAAAATCAGCACTTCTAGTTTTTGGCAAAACCCCGCACCCGGAGAACCACAGGTCTGCTCAACAGCTGCCGCAAAAAAGGCCATAATATTGGGTGGGTCCTATTTTACGACTGTTATGACACACGACTGCAATGAGCAGGCTCCAGTGTGGTCATATATCTGTATGAGGATTCCCAGTATAGGTGGCCGGCAGCCAACTGGTGCCCAGAAGGTTTGTTCTGTGCTGCCACACCTTAGCAGTCAGTCCCAGTCCAGCCCAGTCTATCCCAGCACAGCCCTACCCAACCCAACCTTTTATTACAGCCAATGTCCTGATGTTAAGACCTTTACGGGAGAGACATCCCTTTTCAGACTCCCCAGATCACTCCTGATTTTTCATTGGCAAACTGACCGGGTGGCCTTTTGGGTTGTGAAGTAGCTGACTGGGTGACAGCGGTTTAATGAAAACAAACCCAGGGCTGCTGGAGGGAAGCCAGCTTCCTCTTGCCCCACTGGGGATGGAATTATGGTGGTGGTGGTGGTGGGGGTTGTCGCCCCTGCAGGCTGAATTCATCCTACGGGTTGCCCTGCCCGATTCATACTGTCGGAAGGCCGTTTCCCATCAGTGCTAATGCAGCTGGCATGCAACCATCCTGTCTGCTTTAAAAAGAACACTCCCTGGAAAGATTGGCACGATGGGGGGGGGGAAATGGGGGAGGGAAACGCTCCAAGTATCGAGTGTTTGTCTCAGGTGTGGTCTCCACCTACCTGTCGAGCGCCTTGTGGGCCGGCTGCTCCCATAGTCAGAGGCCCTGGACCTTGAATTGCGCCAGTCATTGGACCTCTGGGATTCGGACCGGGGCCCCTAGGCTCCATTCCAGGGCCTCTAGGGGGTTCCATGCCCCTAGGGGGCTCCATGCCCCTAGGGGGCTCCATGCCCCTAGAGGGTTCCATGCCCCTAGGGGGCTCCATGCCCCTAGGGGGCTCCATGCCTCTAGGGGGCTCCATGCCCCTAGGAGGCTCCATGCCTCTAGGGGGTTCCATGCCCCTAGACTCCATGCCTCTAGGGGGCTCCATGCCTCTGGGGGGTTCCATCCCACGAGGTTCTATGCCTCTTGCATCCAGGACTCTGGGTTCCATTCCTCTGGGCTCCATGCCCCTCGCATCCATCACTCTGGGCTCCATGCCTCTGGGCTCCATGCCTCTAGGTTCCATGCCCCTCGCATCCATCACCCTGGGCTCCATGCCTCTGGGCTCCATGCCCCGGCCATCCATCACCCTGGGCTCCATGCCCCGGCCGTCCATCACTCTGGGCTCCATGCCCCTCGGGTCTCTTCCACCTACATAAAAGGAGGGAGACGTTTCTGACACAGGCAAAAACTAGGAGCTCCCCAGCGAGGACAGCCAAGAACCCGCTCCAGCAGTTTCAAAAGGCCCGCAGCCCATCGCATCGGGAATAAGGCATGCAACTATAAAACCAGGTTTTGAATTTTGTTCTGACAATCCAACCCTGCCTTTTGTTTCGGCTCACCGTGGTACAGTTGGGTTGTATGAACTGCTTATATATTTTTGCATCTGCTAGAGCAGGGGTCTCCAACCTTGGCCCCTTTTAAGACTTGTGGACTTTCAACTCCCAGAATTCCTCAGCCAGCCAAGCTGTGCTAGAACCACCCGGTGGAAACACCTGTGGGCCAGATGTTGCTCACTCCTGACTGTGCAGCTTGGAATGACCATTCGGCAACATCTGTGAGGCCACAGGCTCCGAACAGTCTCCCTATGTCATCCAGAATCTTGACCTCATCATTCTTCTCCTGTCCTCCTGGATGGGTTGGGATGTGTTCCGTCTGCATCAACACCTTCACGTTGCCCGCCTCCCTTTTACCTCGGCCATCCATCAAGGGCCCTCGTGGCTCTCCCATCAGGGGACGTGGCTCTCCCATCGGTCCGCCTCTCATTTCATGGGGGGGCAGCCCACGACTGTCGTGCGCGGGCATGTGGTGCATTGGTGGCCCCTGGTGCGGTGGCCCGAGGTAACCTCTGCAGAAAAGGCGAGGAGGGAAGAAAGGAGACATCAGGTGCCAGGTTACAGCTCCAGAGAAGCTCTCTCACCTCTAAATAAAGAGGCTCTGTTTGATCGGTAACCCAAGGCTGACTCTGGCTTGTTTGATGAAACAAGTTAAGACGCAATCTGGGCTCCGTGTATGGTGCAAGAACAGTCAGTATGAGGTCTACAAAAGAGACTGCTGTCTGCAGGAACTCCTGCATAAGGACAAGGCTGCAGGAGGGATGCAAAGAATTGGAACGAAGCTCCCGTTTGACCTCTACACTCAAACAGGAGGGAGGGGGTAATGGAAACAAAGACTGCTTTGCTTGCAACCCCTAATTCTCCCATTGTTTCTGGTCCCTTGGAAGAGGACCCCTAAATACAGTCTCCGTTCCCACCTGCCTGCCTACCTGGGCTCCACGTCTCCAGTGACCGACAGCAACGTGCCTCCCCGTGGGTCATTGGGGGCATCTCCCAGAAGGCCTCGGGGTGGTGGCCCACTAGCTGGCATTGGCCCCCGGTGCATAGGGGCTCGTGGGTCTGGCATGGGCACTGTCGAGGAGGCAAAAAGAAGACTTTGAGGGTCAGGAAGAGAAGCCATTTATAATCGTACGGTTCCACGGTTTTTGAACTGAGGTGCTTCTCCTTCATGTACTCACTTTACCCTGGGCTGAAGCCCTGCAGAGGTTATGACTTGCCTCCATACAGACTACCTTGGTTCCAGTGCTCTCTTCCCTAATCACGCATATTCTGCCCTATCGAGGATGAATAGACTTGAGACAAGCACGCTTCACACACTCGTAAAAGGTCCAGCTTGTTTTGATACAATCCTATCTGTTCTGAACAGCACAAGTGTAAAGATTTTAATCAGTTCCCCCTGGCACTTATTATAATGTATTCATGTGCCCAATGAAAATAGATCAAGCTTCTGCTCCTGTGCGTTTTAAATGGCACGTACACCTGGCTACACTTCTTCGCTTGACCCTTAAAATGACTCCTGTTCAATCCCAAAAAGTTATTCAAGTACATTCAAGGACTGTGCACTCCAGCATCACACTATTTCTATAAGAGTGCTGAGATACTGGTGAAGTGTAACCCAATTACTAAAAGAAAATACACGTGTCCCCGAGCAGCTTATGATCGGAATCCGTGTTTCTTAAAACTCGGCAATTTTAAGATGTGCAGACTTTAACTCGTGTTGTGTAGGGAATTCTGGGAGTTGAAGTCCACCCGTCTTAAAAAGTTGCCAAGATTGGGAAACATCTCAGGTGGTAACAAAGACGGGGAGATCAACTGCAAAAGGGAGAGAAGGAGAAAGCACGGTTGAAGAAGAAAGAGAGAGGCACAAACTATGTGAAGAATACTTAGGATGGTTTCCAAAGAGTATGGTACCCTAATGATAGGTCAGCACAAAATATTCATCCCTCTTTTGTCTAGCACTAGGTGGAGCCTTCCCCCTGCCCCATAGTTAAGAGTTACAGATGTCATTCTCCCATCTGTTTCATTCCAGCCACACCTGCTGCTTCACTGGCAGCTCTACCTAATGGGGGATACATGTTTGTGTGTGCATGAGTCTCGCCCCTCCTTTGCAGGGGGTCACAAGCAAGGGGAGGCCAATGGCAGCTACTGGTACCTTGAACGCGCTCAAGAGAGGCAGACCTGGCAGGTCCCACGGGAGAGAGCTGCAGGTTCCCTGGCCGGGTAGCAGGAAGAGAGGGAGAAAGAGCCGTCACATCAACAGGAGAGGCGCCCGCCACACACATGCACACACCCGGATAGAACATGTCCTCTGGTACCTCTCTGGGGAGAAGTGAGCCTTGGAAGGCCACCCCTTACACCATGGTCTAACACAGGGCTCTCCAAACTTGGCCACTTTTAAGACTTGTGGACTTCAGCTCCCAGAATTTTACGCCACGCCGGCTGGGGAATTCTGGGAGCTGAAGTCCACAAGTCTCCAAGTGGCCAAGCCTGGAGACCCCTGGTCTAATAAGAGATATTAGATGACTGCCAGGTAGAGTCTAAGGAAGCAGGGCTGGAGAGATGGGAAAAGCAGCCGATGAAAAATGCTGGCTAGGTTCTAATGGAGCCTCTTCTTTTCGCAAAGGAGAACTCCAGGGCCTGTTGGAACTTTTAAGACCAACAGGAATGATCAGTTCCATCTCTGGCACAATTAAAAATTATGGTTTGACCCATAAATCCCTTAGGAATCTAGTAACTGGGATCTCAACCATGGCCTAGTCACATGCAAACCTGTCAGAGGCTCAGGTATACTTTTGTCCAGGTGCCTCCCCGTTTTTAGAGCGGAGAAATTAAGTTCTTTCACCCAGCATCAGGTGCCTGTGCTCCTTGATGGCTTTTAATATTTTATTTCTGGTTTCAAGTGCCATTTTGCAGTGGAAGAACATTTCAAGGCCCTTATTATCCAGGTTTTTAATGCTTTGTAAGCTGATTTGTAAGAGCAAAAATTCAGTGTCGCTTGGCGTGGCTGATAACAACTTTCACACATCACAGTAAGCCCTCGTTTTGTCCAGGTTTTTGCTAATTAAGCACTGGGCCATGAACAATGAATTATTAACCACAAAGGCTAATTCAATTTAGAGCCGGCTAACCCAAAGCTAAACAAACCAGGTTACTACATCATGCAAGGCGTAAACCCAAGCAATGACTGGGGAAAACAGACCCAAATTTGGGGCAGAATTTATTTTTATTGATTGATTTGATTTTTATGGCTGCCCATCTCACCAAGGGAGCATGGTGATAAACTGGTATGGAAAGCCAAAATCATGTCTGCAAGATTCATGGCTAGGCAAAGGGGGGGAAAGTGAACTCATTTGTCTCCATTTCTAGAAGAACAAAGTACTTTCAATTTGAAGTACTTGGCCATTTTAATTTTAGAGTTACTGCAGACATGCCTCTCAAAACATAATACAACACTGGAGGAGAAGGAGCAAAAAAAACAGAGGGGAGAAAGGCTTCTCTTTTCCACCCAGTCATTAAGGTAAACCAGATGAATTCAAGAGAATTCTGCAGTTTGTCCCAGGGATAGGACTGGAAAGAAAATAAATATACTGAAAATATATATTGATAGTTATTTACATTTACAGTCAGTTAGCAAGCTTCTGGGACATTTAGCAGCCTGGAAGCGATCAGAGCTTGGGGCTAAAATGGGATTTTGCCTAACCCAGTGATGGCGAACCTTTTAGAGACCGAGTGCCCAAACTGCAACCCAAAACCCACTTATGCATCATCGGGTGCCGTGTGGGCATGGCCCATTGGGTGGGCGTGGCCCACTGGGTGGGCGTGGCTGCAGTGGGAATGGCAGACTGGGTGGGACTAAAAAGTTCAATCAATCAATTCCAACTTTGCAAGATCTTTTTTTTCCCCACGAGAAGTTGAAATTGACTGATTGATTGAACCTTTTTTTTTTTTGCACACGGCGAAGGAGGCCTAAAGCGAAAAGGTTTTATAAAACCCAGCTGAAGGCCTAGGACTGGGGCGACGGCGTGCGTGTCCACAGAGAGGGCTCTGAGTGCTGTCTCTGGCACCCGTGCCATAGGTTCGCCACCACTGGCCTAACCCAACAAGGCAGCTCTTTAAGGACTTTGGGAAAAGGTGGTGGGGGCAGAAGTAATATAACATTTGAATAGCATGCACGGACGTTTCCAGTCCTACACCTCTTTGGCCTCCATCACCAGAACAAAGCAAGCCCCATTTCCTTGTGCAAAGAAAATGTAATTCCAAAAACCAAAAACAAACAAAAAAGCATCTCAAAAAGCGGGCAGCAGCACCCTCTGCTGGCTAAACGAAAGAAAGCAGGCGCAACTTGGTTCGAGCACTACCCCACGGGGAGGGGGGGGGGGCTGGAAGAGTTCAATCAAGGGTGGCGTTCCCGTTTTCTGCATGCCAGTACCTGATGGAGCATGACTGGGGAAAGCATCGCTCTCACTGTCCACTACGCGCAAAGAGAAACGGAGGGACAGAGTTACAGAAAACCTGGCAGAGCTACACGATTGCCTGCGTGAGCTAGTCGGAAAACCTCGTGGCGGGCAATTGTTTTGACAGCCGGGAGATGCACAGTGCATTTCTAGAAGGGTCTGTGTGTGTATGTGTGTGCTGATGCAAAGTGGATGGAGCTGCATCGTGCAAATGGGTGGGGCTGGGGGGGGGGTTCTGGGTTCCCCCTGGTGGATTTCTTTTAAAAAAGCTGCACTGTCTAATTTAGAGGGCTTACGCTGCCTGTTTTAATGCCCTTCCAACTTCACAATAGCGTGAAATCGGGATCTGCTCACGTTGAACCAGAGGAAGATTCAGGGCTGCATAAAAAAGGATTATGGGGCTGCAAATTTATTGCGCCCTGCTTGCAGGAAACCCCCAGTACAGAGACCCTCTCAATTCAAATCTGTCACTGTCCGAGCTGGTAAGATTTCTGTCTCCTAGAGATCTAACCAAGGTGGAATGGTGGGTTTACCTTGTCCGCGTTCCAAGATCATCGGGCCACTCCCTGGCATGCTACCTGCAGGAGAACATTCGCAGAAACTTTCAGGTAGAGGAATCGGCGAAAACAGAAAAGTTTGGGAGCTAAACTGGCCAACTTCATCATCCAGATCAGAATTTCCACAGCATTTTTCAAATCGAAGGCAGTGATGTGTCATGTCAATGAGATGTTTTGAAAAGGAATGGTTCAAAGTAGCCCAAATAGGGGAGAACGCAATACAGGTCTGATTTTCATATCATTGTGATTGAAGAGGAAATGTTTTCAAATCAGGGTGCCTCTGGCTAACCATGATTAAAAGAAACCGAGGATGAGCAAATCCTAATGTTTAACTGTTGAGGTTCACAGACTCAAAATTTAAGAGAAAATTTTTACAAAATGTTTTATAGGTGGCACTTGGATCCTAAAAAGTTATCTTGTATGTACCCTAATTTACAGCCCAAATGTTGGAGGTGTGGTAGTTTTGATGCAACTTTTTTTCATATTTGGTGGACTTGTAAAAATATTAAGGCCTTTTCAATCATGATTTGGTGGAACATTCAAAATATTTTCAAAAGGAAGATAAAGTTTACTCCTCAACTATTTTTATTTGGGATTTTTGAGGATTTTGATGTTAAAGATACTGTTTTAATGTTGAATTTAATTACAGCAGCAAGGTTATTGATAGGTCAATATTGGAAGAAGGATTCGTTGCCTACATTAGAAGAATGGACATTTAAGGTTTCTAACCTTGCAGAAATGGCTAAAATTTCTGTTTATTTAAAGGATCATACACAAGAAAGATATATTATGGTATGGAGAAGATGGATAGATTATATTCAGATTAAATATGGAACTGAAAAGTTCCACTTATTTTATGATTAAATAGTAAGTATTATTAATAATATTTAAATTAAAAATTTTTTTTATTATATAACTGTTGAGGTTCACGTTCTCCTGCTTATTTTATGTCGCCAATGTGGTTCTGACTCCATCATGCTTGAATTCTGCCCCGAGAGATGTGAAATAGGCTGGGAAAGAACAACGTATTGACCCACTCACCTCCTGGAGCCATGGGCCCAGGCCCGGGCACTGAAGCTGGCATCTGGCCTGGAGCAGGTACTCCTCCTTGCATGGGAGGCTGCATCAGGGGAGCGGCTCCATTGACATGCATCCCGCCCTACTCCGAGCAAGGAAAAGCACAACTCACATTAATATTCCCACAAAGAAAAGATCAACAAATTGAAATAATAATCAGTCTTCCCCTAGCAGGGGCCAATTCCAGGCATCCTATGCCCAGCTGCAACTTTATCCATTTCTTAACAGTTTTAACTCTGGAAGGTTTAGCTTTTTGTAGCCAAACCAGAGAAGGAATCTTGCAGGCCCTTAAAAATGAATGAATTTAGGAACTGCAATTCACACAGACCTGCAATTAATTTACTGATTATGTTGCTGGTGTGCTGATTGATTTCATCACTTTCCCGTCTATTTTAATTTGCTTACCATTCGTGGGCTAGTAGTTTTGTAATTACTCATTTTATGAGGTGGTTATTACTGTATCATTTTACTACTTCAGAAATAATTTTAGCAATACCTAAAAACGGAAAAAGATATGGCCAACGAATGTTTGCAAATCGCAATATATCCCCCCCAAATTAATAAATGCTCTTTCAACCCGAAGAGATATGCAACACAGACCGAAGGGGAAAGATTCAACTCAAACAAGAGCTGCTTACGATTGGTTGTGGCTGAGAAGAAGGGACGTTCGGCTGGTTCATCTGAGCATTTGGCCCAGGTCCTGGCCCGGGACCGGCTCCTGGTCCGGGACCAGGACCTTGCCCTGGCCCTGGCTGTGCATTTCCAGGAATCAGAGAGGGGACGCTGGTCTGGCGATGAAGAATTTTCTGGTTGACAGAAGAGAGAAAAATAAAATGCGCATTTATCAAGATAACAGGCGTATGTTCAAGGCACGCGGCTCCGCCCCTTATCCCAAGACCGCAAAGGTTACCAACGTACCAGCGCAATCTCTGGGTCAACAATACGCATCACCACTTGGGCCTGCAGCAAAGCGTAGGCGAGCTGAGGATTCTGCAAGAGCATACTCCGAGCCTCCTGAGGGCTGTTCTGGACACACAGCTGGAAAAACAGAAAAGAGGAGAGTCTAGAACACGAGGGACAATCGACCTGTCATCTTTCAATAACTTTCGAAGCTTTTCTCTACCCGCTCAATATTAAAAAGCCATTTCTATTTGTATCTCCAGTACTTCATTTCTTACACCACTGCGTTCCCTAAGGGAGAAGGAACTGTTCACTGTGTGACAGGTAGGATATGTACTCAGCATCCACAAGGTGTTAGAATGCCCATTTTAAAACAACTTTCCCCAATGCTGCGATCTCTGCTCCCTCCTGCCCCCCCCCCCATCTCAGGCCTTCAGGTTGGGGAAAGTTGCTTCAGAAAGTCTGAAGTGATTCCTAACTAAAAAGGACCTATCAGGTACAAGGTGAGCACACTTTTTATCTAGAAGCCCGAGAGCCTATCGGTATTAATGGGCTGAGAATAATCTGATTTGGTATAAAACAGTCTTTGGTTCCGCAAGGATCCGTTCGGATTATGAGCTCTGTTTCTGCCCCTGATGGACTCAATCCTTCTTCCAATTCCCACGTGCTTTTCTTCTGCATCCAACAGGTTGCCCTGCACTTCCAGCTAACTGCTCTACTTCCGTAGAGAGAGAATTCTCCAACTTAACATCTGCTAATTCAAGGGTATATTTCCTTCCCTTTGCAAAAAGAGATGGAAATGCTTCTGTTAAATGGACGGGCAGAAGACGAGAGATTTCTGACTTGCAACCAAAGGTCAACCTGGCTTCTAGGACAGGATCCTCCCTCTCCTGCAACTAACAAGACAATCAAGCAGCCCTCCCCTCCTCCGTGATCTCTGGATGGCCGGCCCTCCAACCTTCATTTGCTTCATCAGTTCAAACATCTGCTCAGGAGGCAGGCTGGCCACTGCTCTGCTGATGGACTCAGGCGCGTCTTCGGGGTTCACAGGGTCTCCATAGGGTGACTCTATGATGGGAGCACCAGTGCCCAAGCCTAGCAGAGAAATAAAGGAAACCCTTAGGGCCAGAGATCATAGATCACACGTGCTGTAAACAGCACAGATGTCCCACTCCTCCCTCTCTAATCTTCTGATGGGCCTTCAGACTCACTCTTGAGTTCCTCCTTGTTCTTCTCACTGGCTGCATTGTCCACTCGAAGCGCTCTTCCACTAAATTCTCGCCCATTGAGATTCCGCATGGCACTGAGGGCGGTTTCTTGATCTTGATACTCACAAAAGCCATAGCCTTTTGGTTTGCCCGTCTCTCTGTCGTATACCAATCTGGTTGGCAGAGCAGAGAAAACCATGAGAGGGATGCCCAAGAAGATAAGTGAGAGACTGGGGGAGGGGCAGATAGAGAGAGGGAGAGATGGAGACAGGGTGCTCCTAATGAGAACATTAGAATTAAAACTAATTGGCGACCCCATCCCACAAAGGAAACTATTTTGGATTATAAGCCAGAGTAGGATCTCTCTAGATCAGTGGTTCTCAACCTGTGGGTCGGGAACTCATTTGGGGTCGAACGACCATTTCACGGGGGTCGCCAAACAACGCAGTCCGCCATTTTTTCCCCCTTTTCCTTAGCTGTGCTACTCCCTTTTATTCTATTGGCTTTTGAAAGCCAATAGAATAGACTCTCTTGAATAGAGTCTAATTCTATTGGCTTTCAAAAGCCAATAGGAATTGTCCAGGCTGTCTCTGCCCTGCTGAGCCCGCCAAAAGTCCCATTCTGCAAATGGTGCTGCACCAGTTGAGTAGTCCTCAACTTACGACCGGTTGAGTAATCCTCAACTTACGACCAGTTGGGGGTTGCGGCATCAAAAAGGTTGAGAACCACTGCTCTAGATGTTGCTGCAGAAGGATAGCTAATGGTGAGGGACACTGGAAATAGCAATTCAGCATTACTACCTGTATTTGGAGGGCCCAGCATTCCCATCTCTTTAACATATTGTATATTTTGAACTGCAGTGGTTTTCCAGGGTAATGGAGGCTCCAGCATGATCCATCTGAGATATCTGAAGGAGGTCAAGCTGGGGACGAGTGATCTAGGCTCTCAGACAGAGGCCTTTCTCATTGGGTAAATGATTTTAATCAAGGTTTCAAGAATGGAAACTGTGGTCCAATACATGCACTCTGTTATTCATCATAAAGACCTCATCTTCTGCCCCTTCTCTGCACAATTTCTAAAATCTCCAGGCCTAAGAATGAACCATGTCTCAAGGAATTCTCAAAGGGAAGCGCCTCACCGGAAACTGACAACAGGTCCAACTTCTGAGAAGATATCTTTTAGCTGTTCCTCTGTGGCTTCATAAGGGATATTCCCCACTACAGGAGAAAGACAGGAGCAGGTCATCAATATCTGTGGGCATATCTGCAATTAGGCAGGCACCTTTTCAGGTACAGCCCAGACTGAAATAATCCTACAGCAGACATTTAAAAAAAAAAAATACAGGGGGCCCTAGGCAAATAATAAGATATCACCCCCAGGCCTGATAGCAAGTCCAGTTGAAGTGGCATTTCTTACTGTGGCTAAATTATGCCGTTGCATTATAAAACCTACGTAGAAGTGGAAAAATATTGTCGAAGACAGGAATTTCTCTACAGAGACTTTGAGGATTCCATTTACATTTTTCAGTTACATTAGAAAGAGTGAAATAATAATACAGTTATGGTAGTTTATAGAGAGGTGCCACTTGGGCATTTCCCCTATGCTGCGTTCACGTGTTTGAGAGGGATGAAAAGGGAGGAAAGTGCAGGGAGGAAGTAGGATGGTAAGAGGAGAACAGGAGGGAATGAGAGTAGGAGGGGAGGAGAGAAAGAGGAGGGAAGTAGGGAAGGTACTAGAAAGGGTGGACGCGGCCTGGGGGGGAATGGGCAGGCGGTACCAATGGTTAGGAATTTATTTTATCTTGTGAATTGAATTGTATTTTGTATGAATAAATGGAAAATAAAAAACTTTTTATTAAAAAAAAAGAGTGAAATTGCAACGTTGCCCAGCCCTATGCAGTGTGCAGAACAAATGAAAAAAACAGATTTGAAGTGTTTAAGACAGTGTTTCTCAACCTTGACCATTTTAAGGCATGTGGACTTCAACTCCCAGAATTCCACAGCCAGCAATGCTGGCTGTGGAATTCTGGGAGTTGAAGTCCACATGCCTTAAAATGGTCAAGGTTGAGAAACACTGGTTTAAGACCAATTTGCTTCAATAATAACAGGCAGGAGACCGTAACATACACATTTCATAGATAGATCGATAATATATATTAAAGCTGATTTAAAAATATACACCGAAGACCGAGATTTTAAGAAGAGATGTTAAAAGCTGCATGCATTTCCCAAAAGAGAGGGTGCAAAACATTTCAAGTGCTAATGGATGGGAATGATGGGAACCGGAGTATAAGCACTTCCAGGGAGCCAGGCATCCCCCACAAAACTAGCCAGAGAGTCCCGGGCCCCACCGAGGGGACTACATCTCCCATGCCCCTCAACAAGGCAGCCCGGCTGGCGGGGGGGGGGAGGGCGGTAATGGGGACTGTAGTCCCCCTAGGCTAGGCACGGGCGCGCCAAGGCGGCGTGGAGAGGAGGCTTTGCCGCCCCGGGGCGAGAGGGAGGCTGGCGGGCGCAGCACCTCACCGAAGACGGAGCGCAGAGACCGATCCACCGCGGGGTCCCGCACCGACAAGCCCGCCATCTTCCTCGTCTCCGCCCACCGCGGCTTCCCCCACAACTCACGACCTCAGCTTCCGGTCCGTTGCCGAAACGTGCCGCCGCTAGCTTCGTTTTCATTGGGTCCCACCCTTTTCTCCTTCCCCCCGGAAGCCCTAGCGCTCAAACGTCGGTTCCGTTTCCGCGCTGATTGTACGGCGGTTGCCGAAGATGGAGTCCGACGCTTCGTCCTCGGGCGGCACCGCGGCTCTCGTTGCCGAGGCTCAGTTTGGTCAGCTTTTCAGGTGTGGTAGCAGATTTGTAGGAAGGCAGCGCGTTGAGGTTTATATGTGGACAGGTCTTCTTTCCCTGACACTCAGTTCATTTCAACCTGGCCCCTGAATATCTATCTATCTATCTATCTATCTATCTATCTATCTATCTATCTATCTATCTATCTATCTATCTATCTATCTATCTATCTATCTATCTATCTATCTATCTATCTATCTATCTATCTATCTATCCATCCATCTATCCATCCATCTATTTATCTATCATCTATCCATCTATCTATCTATCTATCTATCTATCTATCTATCTATCTATCTATCTATCATCTTCTGTTTCTATCATTGTCTATCTTCTACTTCTATATATTTCTGTCTATATTATCTTCTGTCTCTATCATTTGTTATCTATAAATGCCTATCTTCTATTTCTATCCTATTTCTATCCCATCTTCTCCCTCTCTTTTCCTATTTCAATCATATCTCTCTTTCTCTTTCTCTCTCATCTAGCCACCTATCTCTATCTAATCTCTCCCTCCATCACTCCCACCTTTCCTGCTTTGTAGCTATGCCATCAATAGATTTCTTGTTAAGTCTCGATGAATTCTCAAGGCCTGGCCTCTTGTTGGTGAAGCCAGATTCATTTTCTCTTTGGTGCTGATTTAAATCTGGTATTCCATTTTGGACCTTTTCTGTAGCCAAGGCAATGATTTCTGTGGCCATCCTCATGAATGTATTGATATTACAGAAAACTCTTGAAGAAAGAAGGGATTTTCAACTCCCTTTATCGAGTGCAGAAACTTCCTGATGGGACTATAGCATTGCCTATACTCAGTCAAAACTTCACAGCGCAGCACCTACAGCAGCTGAACGAGAGCATCCCACATGGAAAGGCCTGCACTCTGACATGGATCCATGTAAGTCGAGCTCTTAAGCTTGAGAAGAAGTCATATTTTTTGCCTAACACTAGACTTATCTCTGGAGCTGGAAATAAATACTGTTCCGTTTGCTTCTGATCATTCTTCCCCATACTTCCTTATTTTCTTCCAGCTTTTCTGCTTGCTTTACTTAATAATACTGGTTGAGCTTCTTTGATGTAACCATGGGTCTGGACTGGTACTGATGCTGGTGCTGCCATTGGCTTAACTGTTCCAATATCACCGAAGGGCTGACTTTATGTAACGTAATGCTTTGGGAACCATTCGGGTTTTGATTAACACATTCAAAGTATTCTGCTTTTTAAACCTTTTATCATAAGCACCCCTACAGCTCAGATGTATAGCTAAGATAACCAAGTTCAGAGAAGGACCAAGGACCCCGCACAACTAAGATGTTTAGAAAGGATTTGGAAGTGAAGCAAGCTGTGTGTTTCACAGAGGAAACTAACCATTTATTTTTCTTTCTTAGAATCCTATTCCTTCAAAAGCAGTTATGGTACGTTCACCTGTTCAGAAACTACACAGTGAGCTACAACACCTCATGTCAATCCATGGTGCTGCATGGTCAGAAGAGTTAGAGAAAGATCTGCCACGGTCCTGGCAGAGGCATGGAGACCTTATTCTTCTAAGCGAGGATTGCTTTAGCGCAAAGCAGTGGAGAGAATTGGGTAAAGAATAATTTACTGAAATGGGCAGCTATAGAAATAGGTCAATCAAACAAACAAATCACAAATATAATTTTACAATGGGGGATCCCTCTTCAGCAAAACCAGACTTTTATTCCTTATCTAAGATAAGTATTTTTGCAGAAAGAAACTGGGGAAGTGCAAGATTAAGCACAACAGGAGGAGAAAATGTGATAATTGCAATTGCACATACTTGAGCTGAATTGCAATGATTGGGCTTCATAATTGCCCCAAGCCATGGTTTGTTTAAGCATAGTTTGTTGAATAAACCACAGTGGGCTAAATTGGGCTAAATTCTTACCACACATTAAACTAATGTGCAACAAACTATATTCAACACAGATAGTACATAGGAACAAAGCAGATAATATCCAAATAGGTGATAGAAGTCAATCTAGAACAGGGGTTCTCAACCTTGGCAACTTTTAAGACTTGTGGACTTCAACTTCAGCAAAGCTGGCTGAGGAATTCTGGGAGTTGAAGTCCACAAGTCTTAAAGTTGCCAAGGTTGAGAACCCCTGATCTAGACTGATCTCCCCAAAGGTAAACAGAATTAGTGCTTGAATGTGAGACCACAATGAAATATAAGAACTGCCATCTGAAGATAAGGTTACTCTTTATTCATCTGACGATACAGTTTCTTTTAGAAACTTGTTGTTAGTTGCGAAGTCGTGTCCGGCCCATTGCGACCTCATGGACAATGTTCCTCTGGGTCTTCCTCTCCTCTACCATCTTTTGGAGTCCATTTAAGCTCATTTAGAAGCTTACTGCTGTAATAAATATTACATGTTGATTCTTAAACATATTATAAGAGACTCTTGGTTGCTTTTGGTGTAACTGAACAACATTGTAGTGAGAAATGATGTCCCTTGCTCTCTGTTCTAGGCCAAGAACTTTGGCAGGTGGTTGCTGCTGTTTTGGGGGCCCGGCGTTTAGCCAAACGGGGGCGAGTGCAGTCAGATTTGTTTCGCTCTTCTGCTGTGACCCTGTTGCTGGGTGAAGATGGTTGGGTTGAACAGATGGACAATGGAATCAGGTAATTTCTTTCCTTCACTTACGTTTGAATAATGGAATCACACGAAAGACCCTACACATTCAAGTTTAATCAAGAAAGTTGGTGGTGTTCACTAGTGCAGTGAACAATAATCTTAAATTATAGGAAAGCAGATTCTGCTTGAAAGTTAAGATGAAAAAACCTTCATGAGAGTATTTTGACTGTGGAAACTAGCTAGATTTCCTGTAGTGGAGATCTTAAAGCAGATAACGCCTGTTAAAAGTGCCACATTTTTCCTATTCATGTAGTTTTCACTCCCCATGCTTTATATATGTTTTACTCTGGATATGAAGTCATCTGATTTTTTGGGAATTCTGTTGCTGGACAGGACAGAAAGATCTCTAAATAAGTTGATATGTTTCCAAAACAAGCAAAGATGAACATCTGCTTGGTTAACCTAGTCTGGCAATTTTTGCTTCCATCAGGGCCGTGAGCCCTACTGGTTAGCAAAGCTTAGTCTTAGGCTAAGTATATGTCTTGGCAATTTAGGATGGCTGCCGAGTCTTCTGCATCTGTGTTTTCTTCACAGATACAGCTTTGATGTGACCCAGTGCATGCTGTCTCCAGGAAACATTACTGAAAAGCTACGGATAGCCTCTATGTTATGCGCAGGAGAAGTAGTGGTGGATCTTTATGCTGGTAAATATGCTTTGATAACAGCAGAAACTGTTGAAATTCTAATTTGGGTACAAAGTGTTTCTGAATCTCAAGGATTCTTTGGAATGCAGAACCTGTGGGGCTGTTTGGGCCAGTTAAAGAACAAGTGTGTTGGTTGAGTTTAAACACATCTTGCTAAGTTGTGGCAGGCCACAAGTATTGCGTACTTGCTCCACTCAATGCTGTTTCTACGGAATCAACTATTAAGAGCTGTTAGTGCTTCAGTGTTACAGATAAAAGGTGGAGGAATGCTTGTCAGCAGCAGTCTGTTTAAATAAAGCTTAAAGGGCTGTCAATCAAGGATTGAACACATTTTTCTCTGTCTTCTTTTCAGGGATTGGCTACTTCACTCTGCCGTACTTAATTCATGCTGGTGCTGCCTTGGTCCATGCTTGTGAGTGGAACCCTCATGCTGTGGAAGCTCTACGGAGGAACCTGCATCTGAACGGCGTTGAGGATCGATGCCACATTCACCAGGGGGATAATAGAAAGGTAAGTAGAAAAGGCCTCAAAATTGACTCTGAAACCTTAAAGAACAGCTGGTGGTCTGAGTAGAATCTGAGCTAGGAAGACAAATCAATGCTTTGATTTGAAAAAATGTTTCCTCTGCTCTCTCTCCTTGGCTGGAGGTGGAACTACAGGGTGTGGCTGACAGAGTAAACCTGGGACTGATCCCGACATCGGAGGGAGGCTGGCCAGTCGCTTGCCAGGTCTTGAGAAAGGATGTGGGAGGGGTCCTTCACCTACACCAAAACGTGGAGACTTTTCCAGGAAAGGCACTTGAGTTGTCCCAGCAACCGGAGCAGAATCAGTCACCCAAGCAGGGTCCCTCCCAAGCAGTATCCCGTGGCCAAGAAAATCAAGTCGCTCTGGAAGACCACGATGCCCTCCCGAACGTTGGACAATCATCCACAACTTCAGCCAAACAAGAATGGCAGCGCTGGGCCGAAGTCACGGCCACACGGATCCAGGCTTTGCTTCAGGACCTGGACAAGAAACGGTGGAAAACCCAAATCTTGCATATTGAACATGTGAAATCGTACGCCCCTCATGTAGACCATCTAGTCTTGGATCTAGATTGCCGGCCGCTTGAGTAGCATATGGGGAATGTCTTCTCTCTGGCTCGGGGGATCTTGGAAGAAGCAGGGAATGGTAGCACATTCTGGATCTTCTTCATGAGCGGCTTCCCACTTTTTGAAACTGGAAGGTTGGTGGCTGGTAATGTCGCACAATCTTGGGATTTTGCGAATGCAATCAGAACTGTGATGAATCCTTGAGCCCCGACAGGGACCGAGAACAAAGGTAGGCGATAGAAGTGATTTGGACAGCTAGTTGATGCCTACTGGCTTCTACAAAATAAGCCAATCCTTCCAGACTTCTTCCTGAGCTATACTATTTGCTGGAGGTTCTACATCGTATCGAATAACTTTTTGCTACTATAAATTCACATGGTTCTTTCCTGCAATGTCTGCAAAATCATGGGAAAGATTACAAACCACATCAGCTAAATCCAGCCATTCGCACAAAAACATTTGTCATTGCCATTGTTGGCTGAATAACCCAGAATAACTGAGTTCATGCATTAAATTAAGCCGCAAACCATTGCTTCTTGGCTCCCAGGGGTGGCTTCACGCAACAGCTAGATAAAAGCAAGTCCATGCTGGTTTAATTGGCCTCGCGCCATGAGATGAGTGGCATATAAATTTGATACCCAAATGAGAAGCCAGCCAATGTGGTTTTTCAGTGAACAAAAAGAGGAATAGCCAGTGCAATAACTAACATGGTTTGATTCTAATTCCTTTTGTCATGTTGTGAACGAGGAAGACAATTGCATGGTAAAAACTGACCTTTGGGGCAGTCTTAATCTGACTTTATCTCCCTGTGAACACCTAGTTAGGGCGATGTCTATGTTTAGTTTAAAGGGTTGTGGTTCTGTTTTTTTTATCGGAGCTCAGAGCTAATGCCCAAGGAAAATGAAAAGTGAGTCATATTAGCTAACTTTTTGTTTGCTCTGTAGGTTACCACCTCTGTCACCTTTTCATACCAGGTTTGAACTAGAGCGCAGTTAGATTACAAGTCTTCAGCTGCTGATATGAAAGAGGACAATAGTAGGATAGAAATACTGAGTGTTACTGAATGTTTTGAGCAAAATATCCATGTCATTTGTAGTTGTAACTATTGAAGTTGGAAGCTACTCTTTTTTTTTTCTTATTCCTTGCACTTCTGCCCCTTTTTCTCCCATTTCCTTAACCCACCCAACCAGGTTTTTATTCAATTTCTACAGAAGGTAAAATATAATATACCGGACCAAAGATATGCACGAGGAGAATAAAGCTTCTGTTTGTGTGCTTTCAAGCTATTTGCAAACCAATTATTCCACCTATTTTATCTCCTAATGCAGGGGGTCTTCAAACTTGGCCCTTTTATGACTTGTGGACTTCAACTCCCAGAATTCTTCAGCCAGGCATGCTGGCTGAGGAATTCTTGGAGTTGAAGTCCTCAATGAGTGTGGTGTGGATTGCTAGAGAATCTCTAAACATGATTATTTTCCCTGCGTTTGGTGATGGGCTTATCTTTGCATTTTGGAGCAGGTCAGCCCTGCTTCCTGTCCTACTCTTTAGTCTTTAGAAGGAGAGGAAGAAGAGGAGGAGGAAAAGAAGGAAAGGAAGAGGAGATGGAGGAGGAGGAGAAGAAGAAAAAGCGAGGAGGGGAAGGGGAAGGGAAAGAAGAAGAAAAGGAGGGAAGAAGAATAATGCAGGCATCAGGAGGCCCTGCACCCCTGGTTGGGAACCCTTGCGGTAGTAGAACAGAATAGAGCTGGAAGGGACCTTGGAGGTCTTTTAGTCCAGCACCCCCCTCCCCATGCTCAAGCAGGAGAACCTATACCATCTCAGTATTTAATATAGTTACAGCTCTGGGATAAAAACTATTTTTCAGCCTATTGGACTTTGTTTTTATTACCCTGTACCGTCTGCCAGATGGTAACAGTTCAAAAAAAAAAATGTCAGGAATGAGATGAATCTTTAGGAGGAGGAGGAGGAGGAGGAGGAGGAGGAGGAGGAGGAGGAAGAGGAAGAGGAAGAGGAAGAGGAAGGAGAAGGAGAAGGAGAAGGAGAAGAAGAAGAAGAAGAAGAAGAAGAAGAAGAAGAAGAAGAAGAAGAAGAAGAAGAAACAATTAATCAAGGAGAGAAGCAACCTAGAACTAAGGAGAAATTTCCTGACAGAACAATTAACCAGTGGAACAACCTGCCTCCAGAAGTTGTGGGTGCTCCATCACTGGAGGTTTTTAAGAAGAAACTGGACAGCCATTTGTCCGAAATGGTATAGGGTCTCCTGCCTGAGCAGGGGTTGGGATTAGATGACCTCCAAGTCTCTTCCAACATTATTATTATGAAGAAGAAGAAGAAGAAGAAGCAGCGAGGAGGGGAAGGGAAAGAACAAGAAGAGAAAAGAAGAACAACGCAGGCATCTCAAAGAAAGTCCCCGCGTAACGGGGACCGTGACGCGCCCCAGGCAGCCGGCGCCGCCGCCTTTCCCGGGAGGAGCGCGGCGCCTTTAAGCCGGGGGCTCCGCCTCGGGTTAAGGCGTGTTCCGGGGCTGCTCCAGCTGTCCTGGGCTCGCGCGGAGGAGAGCCTAGCGGGGAGGCGGCGGGTTGCAGGGACCCTTCTCTCCCCGACTTCGGGGAGTCGGAGCTCCGGGCTTTCCCAGGTGGGCGCCCGTTCGGGAGCGGCTTCTCCCACTTCCTCCTCTTGAACGCGTGTTGACGTTTGTTCCCACGTCCCGGATCTCGGTTTGTCCGGAGCCTGTGCAGAAGGGGAGGGGGTGTCTTCGGAAAGGAAGCCCCCGCAGCCACCGAGCGGGGTCGGGAGCCTTTTCCTTCCGCTTCTGGACCGGCTCCGAAATGGGCTCGAAGGAGCTCCAGTCCGGCTTTGCAGCAAGTTTTGCTGGGTGCATTCCGGCCCGGGGTGGTCAATTGAGCGAACTCGGGCTTAGCAGGATGTTGGGGGTGGTGGGTGATGGTGGGTGGTTGGCACTCTGTGTAAGCTCAGAGGTACAGGTCGCGTAGGGGGTTATTCGCCAACTTCCCAAGAAGTTGAGTATCTCCTTCAGTGAAAGTCATTGCAGGAAACAGGTTTCAGCATTTGTGTGTTTTTTAATAACATTCTTCTCCCCTCTCATTCCCCCCCCCTCTTTTAAGTATTCTTAGTTGTATCCTGGTTCCTGGATTGGAATACCAGGCCTCCATTTAGACAAGGATTGGATGCTGAAACTGGACTATAAATGCTGTATGGTCTGATAACAAATTGTACCATGAACTATACGCGTGTCTCTACAGTAGGTGGAAATTCAGCCCTGTCTCTGACGCTACTTTGGAGTTTGTGACTGAGATCCCTTGAGCCACCAATCATGGTTAGTGAAGCATAATGGCCACATTTGCAGGACTTGCCATGCCAGCTGGAATGTGTAAGGGCTTAGTGCAATTTATGGAAGGGTATGATGTACGAGGTGCATGGAGCATGTCTGGGAAAAACAATGTCAGGTCAGCTGTACCTTTGGAAATGTGTGCTTTAGGGGGAGGGGAAAGAAATTGTATCCAACAACCTCAAGCAGGTATTTAGGCTCCTTCTGAATTGAGGGGACTTTGTGCATGCTCAGGAGCTGCAGCTTAACCTTTCTGCAAGACTAAACTGAGGCTGCTGTATTGATTTTTCTCCCGCCTTTTTTTAGTTTGATAAATAACTCAAGGTTGTGAGCACACACAATATTCCTTCCTCCTATCTTCCACACAACAACAAACCTTTGAGGTGGGCTGGGCTGGGAGAGAGGGACTGGCCCAAAGTCACCCAGCCGGTTTTCATGCTAAGGCAGGACTAGAACTTCCAATCTCCTGGTTTCTAGGACGGCACCTTAAATCCAGTAAGCTTGAGCGCCAGAACAATTTTGTTAACTATGTATTGGTTTGCTTGTATGCAGCTTAAGCCAGTGTGTCAGCTCCCAGCTATTGTATGCAAACAGTGGCTTGAGGATAATGTTTGTTATGATGGGTGAGGCCAAGCAATTCTGGTTTGTTCACTTAACCAAAGTTAACCCCCTCCCCACACACAAAACTTAGCATTTGGGGTGATTATGCTGTTGAGAAAGCTATTTGGTGTGGTGTCTTTTCTCCCTTGTGTTAACTTCTCAAGAACTGATGGGGAGTGACCTGCATTGGATGCTAGCAAATTTGCTTGATTAACATTGTTCTTGTTTGATAATGTTGGGAGTCACAGAGTTCCATGGAGGTGCCCCGTTTATGCTTTTGGGGGCTCAATTCAGTAGCCCAAAGTAGTAAACTAATAAAGTAGGAAGGTGGTGCAGAGAGTGGTGAGAATGGCCGAAAAGATCATTGGCAGTTCCCTCCCTCCCAACCAGGACATAGCACAGAGGCGTTGCTTGAGCAGGGTCCGTGTAAGATTATCTGGGACACTACACATCCTCTTCACAATCTGTTTTCCTTGCTACCTTTTGAAAGGAGAGGGCTTCGTGGTATCCATAGCAGAACATCCAGGTTCAGCCATAGTTTCATTCCATACAGCAGTGGTGGCGAACCTATGGCCCGAGTGCCAGAGGTGGCACTCGGAGCGCTCTCTGTGGGCACACATGCCATCGCCCCAGCCCCGCCTCTCCCCACAGCCTCCTCCACACCACCAGCCCCCCTGGAGGAGAGTCGCCCCCAGGCATGGCCACCTGGAGCAGCGCAGCCAGGACATGGCAGCCGGGCAGTGGGGACAAGACTCCGCCCTTGCACCCTGTTGCAAACAGATGATGCTGCGGGGCACGGGTGGAAGACGTGGCTGCCATGATGCTGGGCTGCCTGGGCGAACTGCGGTGGGCTGTGGAGGTGGCGGGTGGCCCTGCAGGTGGGTAGGGGGGGCAGTTTTGGGGCACTCGGTGTCTAAAAGGTTCGCCTTCACTGCCATGCAGCATTAACCTTGTGAACTCTCAAGCTTCCTCCTTCCATTACATATTCAAGATGGACAGTATTTAATATTTATTTATTATGTACATGTAGGGGTGTGGGTCTATACTAGTATGTTTAGGTGTGTGTCATGTATGTTTTTTTTCACTTTGAGAGCGGGCAACTAAATTTCATTTTTGGCGTGTGCCGTTGTGCCCACAGTAAAAAAAAAAAAAATGACAATAAAGGTTATCTTATCTCTTATCGAAGTAGCTAGTTCCAGCTTTCAGTACTGTCTTGTTCCCTGGAGCTGTGTGTGTGTATTTGTTGCCTTTGTGTGCTGGCCCTTTTAGAGAGTGGAAAAGAGAGAGGTGGAGACCTTGTCCTCAAGCGCTGTTTGTCTTTCTCCGGGGAAGCCAGAATGGAGCATTTTGTGAACTGTTCTTCCTCCTTTCTTCGGAAAGCCTGTGACAGCTGACATGGGAAGGGTGTGTATGTCAAAGATAAACACTGGGCCAGAGATGGAGAGGAAGCTGAAACCAAATTCAGAATAGCTTCTTGAACGGTTGGATATGTTTTGTGGTCTCTTTTTTTCTATTCGGTTCAAATTTGAGGCTGAATTACGACTAGGGGCGAGGATGTTTTTTATGGGCGAAGATGGGTACAAATGTTTTGCGGATAGGAAAAATGCACCATGGCTGACGGTTTGTTGCAAAAACTGAGATGGTGCTTTTAAAACAATCCCAATTTTAGTGTGGTTATTTCAGTTTTCATTTCCCAGTCTCATTACGCGTGGTTTAATTGTCCAGCGTACAGTACTGTAACTCTTGTGTCTTGTATATCTCAGAGTGTTCCTGTTACAGAGAACAGTGTGAAGAGGTGTCACTTGTGTTTGAGGACTGTCATGTTGCTTTCCTGCCTTAATCCTGCTGCTGTTGTGATATGAATCCCATTGGGAAACTTGTTGATGTCAGCGCACATTGTTACCAATGGAGAAGTTAAACTGGCCTTTTAGCGCTGACTTAGCAGGAAAGTTTCTGGCAGAGATTTGTTCTCCAAGCTTTTCTGTTTAGCTCCTGGACGTTTCGTTACCATACTAGGTAACATCTTCAGTGGGGTTTAGGGTAAAGTGTCTTGTTTCTTTTTCCTTCTGTCTATATCGGGGGGGAGGTCTTCAAACTTGGCCCTTTTATGACTTGTGGACTTCAACTCCCAGAATTCCTCAGCCAGGCAGTGCGTGGCTGAGGAATTCTGGGAGTTGAAGTCCACAGGTCATAAAAGGACCAAGTTTGAAAACCCCTGGATTAATACTCTGGCTTTAAGTCGATGTGTTTATTAATGGATCCATTTATTAGAGTGCCAGGCCTCAAATACGAGTTTTGGCGTGGGCAATGACTTTGGTCTTATCCAGGTTAAACTGGTGGCGTTCATTGTCGACAGGACTTGACATTGTTGGTGTGTCTCAACTTCCTTAACAGAAAGGGTTATGTGCTACTGGTGGAAATGGGGGGTGGTGACTGCTAATTTTGACCATTTTAAGGTCAAAAAGGCTATCAGTGGCTATTTGTCATAGTGGTTTTACACATATCCCTACAGAACAAACCACAATAGGGGAAAAAAGAAGACTGTTTTCCAACAATCTTCATTTTTTGGGGGGGGGGGAAGTAAAATGTCAACAGTGCTCAGAATAGACACCCTGATGTAGTTTTGCACGCCTAAAAGCAAATGCTTCATAGGGGAACAGGGTTAGCTGGCTTGCACGTCCCTTGTTTGCAAAGTTCATTTGAAGCCTGATTCTAGTTCAGGAGCTTCAATTTTTTTGCAAGGCATCCAAATGCAAAATTTTCAGCCCTTCCCCCCTCCACCCAGCAGTGGTCTTACACACAATTTTGTGAATGTGCAATTGGAGAAGGCTGAGAAACTTTGACTCAGCTAGGAGCAAATATAAATATATATATATATATAAGCTGAGCAGGGTCCCTGGTTCCTCAGGGTCCCTGGTTCCTCTTTGGACTGCTTGTTATCTCTTTGGAAACTGCTCCAACAGGTCTGGGCATTTGGCTTCTCTGCCAGCCATTACGGTACAGCCCATAATGTTCCTTCTGATTGTCAGTCTCTTAGGCATTCTGCCCGGAAGCTGGCTTGTGAAAGTCAGATGGCTTGACAGTTGAAATGGAATGCTGGGGTGAAGACAAAAAAAGAAGGATGAGGATAAACTGGATTTCTTTTTTTTACTTGGGGCATCATCTTGGTCTTTGATTGCCAGAAAACACAAGGTTGGTTGAGTTGAGTTGAGTAAGCCCTTCTAGCACTGATGATGTTACCTAGTTTGGCTAATGAAACATCTGCAAGAAAACCACCAAACTCAGAGAGCACCAAGGACCCCAATGTCGTCGTCCTCCTCCTCCTCCTCCTCTCCTCCTCCTCTTCTTCCTCTTCCTCCTCCTCCTCCTCAACCTCAGTTCTTTCTAGCATTGATGAAGTTACCTAGTTTGGATAATGAAACATCTGCCAGAAAACAATCAAGCTCAGAGAGCACCAAGGATCCCACAGTCCTCCTCCTCTCCCCTCCTCCTCCCAAACCACACTCCCTTCTAGCACTGATGATGTTACCTAGTTGGGTAATGAAATGTCTGCAAGCTCAGAGAGTACCAAGGACACCACAGTTGTTGTCCTCCCCCCTCCCCCTTCTCCTCCTCATGCCCCCCTTCACTCAACAAACCCTGCTCCCTTCTAGCACAGATGGTGTTACCTAGTTGAGTCGTGTAAAACATCTGCAAGAAAACAGCCAAGCTCTGAGAGCACCAAAGATCTTTCATTTCAATGCCGAGCTACTGATCTTCTCCTTTATCAGGATCACAAAGTCTGCTTGGAACGAGAGGCCTGGAAGAGATTCATTTCTAGTCAGCCATAGCTGGCTCACACATTATATGGGGAGCCCCACACACTGTGGTTGACTGAATGCAGGGGCTGAACTTGGAGTCTTCACTGAAGTGGCTTGTTTGTTTTTTGGCTCCAGGAATTATGGACTCAACTCCGTAGGGCTGGAAATTACTGAATTTTGACTTGGTCCCTCCTCTACATTACGGCATGGATCGTTATTATACTTAATTTGCTAATGTTCTAATCTCTCCCGTGCCCTTTTATCAAATGTCATGTACTGTAAATGACAATCAAGGGCACGGATATTTTACTATTTTCGAATTTGCAGGCTCCCAGGGTTTTTTTCTTCTTCTTCAAAATAGCTATTTATACTCCAGCTGTTATCTGGCAGAACAGGATTCTCTTGTTTTAAGACTTCATCGTCCATGTCCCTCGGACTTCTATTTTTTCCCCCAGTAAATAATATAACCTGTGCTATATTTGAATCTTCTTGGAAGGAGGTTTCTCTTGCTTGTTCCCACACTTTGATCCTATTGGCTCATAGCAAACTCGGTTACGTTGGTGATGTAACTGAAAAGGGGCTTTGGAGGAAGAAAAGACGGGTGCGGTTAAAAAAGGAAGATGAGGTTTATTTGAACTAGGTGGTGGACAGCCATAAATCCCTCAAAATGCCCCATTAGAGCAAGGGTAGGCAACCTTGGCTCTCGTATGACTCGTGGACTTCAACGCCCAGAATTCCTGAGCCAGCAGGAACAATCATTTCTCCTGTCAATCCCCCAATCTCTCACGTGGTCCATGTAAACAATTTCACTTTTGTTATGGGAACTGTCTGCTTCCTCTCCACACCTGCTGTGGTGTCCTTGGAAAAGTTTCAGGCTCTCAGGCTCTTCAATAGAATCATAGAGGTTTCGTTTCTCCATCTCACCCATTCTAAACCGACACCCACCCACCCCCACTCTAATGGCAAGTTGAAACGAAGAGGCACGTAGCTGTCAAAGTTTCATTCTTGACCCTGTTGTATATTGAGGACAACCTGTAATGGCATGTGGGAATGACCTTAGGGAAGGCGTAAATGGTTAGATGAGCTGCATAATAGGCAGAGAAAGAGGCTTGGAAGGTTCCCAGGCTGTAAAGAAGATGATGGAAGACTTGTATTTTCAGACTTGCAAGATTATGTTAATAAAGTAGAATTAGCTCATCTAGTCATGTCTCCTATTTGTTCTACCCGGGAAGGCTGATAGACCAGGAATGTTTTGCAATGCAGTGATTTATAACAAGGACTGTTAACTGATTTTTAGCTGGTGCTTTTATTCATATGTTTTTAAATTTATATATTATCTAGGTTTGGGAGGTGAAAGGTGAAAGAAAGAAGTGAGTTTCCAGGGGTGATGGAGGCGGTAGACCTGTCTTTTCTCTCAGAGGCGGAGCGGGAATTCATCATCCGGGTTCTCCAGCGAGATGAGGAACTGCGGAAAGTGGAAGAGAGAAGAATTAGGTGAGCAGTTGGCCAACATGGGATCATTGCCCAAAGCTTTGAGGCTGATAAGGTAGGGAGAGGGACCCCTGAGTGCGTTGCCATTCTCAGTTTAGGACACTGAGTGGGAAGCAGATGGTCCGTGAGGGCAGGAACCACTCCTGTGGAAGATCTACCCTGCTTTCGTTCTTCAGAACAGCTTGAGTCTTTGATAAGCCAAGTGGTATAATCCAGGGCTTTTCAACCAGTAGTACGGGTACCACCTGTGGTACATTGGCACCTGGCAGGTGGTACGCGACCATCCTAGAAAAGTGTTAGTGGGGGAAGGGAATAAGCTGAACCGGTGGCAGCACCGCACAAGCTTGACCGAGAGATGGCTGGAGCTGCAGGGCTGTCAGGGCTCAGCGGAAGTGCCAGGATCAGCGCCAGGCTGCAGCTGGAGCTCGGCGCTGATCCTGGTGCTTCTGCTGAGCCCTGAAGAAGCACCAATCAGCTGGAAAGCAGCACTGATCCTGGCGCTTCTGAGCCCAGAAGAAGCGTCGATCAGCTGGAATGTTGCAGCCTCTCCAGGGTCTTGTGATTTACATTCAGATGCTTGGCAACTGATTCATATTTATGATGATCACAGTGTCCCAGGGTCATGTGAAGTGACCAAAACCTGCTGCAACCACCCAGCAGACGAGGGGAATAAAACCAAACCCCACCCCACCCCCGCTGCCACTCCTCAACAGAAATGCTCACAACAATGAAAACCTCAGACAGGAGGAAGAGCGCTGCTGGGCGGGCAGGCAGGTGTCTTGCTCGGCTGTGGCTTGGGGGGCGCTTTTTTCAGGGCCATTGTAACTTTGAACAGTCACTAAGCGAACTGTTGTAAGTCGAGGACTACCTGTACTTTATCACTTTTTTCCTTTTTTTCTTTTTTTTTTTGGTCATCAAGTTTTTGATCTCTTGCTAGGCGACTGGTGGTACTCGGATGTTGCCATATCCCTAAAAGTGGTACAATGGGTGAAAAGGTTGAAAAGCCCTGGTCTAGTCCAAGCCCTTATTGTCCTCTTTTTCCAAGCCAACATGCAACGCTTTGAGGCTGTTCCTTCTATTCCAAGCTGAACTGACCAACATCTGGGTCTCGGGAATAAATCAGATGAGCTGTATAAAGAACCACGCCTGATCTCCCTATGAAGTCAACCCTTTCTGCCCTCCCCCCCCCCAACAGGCGTCTGAAGAATGAGCTGCTGGAGATCCGAAGGAAAGGGGCCAAGAGGGGCAGCCAGCGGTACAGCGAGCGAACCTGCGCTCGTTGCCAGCAGAGCTTGGGCCGGGTCAGCCCCAAAGCCAACACCTGCCGGGGTTGCAATCACCTGGTTTGTCGTGACTGCCGCGCCTACAGCGCCGATAGCCGCTGGCGCTGCAAAGTCTGCGCCAAGGAGGCGTAAGTCTGCTCCCTTGCTTTGCACGTTGCAACTGGGGTTGTATATATTCTGGGATTCCGTACATGACTGGGATCATCCACCCATGGCAAGGTTAAGACTTGTGGACTTCAACTCCCAGAATTCCCCAGCCAGCCTGCCCAATCCCCTGTCTGAGATGGTGTAGGTTCTCCTGCTTGAGCAGGGAGCTGGACTAGAAGACCTCCAAGGTCCCTTCCAGCTCTGTTCTATTCTATGCTATGCTATGCTATGCTATGCTATGCTATTCCATTCCATTCCATTCTGTAATTCTATTTTATTCTGTAATCCTATTCTATTATGTAATTCTATTCTGTAATTCTATTCTATTCTGTAATTCTATTCTATTCTATTCTATTCTGGAATTCTATTCTATTCTGTAATTCTATTCTGTAATTCTATTCTATTCCATTCCATTCCATTCCATTCTATTCCATTCCATTCTATTCTATTCTATTCTATTCTATTCTGTAATTCTATTCTGTTCTGTTGTGTTCTGCTCTGTTCTATTTCACCTAATGCACATTCATACTTGAATTAACCACATGGACTTTGGGATGGGGTGGAGATTCATGTCCTCAGAAGTGATGGCTGTCCTCTTCCCCACTTTCCCCTCTGCAGGGACCTGAAGAAAGCCACGGGAGACTGGTTCTATGACCAGAGAATGCATCGCTTTGCTCCTCGACTGGGCAGTGACATCATCCGAATGTCTCTTCGGCGCAAACCACAGGGTGAGGTTTCTTTATCTGAAGGCAATTTCTGTCCCTGGTTCTTGATTAGAACCAACATCCAGTAGTTTCCAAGTTGAATTTCTTCCCACCAATTCCTTCGATGCCCTGAGCTATTTTCTAAATAGAGATCAGGATGTTGTCAACCGGTTTCCATCTGGATGCAATCTGGTCTTCATATTATTATTATTAATAATAATAATAATAATAATAATAATAATAATAATAATAACACAAAGTCAAAATTGAGAAGACAGCAATAGACAGTAAGTGCCGCCTATGCAAAGAAGCTGAAGAAACAGTGGACCACCTGGTAAGCTGCTGCAAGAAGATCGCACAGACTGACTACAAGCAGCCCCATGACAAAGTAACAACAATGGTGCATTGGAAGATCTGCAAGAAATATCATTTGCCTGTAAGCAAGAACTGGTGGGATCATAAAATAGAGAAAGTCATAGAAAATGATAAAGTTAACCTACTCTGGGACTTTAGAATTCAAACAGACAAGCACCTGCAACATAACATCCCGGATTTAACAATTGTCAATAAGAAAGACAAAAAAGTCTGGATAGTGGACGTGGCAGTGCCTGGAGATGGCAGAATAGACGAGAAAGAACTGGAGAAGATAACAAAATACAAAGACCTACAAATAGAAATAGAAAGACTGTGTCAAAGGCAAGAAAGGGTAGTACCAATAGTAATAGGCGCCTTGGGTGCAATTCCCAAACAACTGGAGCACCACTTGAACACCATTGGCATTGACAAATTCACCATTAGTCAATTGCAAAAGGCAGCCTTCCTAGGAATAGCTTTCATCCTGCGACGAGATCTGTAATACCATCAAACATCCATATCTGCCTATCCCAGGTCCTGGGTAAGGACTCGATAGGTAGACAAAAATGCCAAATCCAGTCTGAACATCTGGCTGACTGTGCGAATAATAAATAATGGTGTAGGTTCTCCTGTTTAAGCAGGGGGCTGGACTACTTCCAAGGTCCCTTCCAGCTCTATTCTATTCTTAAGGTTTTGCATCTCTTTGATGGACCTTCACATTCCATTCTAAGATTGTCTCCTTGGATCCTCCCAGTCTGTTCCAGATTGATACCTATCGTTCCTACCCTCCTGTCAACCCTACTCCCTACATCCCCCCCTGTGTTTATGGCAGGACGCCGGCGAAGCGAAGCAGGCTGGAGTGATTATGACCGCGGACCTGACACCACCCCATATTTAAATAAGGACTTAACGCTGAGTGGTGTCTGTGCTACATGTTGACAACTCTTTTCCTCTGGTCATTTAGCTAGCAAAAGAGAGACGACAAGCCAAGTGCTTCTTCAGAAAGCTCAACACAAGGATCCCAAAAGTGACTCCGAAGCGGCCCCGAAAAGTCCTCAGCAGCAACGCAAGGAGCCCAGGTGATTTGTCTTCTGTGTATCGGGGCCGCGGTGAGATCCATTGTTTCTTTCACCCTTGCTCAAAATGCATGAAATAAACAGACTGTGCCACTGCCAGCCCATCTGCTGGCTATTCATGGAGAGCTGGGCAGTGGCCCCAGGAAGTATCTTCAGGACCAGAATTCGAATCAAGCTTTTCTGATTCACAATTTCCCAGAAAACCCACATCTCTCATTGTCAAGGAAGATTTAATGAGTGTAATGCAGGGCTCTTCAAACTTGGCCCTTTTATGACTTGTGGACTTCAACTCCCAGAACTCCTGAGTCAGGCACGCTGGCTGAGGAATTCTGGGAGTTGAAGTCCACAAGTCATAAAGGGCCAAGTTTGAAGACCCCTGATATAATGGATGGAATTGGGGAGCCATAACAAAAGTCTGGAAATTCAGCCTAGTCTATCGACTCACTCTGCTTAATGAGTAGAAAAGGAATGGATCATGTAATGGGTGGTAACTGGAATATCATGCCATAGAAATAATTCTCCAGGATAATAGACTTGGGAGGGGCCTTGGAGGTCTTCTAGTCCAACTCCCTAGGGCTAATGGTAAAGATCACAAAGAGATGGCACTCTTGTGCTTAATCAAACTGGTGATGTTGGAACAAAATCAAGGAGTTTACAACTATTTCCAACCTAGTTCTGTCCAGATGTGGTTAAACGACAGCTTCCAGACACCCCAGCTAATAGGGAGACATATGGGAATGATAGCTTGACAGCATGGGTTCTCTGCTCCCTGACTGATAAAGTTGCAGAGTTTGTAAACTTGGTTGACCTGGATTCTTTCCGCTCCTGATCTAATTAGGTTGTTTTCTTCCAGCTTGATGTCCGATTCCTCTGAGCCACGGGATCCAAAAAGCGACACAGAATCTACTGAGAATATAAGCTTGGATGGCTCGCGCCCAGCCTCTGATCCCACTTCTGCTCGATCTAGGTCAGCTCTAGGTCTAGGTCGGGGATCTGGTCAGTTACATCTTTTGAGGAAGAGCGAGGGGTACGAGAAAGATTTGATTAGCAAGGGCGTGGGGCGGACAGAAAGTCATTAGACTCATAATTGTCCCTGACATAAGTTGACTCTGTTCATACCAACCCACTAAGATAAAGTACTGTAATGTGATGGCTGGTGGCTTAGCAATCTGATTCCAGCCAATGTGGTTTGCAATCTCAGTTTGTTGTTTAAGATATTGTGTAAACCAGGGGTCTTCAAACTTGGCCCCATTTATGACTTGTGGACTTCAACTCCCAGAATTCCTCAGCCAGCGTGCCTGGCTGAGGAATTCTGGGAGTTGAAGTCCACAAGTCATTAAAAAGGCCAAGTTTGAAGACCTTTGGTGTAAACCCATGACTTTGTACTTTATTGACTAAATGAATACAGCTTTCTGTGAAGGTAACTGTACTATAGCTGAATTCACACAGTGCATTAAACCATTGTATGATGTGCTTGTGGCTTAGCATCTTGGACCTTGTAAATCATGTCTGAAGACTTAAAATATTATTTGATCCCATCCAATGAGTTTGGAAGCCATGATTTAATATTGAATACAATGGGTGAATTTACTTCTCTCTGCATAATTTAGTCCACCACAAATAAAACATTGATTAGTGTGTTCTGCAATAGTCATCATGCTCAACTACATGATGCTTTTTTAATTACGCAAATCTAAGCGAGTTAGACCTCTCTGTCAACTTTATTAGCTGAAAAGGAAGATCTAGTGATTTCCTTCTCTGTATTGTCCTCAAAGAGTTACTTTTTAAAGTTCTGTTGCTTCCCTATTGTGTTATTACCTTTTTCATTCTGCATCTCCATGTCTGGTTTCATTTCTAATGAATGTCTTGGGGTCATATGTTGGGGAAACAGGAGACAAATCATGGCAAGAAACCAAAAGTAGATCCTTCATGTCCAAGATAGAATGAAGGCAATAACCTGATGTTCTGCTGGAAACATCTGGTCACCCTTGGGCACTAGGAAGCTGAGTCAGATGGACTTCTTGGTTGGATCTAAGAGATTTCATCCTGTGTTCTTTTTTCTTCTTGTTGTTTTTGCAGTCCTCGCCAAGAGAAGATGAACACTCTCAGCCCACCGGGGTTCAAGGTTTCCAGCCTAACCCTTCCTGTTGGCTTTAAAGAGACCCCCCACTCTGATTCAGATAGCGTATGTTTACTGATGCCTGAAGAGCAATTCTGGTGGTCTTCGGGGATGGGGAGAGAGAGAGAGAGAGAGAGAGAGAGAAAAAGAGAAAGAAAGGGAGAAGGAGAGGGAGGAAGAGAGAGAGGAAGAGAGAGGGAGGGAGGGAGGAAAAGAGGGAAGAAGAGAGAGAGAGAGAATGTGTTTTGGTAAAGTCAAAATCCTCTTGAATTGGAATATGCTGCTTGGCACATGTTTTTGAGTAGAATAAGAGCAACTAGGCACTAGCTGGGACTCAATAGACTGCAACTGCACTTGTTAAAAGTTGAATGTGTCTCTGGGCAATAGATTTGCTTTGCATTTCAGCTTGCAATATACGATGATAATGACCCAGCTTCTTCTCCTACCACATCAAGTTGTAGGAGACGAGCAGCTTGAGCTGGAAGGCAGGGTTAAACATGTCATCAGATTGGAATCATTGGGTTCTCACAAGAGACCTCAGTCCAGCCTCCCCCCCATGAATTCCTTTGACCCCCTAACTAGCTCCACTTTAGCTTTGACCGTCAGCCGATCAGATTCTTGTATATAGGTGACAGTGATAGGCTCCTCAGTCCTTTGAACTCAGCAAATCTTCCTGGTTATTTGCCTCCCCCCCCCCAGGAAGCCTTTTGCGGGACTCAGAGTGCAGTTTCAGCAGATGAAAATGAAGTCTTGTTCAAAAAAAATCCAAGGAGAATTCAGAGGCCGTCAGGTAAGACAGAAAGGACTGCTGTACATTCTGTTGGGTAGGTTGAAGAGTTGGGCTTTTAGAGAGCTGGCTTTGAGGCCTAGCGTATGTCCTTCCTACCTCAATGAAGTTAAAACGAGCGGTTTGTCTGACATCTTCGCTTATTTTCTACAGAATACACGAAGTCTGTGATTGATCTCCGTCCAGAGGACCCTGTCAATGAAAGTGGAATTCTGGGAGACAGAAGCAAGTCAGTCCCAGGCCTCAATGTCGAAGCGGTAAGCGTTGAAGGAGAAGATAGTTTCAAAATAGTGATTAATGGCATGCCCTTCATCCTGGGCTACGTTCACACATTGTAGGAAGCCTCCATGTGGCTTTTCAGGCTTCGAGCAACTAGTCATTTGTGCTGGGAAATCAGAACGTGTGGAAATGATCATTGGGCTTGTTTTTTCCAGTTGTGTGGGTTTTGAGTTTTGGAATTCTTAACAAGGACCGCATTGGTCAAGGAATTCTTGTTAGGGAATTAAAGTCCACACCTCTGAAAGGAAACAAGTTGAAGGAAGTCTGCTTTTAGAACCTAGCAATTTTATAATTAAAACAAACCATGGCTTAGTGCCACGAAAGAACTCAGCAGTGATTGCATTTACTCAACTGCTAGCTTTTTTAAAATATTCAGAGGATTAAATAAGGCATCATGACCTAGCCGTGCCTAATGGTAGGTGAAGCTGAATAACAAAATTAAACAAGACATATCAAGACCTAACAAAATCTGTGAAACCAGCCTTAGAATAAAACTAGAATAGAATAGAGCTGGAAGGGACCTTGGAGGTCTTCTAGTCCAGCCCCCTGCTCAAGCAGGAGAACCTATACCATCTCAGACAGGTGATTGTCTAGTCTCTTCTTAAAAATCTCTAGTAATGGAGTGCCCACAATTTCTGGAGGCAAGTTGTTCCACTGGTTAATTGTCCTCACTGTCAGGAAGTTTCTCCTTAATTCCAGGTTGCTTCTCTCCTTGATCAGTTTCCAACCATTGTTTCTCTCCTTTCTAGTGCTCTGGTGAACAACCTGGCCCCCTCTGCCTTGTGGCAGTCCCTCAGATACTGGAACACTGCTATCATGTCCCCCCTGTTTCTTTTTTTCTTTAGACTAGCCAAACCCAAGTCCCGCAGCCATTCTTCGTACATTTGGCCTCCAGGCCTTCGATCATCTTAGTTGCTCTTCTCTGAATTTTTTTGTTGCTTCGTTCTTTGTGAACCATGGTTTGGTGTGAAACACAAGTAACATAATATCTTGTGAAGAAAGTTAGCCTTGAACCTTTGCTGGGTCCTCAAGATTTGTTGTTGGGAGCAAAGTCACAGCACGTTGGGAGTTCCTTCAGCTATTACAGAGATACCTGCAAGAGCCGTGGTGGTGCAGTGGTTAGAGCGCAGTACTGCAGGCTACTTCTGCTGATTGCCAGCAGTTCGGCAGTTCAATTCTTACTGGCTCAAGGTTAACTCAGCCTTCCATCTTTCTGAGGTCGGTAAAATGAGGACTCAGATTGTTGGGGGCACGATGTTGACTCTAAAGCGCTTAGAGAGGGTTGTAAAAGCACTATAAAGTGGTGTATAAGTCTAAGTGCTATTTCTACCTATGTGCATATGTGTCTTTTTCTAGGAGGAGGAGGAGGAAGATATAGACAATTTAGTTGAAATTCATCGGAGAAGGGCAGGCCGAAGTAGCATGCACAGTGGAACATCCTTGGTGAGTTTCTCTACTAATAACTTGCATTGTGGACTTATGGAGAGGAGAGCAAATTCGTGATCCTGATTGCCTGCCTAGTTCAGTGGAAGAAACACACATTGCTGAAGTAGAACAGGAATGGGCTACTAATGAGTCTCTAGACCTGGGTTTCCCAACGTTGGCACCTTTAAGATCCATCATCACCAGCATGATTGGCTGGGGAATTTTGGGGAGTGGAAGTCTTAACGTTGCCAAGGTTGGGAAACCTTGGTCTAGATGTTCGATTCCAATTCCATCTGAATCTCTGACCACTGGTTGGGGGTTGATGTGAAGTGCAATCCTGCTATTTTTGGTGAGCCCAGATTGCCTGTTTGGCTTCTGCTTTGGAAGATGGCTTTTTGGCACCAAGAAATGGTGGATTTAAAATGGCCGACAGCTGATCCATGAGGCTGCGGATGAAAATGATGCAGGGAGTGTTTTCCAGCAGATAACTTACAAACCAGGGGTCTTCAAACTTGGGCCTTTTATGACTTGTGGACTTCAACTCCCAGAATTCCTCAGCCAGGCACACGCAGGGCGGCTCTCCTGAGTTCATCAACTTAATGCCCATCAGCTAATTTAATGGCGAAGAAAACCAAGAGTGGTGGGCACAATACGCACATCTGGAGATCATCCAATTGGAGAAGGCTGGCTTACACAGGTCCTCCCACCCAATGTTCACTCCAAAACCCTAGAACAGGGGTCTTCAAACTTGGCCCTTTTATGATTTGTGGATTTCAACTCCTGCTGGCTGAGGAATTCTGAGCGTTGAAGTCCACAAGCTGCCGAGATTGGGGACTCCTGATCTACCACCATAGCTTCAGAGCTTTCTCAGAAAGAAAGCATGGCTGAGGAATTCTGGGAGTTGAGGTCCACAAGTCATAAAAGGGCCAAGTTTGAAGACCCCTGTTATAAACCTTTATTTCTTCAATTTTTTCTCTCTCTCTCCTGATTTTTCTTAGAGCACCCTGGGAAGCATGGTCAGCATTTACAGTGGGGCAGGTGACTTTGGGAACATCAGCGTCACGGGGGAGATTGCCTTCTCGTTGAGCTATGAGGAAAAAACCCAGGCCCTTTTCATCCACGTGAAGGAGTGCCGCCACTTGGCCTATGCTGACCCAGCCAGGAAGCGCTCCAACCCGTAAGTGCCCAGCTGGCGAGGGGCTGCAAGCGACGGGGCTGGGGGGCTGGGATGGGCCCCCCTTTACCTTTCGAAGAAGCTATGAGGCCAGGGGTGCAGGTAGTCCCCAGATTACACCAGAATCGAGCCCGCCGTTTCTGTTGCTAAGCAAAACATTTGTTAAGTGAGTTTTGCCCCACTTTATGACTTTTCTCATCGCAGCTGCTAAGCAGATCACTGCAGTTGTTGTGAGTCGCGTGGTTGTTAAAGTCAACCTGGCTTCCCCCACTGACTCTGCTCGTTAGAAGGTTGCAAAAGGGGACACGTGACACACACACACACACACACACACACACACACACCCTGGACGCTGCCACTGTTATAAAAACGAGTCAGTTGCCGAGCGTCTGAATTTTGATCAGGTGACCATGGAGATGGGGCAAGGGTTTTAAGGGTGAAAAACGGACCAAAGTCACTTTTTTCAGTGCCATTGTTGTAACTTTGAACGGTCGCTAAATGAACGGTTGTAAGTTGAGGACTATCTATAATTGGTGTCTTCAGAATTGGCTTTTAAGCCTAGTCTTCAGCCAAGTTTGGACAATGTGCTGCTTTGGATTGTAGATGCTTCTTGTATTGTGAGAATCAGCTGAGTTTGGGATCCATGCTTTCTATCCACGCTGTCTATCTAGGATAGGTGAATGGAGCTGATTGTGGTTTGTTCATCAAAGCATGGCTTCTGTGAACCAGGGCAGTGTGTTCCACAGTGTTGGTGCAGAATGAGCCTTAAGAGTTGGCTCTGCTAATTGGCCTGGGGCCCAAATGACAATGTGTCATCCTGGGGGCGGTTATTGGATTAAAGACACAATCCCACCTCCACTCCATTGTATCCCCCTGCTGTCTTTGTTAATTTTATATCAGTGTTATAGTTATTGTTTTACTGTTTCAATCTTTTGTCGCATTGTTTTATTTTATTTTATTATTATACCCAGAGTCAATGAGATGGCAGCATATAAATTAAACAAATAAATAAGAAATAAGAAACTTTGGGGAGATGTCAGATTGGGCGTGAATTTGTTCTCCTGGTCTCTTGCAGATACGTGAAGACATATCTTTTGCCAGACAAGTCTCGTCAGGGCAAGCGAAAAACCACTATCAAACGTAACACCGTCAATCCCCTTTACAATGAATTGCTCAAGGTTTGTGTGTACGTGTGTGTGTTTGTATGTGAGCGTTAGACTCCTTCCTTTCCTTTCCAGAGACTTTTCTCTCTTATAGTTTTGCATCTAGTTAATGAAGAGCCAGGTGGACTCCTAAGTCTTGGGCCTTAGGAAATGGAAGGATTGTCAGTTTGTGGGAAAATATAGAGTCACGGTTAGTCATGGTGGAACCAGATCAAAATGTATTATTAGGGGACAATCTAACACGTGCTTTGGGTTGCTCCAGCTGGGTGGACTGCATAGAATTGGGCCAAACTTGTTGCTTTTCAGTTGTAGAGGATGGGGAAGATTTTTTTCCACTCTTCTTTTTAGGTACTGTATATGCTGATATAGGGACTGTAGCAGTATTTAGGTTCATTGGTGAAGATCTGGGACTGGAATCATGCAAAATGTTAGTCCTAATGTGGTTTTGTATGGTTTTGACTTAACGAATTGCATGAATCGATGGTTAACAAATCACCATTGTGCCTTGTTTACTGCTTAGCACGATGTACAATCCCAGCTGATAACATGTTGCCAAACAAATCATTCTTGAACAAATTCTGTCTTAGTATAATGTGTGAAACTGAGTGCAGAACCCATGGACATCAAAACCCATCGTCTTTGGGTAGCCCAGGGGTAGGCAACCTTGGTTCTTTTATGACTTGTGGACTTTAATACCCAGAATGCCTGAACCAGCCATGCTGACTCAGGAATTCTGGGAGTTGAAGTCCACAAGTCATAAAAGAGTCAAGGTTCCCCACCCCTGGACTAGCCAATGGCTTGGGATGCCAAGATTGGTAATCCAACAATATCTAGAGGTCAAAAATGTCACTTGCCTTTTGATGAAGACAAGCTTGATTCCAAGTCAGTATTTTGTCCAGCTTTTCAAAAGAGGCTCGCGTTTTTGAGATGCTGTGGTGAAGACTATCCATTTGACTCATCTTTTCACAGTATGAGATCCAGAAGTCTCTTCTGTTGACCAGAATCTTGCAGTTCTCTGTTTGGCATCATGATCACTTTGGACGGAATCACTTCTTGGGAGAGGTGGATGTCCCAATGGACGCCTGGAACTTTGACAGCCAGTTGGAAGAGTGTCTTCTCCTGCATGAAAAGGTTAGTCAAGCCTATCCTGTCCTTTGCCGTCAAAGTAATGTAGGTCTTGGGTGTTCATGGAAAGTATTTTGGCAATGGACTTTCAAAGTTGCTTGCTCTCTTTAGATGTAAAAAACTGACCAACAACAACCTTAATAGCCCTTAGCAGCCTTTTGGGGCACATGTGGGATTTTGAGAAGGTATGCCTGGTGCTCTCACAAAATGGCAGTTGATGCGAAAGTGCCCACTTCTGTCCAATCGTTTGAACAATTATACATGAAAGATCGGTCTGAATAATGCTTAGACTTGTTTTTCTGATCATTTAGATATGAGCATTTTGCAGCCAAACCAGTTTTGTCACTGCAGAAACAGGATGATAGGCTTAATGGTTTTGGACTACGATTCAAAATTAAAACAAATTTCGGTTCCTTAAAAATCTGTGTAATTGTTCTAGTGTGTTTTAAAGATAGTCTTCCTTCCCTTCTTTTCCTCTTTGCCTGTGCTATATGAAAATCTCCAGGGAGACACTGTATAACCTAGGTAAGCTACACAATGCAAAAACATGGGAAAACTGATTATATCTGTTTGAAAAGTAGCAAATAACAGGAAGGAAGTAATGCTGTCTCATACATCTGGTGCTACCAAGAAGCATTTAGTATAACCTTTGTTTATTTCTGTGGGCGTCTGTCCAACAAGCAGCTTGGACTCATGCATTTAAGTTATTGGCGCGTTGCGTGTTTTGCTCTACTAACTTGGCTGTTCTTGTTTGTAAATGGTAGTTTACAGCTACTAGAATGTGGCTTAGCTAATATGCCATGATTGCAGCTATGTTTTAGCACTGAACCCCACTGAAACATTAGCCCCATGTGGCCTATATATTATGGGACTAGTGGTTTGAAAATAGACACCAAGTTGGTTGAAGCTCTACTCTGATATTTTTCTGGCATCTCATTTTACCTTCTTTTGGTGCCAAGCTAGGCTGCTCTATTTCCACAGACCTTTAGTTTCTTTAGGCGTGGATCTTCTCCATATTTCAGCTTTTTAAAACCACTCTGAGGCTTTATGAATTGAGGCTTGTTCTGTCTTAGACATTTTCCGTACGTTTTCTTTCTGTCAATGGTGATGTTGGCCCCGAAGAACCAGAATTCATTACGTGCCGGGTTATATATTTGGGAGAATTCCTTCCTTCAGTTTCTAAATTCAATATTTATACTCTGAATAATTTCCTTCCTTGCATTTTTTTTTAAACTCGGCATTTTAAACTCCTTTGCAATTCCTTTTAATGCCCCTCTCCACGTTCTCTCCCATTTAGCTGTGCTTCTGAATAGTTCCCCCCCCCCGCCCCATTTCACACGTAGCTTTCTTTCCAGGAATAAATCCTGCCGGTACCAGATTGGGTGCAATAACCTCACATTCAGGAATTGCTCTGGGTATGATTAATCCGTGGCATTGCCCTTGTGTCTTCTAGAACCTTGGAGACTCTGCTGCGTCTTCTCAATATGGAGGCGAGATAGTGGTGTCCTTGAAGTTCATTCCACCTGCTAAACATCTTGGTGCAGGAAATGGGAAAAAAGGTGAGGCCTCGGAATGTTTAAACAGCTTTTTCTTGGAGGAAACCAAGAAAGGCTGGGCTGCATTAACAGAGGGAGAGAATCAAGATCACGTGTAGTGTTAATACCACTTTACAAGGCCTTGGTAAGGCCACACTTGGAATATGGCATCCAGTTTGGTCACCGCGATATAAAAAAGATGTTGAGACTCTAGAAAGAGCACAGAGAAGAACAACAAAAATGATTAGGGGACTGGAGGCTAAAACATATAAGGAACGGCTGCTGGAATTGGGTATGTCTAGTTTAATGAAGAGAAGGACGAGGGGGGACATGATAGCCGTGTTCCAATATCTCAGGGGCTGCCCCAAAGAAGAGGGAGTCAAGCTATTCTCTAAAGCACCGGAAGGCAGGACAAGAAGCAACGGGTGGAAGCTAATCAAGGAGAGAAGCAACCTAGAACTAAGGAGAAACTTCCTGACAGTTAGAACAGTTAACCAGTGGAACCACCTGCCTCCAGAAGCGGTGAATGCTCCAACACTGAAGTTTTTAAGAAGAGACTGGACAGCCATTTGTCTGAAATGGTATAGGGTTTCCTGCCTGAGCAGGGGGTTGGACTAGATGACCTCCAAGGTCCCTTCCAACTTTATTATTATTATTAAAAACAAAAGCCATCTACTCTGTGTGCCTGGAGGCTTTGTTTCTTATTAGCTCCAGATGTCCAAACACAACCTTTTTCTTTTCCCGGGAGATGGAGAAGCTATTTGGTTGTAGAAGACTGAATTCTTGGGTCTCAGATTTCATAGTGTGGTTAGTTGGGAGTGTAAATAATCACCGGGGTTTCAAGGAAACTTATTTTGGATGGTTTTGTTTTGAAGTTGTCACTCAAAGGTCTTTTTTGTTAGGCAAAAAGGAAGAAGGCGGTGAACTTCAAGTCTGGATCAAAGAAGCCAAGAACTTGACTGCAGCCAAATCTGGTGGGACCTCGGACAGTTTTGTGAAGGGGTGAGCAATGGAAGAAGTGTTTAAATGAGTGCTAAATAGAAAGGGAGAGAGAGATTGGAGCGGCTGCCTTGAACATTGACCTGGGTATAGTGCAGTGTTTCTCAACCTTGACAATTTTAAGGCACGTGGACTTCAACTCCCAGAATTCCACAGCCAGCAATGGGTCCCCAGATGTAAGTTCTGCAACTGTCACAGTGGTCATTGCACATTCTCAAATCTTGAATGAATGTCCTTGACTCCAGGCTGTGTAAACTCTGGAATATTGAATGAAAATGGAAACCTGATTCCTGTTTTGAGAAAAACACACACCCTGGCACTGTGACCTTACACCAATTATGCAGATAGTTTCTTTGCCAGCTTTTAGTTTGCTAGTAAAAGGCTGGGTGAACAAGTCGTGAAAAATATCCTGTTCTGAGCATTGAGAAGTTTCTCTGCAGGATCTTAAGGACTAGCAATGTGTTGTAGCTGGAGCAGAACTTCTCCGGGAGATGCATTCTGCTCTGCCCCATGGTGCTGGGTCAGCTAATTTTGGCATGGGCCAATTGTAAGAGTCTCTTTCACAAATCAGCATGGACTCCTTTCTGTCTGCAGGTATTTGCTCCCTCTGAAGAACAGGACCACCAAGAAGAAGACCCCGGTGGTGAAGAAAAGTCTGAATCCTCACTACAATCACACTTTGGTCTACAATAACATCTTTGCAGAACAATTGTCCCACATCTGTCTGGAACTCACAGTGTGGGACCGGGAGCCTTTGTCCAGCAATGATTTTTTGGGCGGTGTCCGGCTCGGAGTTGGCAACGGTGAGAAAGCAACAGGATCTGTTGAGGTTCTACTAGTCTTACAGACGTCTTGAATGGGGCACTTTCAAAAGAAAACGGGCTGACGTTGAGAGCTCTGGCAGACCTACAGTGGGCTTTAGGTGTATTGACTTTATTTTGGGGTTAGATTTGTATCCTGCCCTTTGTAGATAGGTTCTCCTCTCCCTTCCCTCCCCCCCCCCTCCTCTAAATAACAATGTTGTGAGTTGGGCTGAGAGATGGGAAGTTCTTCTAGTCTTAAGAGTGGACTGGAACTCTGGCCTCCCTGGGGCCAGATCAGTACCTTCATCCTTACACTACCTTGGACCTCCTTGATGCTCTGCAGTGGATCAGGTGCGTTTCAGGCCAAAGGAGTGTTTGTGTATGCATGTATAGATAGTCCCTGATTTACAACCATTCGTTTTAGTGTCCATTCAAACTTACAATGGCAGTGAAAAAAGTGACAATTTTTCACCTGACGGTTGCAGCATCCTCATGATCACATTGTTGGCAACTGGCATGTATTTATGACGGTTGCAGTGTCCCAGGGACATGTGATCCCCTTCTGTGATCACCTCACAAGCAAAGTCCATGAGGAAACCAGATTCACTTAACAACCATGTTACTATGAAATGGTATAGGGTTTCCTGCCTGAGCATGGGGATGGACTAGAAGACCTCCAAGGTCCTTTCAATTCTGTTTATTCCTATTCCTTCTCCTATTCCTACTCCTTCTCCTTCTCCTACTCTTACTCCTACTATTTCTATTCCTACTCCTATTCCTACTCCTTCTCTTACTCCTATTCCTACTCCTACTATTTCTATTCCTACTCCTACTTCTATTCCTACTCCTACTACTCCTATTCCTACTCCTACTATTCCTACTCCTACTCCTATTTCTATTCCTATTTCTATTCCTATTCCTACTCCTACTTCTATTCCTATTTCATTCTTCACTCCTTCTCCTACTCCTACTCCTACTCCTATTCCATTCTTTCTTGTACCACCATTACTGATTTCTCCTCTTTACCCTTCCTTTCGCTCTCTGCAGGAATGAGTAACGGCCAGGCAGCGGACTGGATGGATTCCACAGACGAGGAGATAAACCTTTGGCAAAAAATGCGCAAGTACCCAGGATCCTGGGCAGAAGGAACCCTTCCTCTTCGGGCTACCATGATCAAGACGAAGCCGTAACTTGTTTGGACAATCCAATCCGAAAAAGAGGTGGCTAGTCTGGAGAGCTGGCCCAAAACTGTCCACCTCCCGTAGCCCAGGAGCTAATTTGGGCAAGGGCCCCTTCTAAAGAAGGGGATGTTTTCCGGACGGCCTTTTTATTTTGGAGAATCTTAATTTTTGCAATATTATTGGTGCTCTTTTCTTAAAGTGCCTTTACATTTTTATTTTATTTTTTCATGTTCTGCTCTTTCCTTCTCCTTCCTGCTCCCTTTCCTGTGCTGTCCTTGTTTTTTTGTTTTTTTTTAAAAAGCCTTTTGGATGTAAGCTATTTTCTTACATCCGGTTTTAAATGTCACTGCTGCCTGCTCCCTAGCCAGCAGGAAAGGGTGACAGAAATAAAGTTCAAATCTGTCTTGCAGAAGCAGCAGGAATTCAACTGGCCTTGAAATCTCGGATACCGTACGATCCTGAACGTTGCATTTCAAAGGCTACTGTAAATTGGAAATCCCTAGAAAGGAGCTAATCACATTCTTGCATTTTCCACTTAACGAAGAAAGCTTATAGTGCTGGAAGTGGAGGAGGGAAAAAGGGGATAGAAGGATGTCTAAAATTACATGAATATGAAGAAAAGACCCAGCAAGAAGTCTTGCTTTTCTTGTCTGATGCCCAAATCTTGGATTATCTGTTGAAATGGAAAACTGGAGGATCCAAGACAGAAAAGAATTTATTAAGCAAATGGTTTTTAAAAGGAGACAGGGTAGATGAATGGAGAACAAATGTATCCCGATGGCTACGGTCTTCGGTAGCAGAAGCAGCCGTTGTCTTAATCCTGGTTTTACGAAGGAGCCCCAAAGAAGGATGAGCTGTTCTCTTTGAAACGATTACATCTTCAGTCTGATCTAGCCAGGCTTGGTTTATGATCTTATATCAGCCTTCAACTATCTGCTGCTCTCGTTATTATTTTTTGTTGTATTCAGTTGCTAAGTCGTGTTTGACTCTTTGCAAACCCATGGACCACAGCATGCCAGTCCCTCCCCCACCGCCCCCGTCCTCCACTGTCTTCCAAAGTTTGCCCACATTTATATTCGCTGTGTCAATGACACTATCTAACCATCTCACCCTCTGCCGTCCCCTTCTCCTTTCACCTTCCCTCCTTCCCAACATCAGGGACTTTTCCAAGGAGTCTTCTCTTTCCATTTGGTGGCCAAAGTACTTGAGTTTCAGCTTCAGGATCTGCCTTTCCAAAGGACAGTCAGGGTTGATTTCCTTGAGAAAGTCTGTAGAAACACAACCCCCCTTTTTAATATGTATATATTTTCCTTGAAAGTGGCCTTCTAGCCTAGACTGTTTTTAATCTAGGATTAAAGGATGCCGTGCAGGCATCCTCTGGTTTCCACATGTTCGTCTTCCAATGTCTCCAAACCCAGCCAATGTGGCAGATGTTGAAGACTTAAAGAGGCAGAGTCGCCTGCAAGAGCAGAAGGGCCCCAGTTGTTCCTTTGATGCTTTAAAATAGCCATAGCTCGTAGACGTATATGCCACTTACCAGTGCTTTACAGCCCTCTCTAAGTGGTTTACAGAGTCAGCGTATGGCCCCCAACAATTCGGGTCCTCATTTTATCGGCCTCGGAAGGATGGAAGACCGAGTCAACCTTGAGCCCTGTCAGGATCAAACGCCAGATTGCGGGCGATGTTTTGCCTGCAATATTGCACGTAACCACTGCACCACCGGGCCTCCTAGTGCTCTTAAAAGCCAGCCCTCTTACAAATTCATGGATTTATCTGATTTTTAACCTCCTTCAATCTTGTAATACTCAACAATTGCAACGTTGGAATAAAAACAACCACTTTTTTTTTTAAAAAAAAGCATACAATTCAACTCTCCCAAACAATGAGAAATCATAACAAGAGGCACAGGTGAAGCTATTGAAATGTGCCTTTAAAAAGCTCTTGTTTTTGATAACTTCCTAAAAATTAGCCGGGGGGGTGGGGGAGTCAGTCTGGTCTCTGGGAAGTCCATGCTATGTTGTTGGTGCTGCTATGGAGAAGCATCTTGGAAAGGATCGGGCTATAAGCCTCTCTTTTACACTGGTTTTCTTCTGCCTGTAGCCTTGATATTCTCGTAGCAAAATAAGCTCATGTAACTAGATTTGCTTCCCTGCTTTCCACTCGCTCTGTCTCTTTGAAGGTCTCTTCCCCTGACATCATATCCAAGTTGCAAAATCTTTTTTTTTTAGTAGTAGTAAGCTTGACTACTTTAAGAAACTGGAAAGCCCTGTGATTTTAGTTTTGGTTCATCTCTGATTGAAGAGCCTAAAACTCAGGAACGTTGGCTTATAATTGACCAGGATGGTAGGTTAAAAAACAAAAACAAAATTGTAGTTCACGAGTTTGTAATTGAACTCACTTAATTTTTGGTGAACCCTATCTTTTGGGCATATGCCCAAAGAAGAGCCGAGCTAAGAAGAGAGCAGAAAGGACAATTCAGAAGATCTTGTTCTTCACCAGTTATCTCATTGCTAGAGCTGGTCTTGCGCTGAAGTGCTCTAGATGTGAAACCACAACTCTGGAAATCCTTGCTCATGCTGGCTGAGGTTGATGGGAAATGGAGACCAAACCCATCAACGTCCGCCCATCAACGTCCTGCTTTAGGAGGGGAAGAGAATTATGATCCAGGCAACAAGAGTCTTAAGTGCTCTATGGAAAAATGTAGATTTGAGAAAGCATCTCCTTTGAAATAATGCCTCCAAGATTGATAGATATTAACCAGGCATAAGAATGCTGCTTTCTTGCTTAAAGGATTAGAAAAGAAACTTCTGCTGTTACCTTGGCTGAAATCCAACTGTTGCTTTTTGGTTTTACCCCTAACCAAGGCTTAACGTGAAACGACCACCTGGTTGAAGTTGGTGGCCGAAGGCAAACAGGCAGTTCCTTCTCACTCGCACATGTCCCTGTTCTGTTCTTTCTGTAGCTGTTCCTGGGTGCTCAGCAAGTACATATCCACAAAGGAGAACAGCTCATCAGGCGTCACTGGCTGAATGTAGCGGTCACGGTCTACGCCGTATTTGTCGATCAACACTACGTTGAAGCGAGAATGAGTGAGGTGCAGGAGCTGCCTGCAGAAAAAAGGTTTTACAGAAATATTGATTAGGCCACTTGCTCTTTTGCTCAACGAACACTTAGAGAAGGTAGCAAACCATCAAGAGAAGATGTTGCTGGCGAAATTCAGTTGCTGGGGGTGGGAGGGGGAGGTCTCAGACCTGGCTATTTTGTTCCTCTTGTCCTTCCTCAAGCAGCGCCTGCAGCCTGAGCCAAATCTTGTATCTTCTAGAAATCTGTCTTGCCTGTTTTTTAGATTAAAGGCAAATTGGATCCCTTGGATGGGCTGCTCTCTCAAACAGCGTTTCTTAACCTCGGCAACTTTGAAGATGTGTGGACAGCACAGAATATGTAGACATCATAGACCTGCTGGCTGGGACAATCTGGGACTTAAAGTCCACATCTCTTGAAGTTGCCAAGGCTGAGAAATGCTCCTTCAGCTGGACTGGAACAAAAATAGACTGCACCCTTTTGGAGAACCCGATGTGGTTCTTCTTGAGTGGTCTTCTCACTTCAACCTTTCTCACTATATCTAGTGGCAGGGAGTTGATTATACCATATGTATCGGAGTTCCTGATGGTCCCTGTGCTTGGTTGTTTTCCTGCACACACTTCATTACTCAACTAGGAAACATCTGAAGAACATCTGAAGATGTTACCTAGCTGCATAATGAAACATCTGCAAGAAAACAACCAAGCTCAGAGAGCACCAAGAACTCAATTTAACCCTGAGCTACAAATATTCTCTTCTGTTGGTACCGTCTCATTTTTTTAAAAAAGCTTTTTGATAAGTTCTCCCTTTTCTGATAAGTTGAAAGATGGCGAATGTGATTTCTAATTGGTTCCTGTGGCTATCCAGGACATATTTTGTCGTGGTTTGGTTCCCACTCACCTCAGTTCTTCAACTATCTTTTTGGAGAGTTGGAGCTCCCGGATTCTCCCCACGTCATGAGGTGGCAAGCCCACCAGTTCGATCACAGTCATGTGACGCACATCCAACCCACAGGTTGCTTGCTGCAATGGAGAAACAAGCAATATAGCAGCTCAGAGCCTTGCGGCTCTGGAAGACAGCAGGGAACGGGGAAGATCATAAACTCAGAGCTGGAAGGGGTTCACTCCCTGGTCAGCCTTACTTGCAACATGGCATTCTGCATCTTGTAGTAGCGGTCCGAGGAGTCAGGAGCCGAGACAACCAGCAGCCGGCGCTTTTCATAAAACTGATCCAAAAGTCCTGTGACTGAGTTGACGTCCACGTTGATTTGCATAGCTTGGAGGAAAAAAGGACAAAGCGTAGGTTGATTATTTTGTTCTTTTCATTTTTCCTTCCACTGTTCCATATCAGTTATCTGAATGGCTCTAATCCGAATGGCGTCCAGAAATGTTTTACTAGCCATGCTGTGTTGAAGGGAAAGCTTTTGTGGGAAAGCAAATCAAAAGCCACTTCTTTTTTTAATTAAAAAGTTTTACAAAAATTACAAAAAACACCCCAACCACCCCCACCCTGAAACCCCCCCCTCCCCTCTCCCTGCCCCACTTCCCAGAGCTGAGTACAGGGTAACAAATATAATAATCATAATCTAACAAACATTAACCAACTATATAAATAACCAAATCCATAATGCGTTTTAACTCCCCTTTAACATAAAATAAACAATTTAAAAATAAACATAATAATATAAACAAATTAATATCCTAATTCTTAAACAATACAATGTAATAAAAATTTGATAAACTATTAATAATAATCATAATTATACTCTAAAATTTATTCATAAAATAAATGGAGCTTTTTAGTCCCATATTTATTCTGAATATAATCTATCCATCTTCTCCAAACCGAAATATATCTCTTTTTTTCACAAAAAAAAAAGCCACTGTTGTTTGTTAGTGGTGGTTTAGTGTTGAGTTATTTTTTTTATTTTTTTTAAAAAAAGCACGAGCTGGCAAGAGGGATGAAATTCAACCCTTTTGAGGCCATCAGTTTTGGCTTGGCTTGATTTCTATGGAGAGTCTCAGTCATCCAGGTCATGGTTGTCCCAAAGATGCTTTTTTCAGGAGGCAACTGGACTTTCTTGTTTTTCTTTGAAGACGTTTCGCTTCTCATCCAAGGAGACTCTTCAGCTCTGACCGAACCATTTGCGCTTCAGTTGGAGATGCAGACATTTGAACTGAAAAAGCTTCTTGGATGAGAAGTGAAAGATCTTCCAAGAAAAACAAGTCCAGCTGCCTCCTGAAAAAGCACCTTTGGGGCATGGCTTGGTTGCTTTTCCTGCTGCCAAGACTTCTGCAACAGACAGAAGATGAGAGCAGGTTGCCTACTATAGAAGAATGGTTTCTTACAGTTTCTTATTTATCAGAAATGGCAAAAATATCGGCTTATCTGAAAGACCATTCACAAGAGAGATACAACTCTGTATGGAAAAGATGGGTAAATTTTGTTCAGAACAAATATGGGATTAGAAAGTATTATTTAGCTTTTGAATAATTTATTGTTAAAGTTGTTATGGTTAGATTTGTTGATTTTATTGTAATGGAGTTAAAGGGGTTTTAAATTTTTTTTTAGGATTTATGTATAATTGATTGATCTTCATTTAATTTTTTAATGTTCTTTTTGTTGTTTTTAGCTCTGTACTCAGCTCTGGGAAGGGGGGGAGGGTTAATGGGAGGGGGGAGGGAGAGAGGTGGGGAGGGATTTTATTGTAAAATGTTTATAAAAATTTTAATTAAAAAAGAAGAAGATGAGAGCAGGATTAGAGCTGAATTCAGGCTCTTAAAATTGAACCACCAAGAATCCCTGTGGTTCTGCATGGCCCCCTTTGTCTCAGATCCCAGATTTACTCACGGGTGCAGCTGGGCTGAGAACCAGACCACTGGCGGCTGGACAGGCAGACCCGTGAATGGGCACCCTCCAGTTCGTAGCCTCCATCACACTGGTATTCGCAGACGGCGCCATAATTGTTCCCTGCTGAAGTGCAGCTGAGATAGCCATGTTCGGACGCCTTCAAGGTGGGACAGCGACTCACTGGAGAAGGGAAAGTCAGTGGCCTCAAATGAGAAGGACTCCTTGACGCAACAAAACCCAACCTTTCAGAAGATCCTTGGAGAAGCTGTAGAGATGCCTGCCCAGATGGTTACAGGCAACTCCCTCTAGTCATACTCTATCTCTTGAAATATGTTAACTTAGCAAGCTACCAATGTCAGGTTGGGTTCCTGACAAATATCAGGTTGGGTTCCTACTGGGCGGGCCAAAACCAAATCAACCATTTTATTAGTGTCTTCCTTCTCTTTCCCATAGGAGGTGGTGTTTAAAGCACTTTCTCTTTCATTTTCCCCTGGTAGCGACAATCCTATGAGATTCGGGCTAAGTTCTTGAGAAGCTTAAAGTCACCCTTGATCTTCCATCGGTGAGATGGACCTGTTAGCTGGATTGCCTACTCCAGTATCTTCACTGTACCCTACTAGTAGGCTATTCTATCATGCTATACCTTAACACGCTGTACGAATCCAACTACGGGACCCCACAAAACACATGACCACAAGGATGTTGGTAATGATAGCAGCCTGAAGGAAAAAGGGAAGTCAAATTTTAGACCATGCCTCTTTTAGGGTATTTTGGGCAACAAATGCCCTCTCGTTCCTCACCTCGGACCCTCACCAAAAACTTGCAGGTGGCTCGATTGTGCGCCTGGTCATAGACGGCATAGCGAATAAGATGCTCTCCTTCTGAAAACTCGGATCCTGGCTCTGGGCCCCGGCGTTTCAGTCTGGACTCCAGGGACAGAGAGGCTTTCAGCATAGGATCACCACAGAGCAGACTTCCTTGAACCCTTCCGTGTCCCCACTGAGCTCACTTTTTGATGACGCCGTCCGCTGAATCCTTTGCGCGAGGTGGATCCCAATAAACTGTGGCGGTCAGTTTGCCAGGCTCCGCTATTCGTTCTCGAGAATCTGGGCACCGGATTTGAGGAGGCTCTATGTCTATTTTGGGAAAACGGGAGAAGAATTTCATGGAAAGAGGCAGGCCACAGAATGGCTAATAATTTCCCTGCTGTTTCAATACAAAGTCACCTCGTTTAACGGCTGCCTGTTTAGCAGTAAAATGGCAAGTTGAGATCACATGACCTCTCAGTGAATGATCCGCAGTGACTTGCTTAATGACTGAATGGGAAGTGGTGTCAGCCTATCATAATCACGGGATGTTTTGCTTAGTGACTGCATCACTGGTGCCAAAACGGTTGTTGAATTAGGATTGCCTTTACGCTGAACAAAGGAATGGTGTCTTGATGGTTTCGCAGCTCTCCCCAATGGCCAACACTCAGATATTTTAAGGATTTAAAAAAAAAAAACGAAATTAGAATAAATATTGCTGGGCAGGACAATGTGAATGCTGTGCCTCTTGGATCAGTGAGCGAGCCCACCAATTGTCTCATATGGTGTTTTTGTTTTGAGGTTGATGGTTTTAAGGATGACCACGACCAACTCAAAGCTGTTTTTGTGGATTTGGAGAACAGAAGAGAATGATACGGTAGATATTCAGCATCCTCTCAAAATAGTCATAGCCCAACAGTCACCACTGTTGGCTTTTATATAGTAGAATCTGTGGAGATTCTCAATCATCCAAGTCATGATTGTCCCAAAGGTGCTTTTCCAAAAGGCAACAGGCTGAGCCAGAGGGAGGGGTCAAACGTGTCATCAGTCTTGAGTGCCTTCACGCCTACAAGAAATCTAAGCTCAGCCCACCTTGAATTCAACTGACTCTTATCCGGACCATTAGTATTTCAGATTCTTGTAGAGAGCTTAAGTTTGCAACAAATCTTTATATTCATTTGAACTGCCTGGATTCCTGATCTTCCCATGCTTTGACAACTGGACTTTCTTGGGCGTTTTCCTTGAAAATATTTTGCTTCTCATCCCAGGAGCCCCTTGGAGGAGAAGCAAAATGTATTCAAGAGAAAAAAAAAAAACAAGAAACTCCAGTTGCCTTTGGAAAAGCACCTTTGAAACATGGGTGGCTTTGGAGAAATAAAGATGCTTGGCTCCAGTTTGGAGCAACTGTTTCACATTTATGAGCTGTAGGAGGGCCAAGTTGACTTCTCTTTTTGGACTTAGGCTGAAAGGAGAACAGCCCTGGAAGGGTGAGAATTTACCTACACAAATTGGCACACTACCGCTCCAGCGCCCGTCTTCCATGCACGTACGCCTGTGGTCACCTTCCAGATGATACCCCAGCTGGCAACTGTAGTCACAGTGAGAATCAACCTTCACTCCATTGGAGCATTGGTATGACCCATGCTGAAGTGCTGGCAACATGTGACATCGCAACTCTGCAAAGAGATAGAATCTAAACATTATTTACTGAGTTATATCCCACTTTAGAAGCGATTCCGTATTCTCCTCTCCAATTGCTATAAAACAGACTGCACTGAGACCGAACAATTGGGCCAGCATCGCTCGATGAATGTCGGCTGCAAAGAAGTCAGAAACCAGGATAGAATTAAAAAGTACTACAAGTTTATTTCATGCAACTGTAAACAAGAATCTGAAGTGCTAATGGTGAAGGCGAATTGGTGCCAGAAAAAAAATCAACGGATTTTGTGTGTGGGGGGGGGGTTGGATGTAAGGGGGTGTAGAGACTCCAGACTGATGATGCATTTGATCCTGCCCTCAGGCTCAACTTGTTCATCTCCTACAATGAACTTGAACTGGGTCCTAATTTTTTGTTGCAATACCTCCCTGATTGTCTCTTCCCTGCTTTTCAGGATGATTTGCACCCAGAGCTAAAGCCTTCACTTTGTAATGAAAATGTAGTATCAATTCAAGGCTGTTTGGCACTTCACTCTATAGTTGGAAGAGAGACCATTATTAGAGAAATTTCTTCCAGGAATTAGGCAAAATTGACTGCCTGAAATTTTCATCCAGTTGCATAGTGCTTAAATCTTGTCCTTTAAGAGTCTGGTGGCATGGTTCTCTAAACGGGGGCTCTAATTCAATTTTGCAAAAAGGCCAAGAGACTAGTCCTTCTACAATGAAAATTTAGGCCAACGTATTCCTGGAAACATTGGAAAAAGGATGAGTTCGAGTATTTTTCTAAAGAATCTGTTGATCTTGTCCAGACATTATGCTAAGCTATAGTATGATTTTAAATATCCATAGTGATATCATAGTGTGTGAATCTGGGCTATTTTCCCAACCTCTCATATGGGATAAATTAAGGGTTATTATAATCCATAAGCCAAACTCTTGTCTGCTTGGTTTGCAAAACCTCAAATTTGGACACATACACACCCAACTGATCATGGGTTATCTTAGTTTTGGTGGGGACTGGCTTCAGAGGGCAATCTGAGCGAATACTCACGTCTGCAGTAGATAATCCCAGACCAGTGGCGGTTCAATAAGCATTGCACAGACCTCGGACCGATCAAGCGATACCCACGGTTGCAGGAGAGGGCACAGCGTGTCCCCAGGCTGCTGCGGTAATTTCCTCCACGGGGTGAATAGCAGGTGGCCTCCCCATTGTAAATGATTAATGGATGACACCACTGAGGAACTAGAGAGAGAAAAAGTGAAGCTAGTAAAGAAGACCTCTTTATGATCTCAGGCATCACTTGCTCCTGTAGAATTATCTGTTCCAGCTTTGACAATAAGATGGAGGTTAAAAACGAGGCCTTCTTTTCAGTAGTGGCCAAATCATGCTTTCCCATCCTGTGTAGGTCCATTGTGTCCCACGTTGTCAGCTAATACTAATAACAGCTTGTGGTTTGGTTCTTTGTCTGGCATAGTTTCATTTCATTACAACTTATGGATGGAACAAAAATTGGAAAAGGTAGAATGTACTGTACATAAAATTAAGTAGATAATGGTTTCACCATAACACTAGAAAAAGGATTGCCATCACCATAATTTCTTTGAACTCTGTTCAGTTTATTATCTATTCTGACCAGAAATTCCTGCAAGAGGAGATAGTGGATTTGACTGAGTCTATGAATCATGCCTATAGGCTAATCAAGGAGCAAACTCCTGGCCACAATATGTGGAGACGTGTTGTGATGTAGTGATAAGTGGAAGGTGCTCCCTGCCTGTTAAATAGATCTCTCTCCTTTAAAAATGTCTCTGGTCTGAAAATAAAGATCTAAAGAATTGGCTATAGCTTTGACATTTCCCCAACCATCTGCCCCTAATTGGACATTTCATCCTGAATTTGGGAACCACAGTAAATGACTTTTTGTCTGGATTATTAGCTTCTCCTCTGAAGATCAGTTCTACTTTTCTACTGGAGCTTTCCAGCCACAAATTGTAGCTACTAATGGTCCACACAGGATCCCATGACTGGCCAGGGGGTTAGTCTTGGGGAAGGAAGAAAGTCTATCACTGATGGTGGTTCTGAGCAACAGTCCTCTTTTGGTCTTCTTCCAAGAAGGAAATTCCAAGTGAGAACTTACATCATCAACAGCTATAAGAGAAAGTCACCCCAACATTGTAAACTTGGGGATAAGGCCAGCTTCACGTTTTCAGGAGCCTAAATCATGTGTCCCCTAATAGATCTACTTGATGACAATGTCACTTGGCGCAATGTTCCAAAGAACTCTCAATGGCCAAGCCTATGTGCAATTTAATTCCTTGCAATTATCTCTTGATGACACCACAAAGAAGATACACTCCAACAAGGTGGAAGGCCCAGATCCGACCCTGTTGGGGTCTCAGAACAATAAAGCTCAGAATGGCAGTGGGTACCTTGATGATCTGGAGCAGGTACACTGGCGGCTTCCGTAAGATACGCGTTATCGTCCGTTTGACTTTCTTCAGGGGCATACCTAGACTCTGGGGGAGAAAAGTAAACCATAAAACCTACGGAAAGATCTTCGTCAAAATAGTCCATGTCCAATAGCCATGTATGATTGAGTGCGACTGGGGAATCTGTGTCACTGGAATGTCTCGCTACTCAGAGGAAAGACATAATTTATGATTCTTGCTGAATAAATGAATTTAACAGATTGAAGACCAACCATGAGCCGTCAGTAACTGGGAATCAGGAGATGCTATCCTGAAGGGAGACAGCAAGGCAGGCTGTCTTTCTTCAGATATACACAATGACTATCTCCCATCAGACCAGTGGTAATAAATAATAGGATGGAGCTGAACAGGGTAACAAGCAACTAACTTGGCCAGACCAGATGTGAGGAATGCATTGAAAAAAATTGGTTTTGAATTGGAACTTTCGTTAGTTTGGGGACCTTGATTTTTTGTTTATTTTTTCCCTTTTCAAAACCAAAGGAAAGGAACATAACCCAAAGTCTTTTACTAAGGTGACCTGCATCATTTTGTGCCATCATCAAGGTGACCTTGTAAAGTTAAGTTTTTGACCACCCAAGGCAATTGAGTAAATTTCATGTTTTGTTGTTGTTAGTTGCGAAGTCACATCCGACCCATCGCGACCCCATGGACAACGTTCCTCCAGGCCTTCCTGTCCTCTACCATCTTCTGGAGTCCCTTTAAGCTCACGCCTACTGCTTCAGGGACTCCATCCAGCCACCTCATTCTCTGTCGTCCCGTTCTTCTATTGCCCTCCATCTTTCCCAGCATTAGGCCCTTCTCCAGTGGGTCCTTCTTTAGAGAGTGAAAATGAATATGTTGCATGTGTTGGTGAACTAGTTTCAAAAGGAAAACAGTTCAACACAGTTTCTGCTGTTGCCTATCTACGCAGAAAAGGAGAAATACCATTTTCCCCATCAGCAACCGTAGATTAAGTGCATTCTTATCTATGAAGCCACAGGAGTGACTTGGAAGCAGAGTTAGCCAAGGCAGAACTCCAGTCTATTCATGGAGCTCACATTGTGGGCTCATGGCTTTCCAGGTGGACTTCTTCCAATGCCTGGAACTGCTTGCTGTGCCAAGGTGTGGTTTGCTTAACCGTGGCTGATTGATCCAGTAGGCTGGATTCATACATTACGCGAAGCCACAAAAGCCACGAAAGGGTTAGCATGTTCTGCAAAACCAGCTACAGGAGGAGAGCTCTTTATTTATGGATAAGGGAGTCCCACTAGGATCCTTTGCTCCTCCAGATGACTCCACAGTGTTGTGGTCGTCAGCAAAATTAGCCCAAGGCATTTCTCTTGTATGACTATGAACTTCATCAATGGAAGACCTGAAAATACTGTAGCAATAGAAAGTAACCCCCCCCCCCCAAAAAAACCCCTCGTTATTTTAAAACTCAGTACCAAAGCAATTTCTGGTATTGTCTGTATAGATGAAGTACCTTCAAATTTCTCTTAGCCTGGGAAAACTGTGGTCCTATTTAATGGGATTTCAGTTTTGGGAGGAAGCGAGAAGCTATAGCTGAGCCCCCCTTTTTTTCCAGAGTGTTCATCCCATCACTAAAAGAAGGAACACTCCAAAGAATGTCCCAGGATTGATCTGAAGCCTGTTTCCTTAGTGTTTCCTTTGCTACTTTTGTGAAGTTCAGCAGAACATGAGGGAGAAAACTATAATTTCAGTGGCAAGCTGCAGAAAACTGATTTGGATCCTGAGTGAATGAGGAAGCACCGGTGGATGGCATTTAACCCAAGGAGGTGACACTTCCTTTGGGTTATTTCCCATTCTGCATGATACAATTCATCCTTTCCATGGCTGGTTCTATTTTCTGAGTCACCGTGATTCCCTCTTGCAAGTAGTCCTCTCTGCCTTTTCATCTAATTTTAGTTACACGTGATTGAAACGAGGCCTGTTTTATTTTTGTCCTGAAACTGTGTGTCTGTTAAGCCAAATGCCAGATGTTTGGCTTGCTTTGAGAGTAGTCTCATTGTGCTCCTAAGTGGAGGGACGCGGAGGCTCAGTGTGGGCTGGTTGCCACAAACCCTAGGGTGAACGTCACAGTGCAATTCTGCAAGGGCTACAAAGCATGCTACTCAAACCCCTAAAAAAAGGTTTGGAAACTCTTGAAAACAGGCCATCTTGCTCCATCTGAATAAAAGTATTATTTTATTGTCTGGGGAATCTGACTGGAACGGGCAGTTTTGTTTTTCATCTAGATTGTTCTGGTTACGATGTTCTTCATGGTTCTGAGAGAGAAGCAGATGAACCAGAGAGAGTTCTACTCTAGATACAAAGGGGATCAAAGACCTCAGAAAGGGCATGGCTTATTCATTTCCCACTCAAAATTCCTCTGGCATTCAATTTCCAGGCCACTAGCCTCAAGCGAATGTCTGATGTCTGCTTTACCACCTTCTGCAAGGAAAGGGTTGAGTCAGCCTTCTTGAGAAATGCAGTCATTGTGTTTGTAGAATTCATAAATACAGTTGTCACACAGCCTCCTCTGTGGAATGCAGAAATTGCTCTCTCCTATTCGGCTCCAGCTTAGTGTTGGAAATCTATGCACAGTGCTGAATCGGTCCAAGCTAAAAGCAGGATCTCTTTCTTAAGGTCGCAATGAGCAGACCCAGCTTGCTACGCCAATAGACCATCCACTGTTTATAATGCAAGTTCGGCTAAGAAGAGGACACAAAAGTCAACATCCCCAAATGGCAGGAAAAGGAGAGGGATGCCCCCAACACACAGTGCTGGCGAACTCTGCTCTCACCACCTAGGTTTTGTGCAGTACTGCAGGCCACTTTAGCTGACTGTGTTCAGCAGGTCAGCGGTTCAAATCTCACCGGCTCAAGGTTGACTCAGCCTTCCATCCTTCCAGGGTAGGTAAAATGAGGACCCAGATTGTTGGGGGGCAATGTAAATATATATATATATATACATTGCTTACTGGTGTACAACGCTTAGAGAGTGCTTGCACTTAAAGCGGTATATAAGTCTCATAAATAAATAAAATAAATAAATAAATGCAGTGCTACTGATGCAGTGATACCAGGGCTTATGCTCTCATGGGTGAACTGGGTCACCAAGGAAGGCAGAACATTTTTTTTAAAAAAAAGTCCACTCCTTAAAGCAGTGGCACCCAACTTTGTTGGCACCAGAGACCAGTTTCATGGAAAACACTTTTTCCACAGATGGGAAGCGAGGGAGGAGGAACATGCCACCTAGATCCCTCACCTGCTCACTTTCCAGTAGGGTTTGCGCTCCTATGGGAATCTAATGCCTGATGATCTGAGGTGGAGCTGGGGCAGTGATGCTAGCACTGGGGAAAAGCTGTAAATACAGAGGAACAACAGCTGTGTAGCCCATGGGTTCGGGACTCCCAGTTTAGAGTCAATCAAATGGACAAATATTGTGCCAGATCTGAGTCTAGCGGGAGGGGTAGGCAACCTTGGCTCTTTTATGACTCGTGGACTTCAGCTCCCAGAATTCCTGAGCCAGCCTGACAGTGAGAACAATTAATCAGTGGAACGACTTGCCTCCAGAAGTTGTGGGTGCACCATCACTAGAGGCCTTTAAGAAGAGACTGGACAGTCACTTGTCTGGAATGGTACAGAGTCTCCTGCTTCTGCAGGGGGTTGGACTAGAACACCTCCAAGATCCCTTCCAACTCTGTTATTCTGTTACCTGTTATTTAATCAGTTCTCTGTTAATCAAAAGAACACAGCTTGGATACAGAGGAGGATGGCAGCAATGTTTCCAAAATCTTGAAATCCACCAAAGAGGGAAGAAGGGTGCCCCTGAGAATATTTGCTTGTTAGCTGTAGCGACCAAGCAGTGGATGGATTTTTTAATAAGGCATACAGGCAAAATCTGCTAAGAAAGGGAAAATGAACGACTCCCTCCGCCCCACTTGTGGTGTCTAACTGCTGTAGACTGATCATTTGCCAAAAATTCTCCCATTGGCCTGAAGTGAGGCATGGAAACTTTTACAAAAATATAGCATCTGATCCTGCAACCACAGGAAAGCTGTGGCATGCGTGGGAAGAACTATATTTACTCATCCCAAGAGATGGCCCCAGACCCATATGCTTACTGTTTCTGTCTCTCTCATCCTGTCAAAGTAGAATTCCAGGTTTAGTTTGGGGGCTAAAGAATGTGTGATGCCTTCCATTGCTTAACTTCTTGAATTTCTTTGACTAGCTCCTTTGGAGCCAAAATCCATCCAAGTTATTCTCCAGGTAGACGTGGCTTTGCCAAGACCAGACAGAGCTGGGTCATATATAAATATACCCTTGTCCCATTGTAAAATCAGACAGTTGATTCATTTGGGTTAATCTTGATCTATTATCAGCAAGGAGAAACTACCATATGGTCATCTTATTTATATATGCCTGGGTTTGCACATCCTGCTAAACTAGGATTTGTTATAACCATACTTTGTTAAAATTACGTTGCAATAAGTGTTCCCTATGCCTCCAAACAACCAAAATTGCACTGCTGTTCCCTTATCAGTAGCGTTATTTCAAGAGGCTTGGTGGTTGCAGAAATGAGACTGAGGGTCACACGTGGTCCAGTTTGTCCACCCTTGGTCTCTGCATCTGCAGCCTTAACAGAATTGAAAGGGACCTTGGAGGTCTTCTAGTCCAACCCCCTGCTAAGCAGGAGACCCAATACCATTCCAGACAAATGGCTGTCCAATCTTTTTTAAAAAATTCCCAGTGATGGACCACCCACAACTGCTAAAGGCAAGCCGTTCCAATGGTTAATTGTTCTCGCCGTTAGGAAATTTCTCCTTAGCCTTAAAGATGGCATCTCTGTATATAACAGAAACAGCGCCAGGATTGATCTGAATATGTTATTGCAGACTCCCCAAAGACACTGGACTGATGTCGTCCTCCATCTCCATTTCCCTCCACAGTTGTGGTTAGTCAATACTCGCCTGCATGCCATGTAGAGGACACCAATTTGGGCCAGAGAAGCAGGAAGACAAGCGATGCTTCTTGAAACATCTCTGCGTTCAGAGGAAGGTCGCAGCCAGCAGAGAAATATCAGCATGCCTTTGTAGTTGGTAATTCAGTCTAAAACCAAGGAAAAAAAAAGGCTTGAGGTTACTACAAGAGAGAGGCAAGTAGAACAACCCATGTAAAAGATGTAAATTCGCTCTGCATATTTACTCATGTGACAGAGGTTACGTTTCTTGCAGGAGAACGTGCAAAACCAAGGATCTTTTCTGAACTTTTAAATAGTTTACCTTTTCAAGTTCTGAATTTCAGATCTCAGCTCGGTGGGTATTGAAAATAAATTCCAACAGGTTCTGTTGAAGAGACTCCATATACTGTAAATGGAAGATGACAGCTAGCATCAAGCTGATCCCCTCATGAGAAAGTAGGAAATCCACTGAGGACCTAAGAGTTATCCACCCAAACGGTAGATCATTACTGCGAGTTAAAGCACATGCTTACTCCATGCTTAAGAAGGCAGCACACAAGCAATTGCATTAAATAAATACCTGCACGTAAAGAGGAAAGTGTGTATGCTGAGGCAGTTTGAAAAGACTTCTCCTACAAAGAAGCTGCAGGAAAAATTAAAGGGCAGAAACTCAAATGGAAAAAAAAATGCCACACACAATAGCTCATGATTCACTTTATTATCCAAAGAGGAAATGCGCCATGAGAATATTAAATCCACTTTCTAAATTAGCTAGAACCAACTCTTTGCCTAAATTCTGGGACTGTTGGTGAGGACCAAGGCAGAGAACGCAAATCTAAACATGTTTGTTTTCCTGCAAAGCCTTTGATCTGCTCCAGAAGACACGATTGATTTTAACTTCCAATTGTTTTTTTTTCTTTTTTAAAAAAGTTGCTCCTTCTTATTGCCTTACTGTGAGTAACAAGAGTATTTTACTGTCCACCGCAAAGCTCATACTAAGCTGCATTGCGAAACTGACTTGGAAAGAGCACCATTTGTTCCATTACATAAATAAACCAGCCTGTCTGGACACAAAGCCCTTTAGCTGGATTATACCAAGTGGGCTGATTGTACTTGGACATTTAGAGAATCCAAGTTGGAGAAAGCAGAAACAAAGACTCCAGCATTGTCTAATCCAAGGTGATAAACCCATTCAGCATCACTACACATCCGCATGTCTAAATGGGCAACACCCACCAAACTCACACTAAAAATGACACTATCACATAATTCTGAACAATTCTCTAACCAGCCTCACTAGGTCAGTGAGTCTTACAGAACACAGAATAACAGAGCTAGAAGCAGTGGTGGGATTCAGCCAGTTGGCACCAGTTCGGCAGAACCGGTAGCTAATTTTTTGTTGCCCAGGTCCAGAATGGACTTCCGGAAGCGGCATCCACACAGAGAACCGCTTGTTCACATATTTGAATCCCACCACTGTTGGAAGGGACATTGGAGGTCTTCTAGTCTAACCCTCTGCTCCAGAAGGAGACCCTATCCCATTCTGGACAAATGGCAGTCCCACCTCTTCTTAAAAACCTCCAGTGATGGAGCACCCACCACTTCTGAAGGCAAGTCGTCCCACTGATTAATTGTTCGTCACTGATAGGAAATTTCTCCTTAATTTTAGGTTGGGTGTCTCTTTGTTAAGCTTCCATCCACAATACTCCAATAGGTTAAATACTGCTTTCTGATTTTAACCCTACCGCCTCTTCCGAAAAACGTCTGAATGATGGACAAAACAAAACAATACAAAACTTTAATTGCAGGACTTAGTACAGGAAGAAAAGTTGTTTTTTTTCCCCCTTACCCGTCCCCTGTAGCGATCTTCCTCGTTCCTTTCTCTCACGCCATCGAGGAAATCCGTCTGAACTCGCTGCAAACTCGCCTGCAAAGCAAGCAGCAGCCTGTTCTTTGACAGGTCAGAGGCTGGGCTAATGCTGCCCAGATGTGGGGGCAGCCGAGGCTGCCCAGAGTCTGCTTTAAGGAGGGAAAAAAAAAAAAGAAAGAGCGAAGTGGCGGCGCGGTGACTGAACAACACACTTCCTAAAGAGGCTCAAACAGCTGCAGGGTTGCAGAAGCAGGCAAGGGCCGGTCGGGAGTCTTTCCAGATGTGCAGCCTGGAAGATGTCTTGACGTGCCAAGGGATGGTTGCAAGATCAAAGCGGCCAGCCAGCCAGCCGGGCGTGCGGGCGTGCTTCTTCTTTGAACTTTTTAAAGTACAACAGCGTGGGAAGCTTGACAGCTCAGCTTTCACGTTTGGGAGAAACTCTAGCGTAGAATGGGTTTGCTTTCCGATGTTATGGCTGCTCCAACACTGGAGGTTTTTTAAGAAGACACTGGACACTTATTTGCCCGAAATGGTAGATTATTGAGTCTCCCGTTTGGGCAGGGGGGTTGGACTAGAAGACCTCTTAAGGTCCCTTCCCATTCGGTTATTCTGCCTCCAACCTTAAGAGGCAGAGGGAACGGAGGAAGCCCGGGAGGAAATCTTTATTTATTTGCTCTCTCGCTTGTTTATTGAAATGGATTGGCTGCCCAGCTCATCCTGGACGGCGTACAAAACGACAAGCAAAGGGGGGGGGGAAAGGGGGAGGGGAGAGAAACTAGCTAAAAAGCAATAAACATACAAGTAGCCTGGACTACTGTAAGATGATCTAATCAAGAACAAAATAAACAAGACGGGTCATGAGACGAATAATTGCAAACAAAATTAAATAAAATTAAAATGCCTGGGAATCAGGTCGGGACAGGCTCTCTTTTGAAAGTTTAAAGGAGGAGCTGGATTTTGCCAAGCAGGCAGACATTCAACAGGGCTAGCCGAGGGGGAAACTCGGCAGAGGAAGAGGCAGGATTGGCAGACCCGAGAGGAATGTTTGCAGCTGTTGATGCAAAATCGAGCCCCGTGGAAAAGCAAAGCAAAGCAAAGCAAAGCAAAGCAAAGCAAAGCAAAGCAAAGCAAAGCAAAGCAAAGCAAAGCAAAGCAAAGCAAAGCAAAACAAAACAAAATAAAATAAAACAAATCTCGTCTCCCTCGGGGTCCCTCAGCCCATTTTGATCTTTAAAAGCCCCGAAACTCTCCAATCCGCCGCTGCTGCTGGACTGGCGCCATCTCACGGTGCAAGCAAAGCACCCTCGCCTCTATTTCCCAAACCAGCCTGCAGCTGCTTGAAACGCGTTGAAAAAAGCAGGCGAGGCGTCGGAAAAAGCCGAGGGAGTTCTCCTGCCTCCTTTCGGGAGGTCTCGGAAAGGCCCGGATCGGGCTCGCGAAAGGAGCGGAGCCGTTCGGAACCTTCCGGAAAGACACTCGCCACGCTTGAGGTTGGAGCGACGTTGGCTTACCCGACGGGGGGGGGTCCCTCTTTCGGCAATTTCCGGAGAGCCTCGGCAGGTCCGCCCGGCTTTGCCATTGGCCGGGAGAAGACGCCTCTCCGTTTCGCCCTTTTCCGGAAAGGCTCGGCTTGTTCCGCCCAGGCTGGCGGCTGGAACATTGTCGGAGTCTGGCTTCGTCGGGACGAGCGGCGGAGCGCCTGGTCTGGGTCGGGGATGGCATCCCCCTCGCGGAGGCTGCAGACCAAGCCGGTCATCACCTGCCTGAAGAGCGTCCTCCTCATCTACACCTTCGTCTTCTGGGTGAGGAAGGGTCTAGGGAACAATGGGGGGCGGAGGAGGGGTCCCTTCCCACCCCCCAAAGTTGCCTCTTGCAAAAAGAGGGGCGCCGTTTGCAAAGAGAAGGAGGACTACATGCCCCATCAGGTAGCACAGCCCATGATGGGGCCTCCGGTCCCACCTGCCTGCAGGAGACCCGGCCAAGAGCTTAACACCGTGTGCAAAAAACGATATGCGGTTCTACCCCAGCAGTTTTTCCAACCTGGAAACTTTGAGATGCATAGACTTCAATTCCCAGAATTCCTCAGCCAGCATTATTGGCTTATTTGTTTGGGCGTTGCATGCGATGGGAATGCATGAATGCAACGCTGCATCTAGTATGGTTGGACGAAGGCTATTCTTCCCATTGCCCTCCTGTTCTTTGCATTTCTCTGCCACGCTTACCGCTTGTCGCATTTAACCAAAGTTTATTTAACCGTAATCCTTGAGGTTGTGTGAACGGAACCCAGCCATTGTGGCTCTGGAGTTGTGGCTTAAACAAGAGGTGTGAGCACTCAGCCTTTGCAGCTTCAGCCCTTCCTTATCCTGCCAACTTTGCCGTTTGAGAATTCTTTCCATGCAGAAAAAAAAATAGAGGAAAGGTGACTGGTTTCAGGTGAAGGTGATGCATTTTAGTTCTCCATCTACTGATGAGATAATCTGGTTGTAATCAGGGTGCCAAGTTCAGTCTCTTACTTTCCCTCTGCCCTTGTGCCTGATCAAGAGTTGTTAAGTTGCAGGGAGTTTTGTAAACTGAACACAAGGAGAAGCTCTTGCAAATCTTTTTCCCACACAGCAGGAAGAACCATCTCCTTCCTCTTGTAGCTTGGTCTCTAAAGACACTCAAGGGAGAGAAGCGAAATATCAATTTCCCACTGTCTCAAAGGAATGTGCATCCTGTTTCTTTTCCTACCTCTTCTGGGATCAGCAACAAAGGCATTTCTTGCAGATGCAATACAGCCTGATGAAATGGACACCCCAAAAGAACAGAGCACCCCCTTGTCTCTCAACACCCCCTCCCCATCTAAAGAGGACACATTGAAATCAAATCAGTTTATTACAGCCATAAGGCCAGAAACAGTAAAATATCCAACTGTTGGCTACTTACGTACATGCATATGTAAAAATGCACTGAGCATGATCTAATGATGATTAAGAACAAAGATAATAAAGTTAATTTTAAGAAGTAGTATTAAAAAAGAAGAATGTGTCCAAACAAATGATGGTACAATGTCGTTGACTTATAGCCATTTGCCACTTCGTCTATATATTATTACATCTATATTTTGCTGTTAACCAGCAAAATAAAATACCTTATCAGTCCTACTAAAGTTTGGATATATCCCACAGACATGTATTAAAGGTGGCATCTGGACTTTTTGCAATCTCCTATAAGTTAGGCTATAAGTTATTAAATGATTAAACAGATTTTACTGCACAGGGGGTATAGAAATGTGTTCCTTCTTACAGATAAGAGAAGAATAAAATGAATCTAAACGGCTTGTAAATTTCGATACAATTTGAAACAATGTCTTTAGACCCAACTACCTCTATAAAAACCACCATATACAAAATCTAAAGATAATACTTTCAAACATGTTTATCTTATTTATGTTTCCGACCGAATCCTCAGTGAAATATATTTTCTCTCCAACCATCAAAACTCCTCCATATTGTAATCAAATAACATTATTGCTTGGATAAGGTAGAGAACCCCCTCCTTCAAGGAAAGGGCTTAGAGAATATGGTAAGGAATATAGTAAGAATGTTGTAAGGAATATAGTAACAATAGAGTAAGGAATAGAGTAAGAATATAGTAAGGAATATTGATCTTCTCTGATAGGTGCCAGGATTAAGATCTTGAGTCTTTCTACTTTTTTCTTTTTTAAAAAAGTTGCCAGCTTGCTTTTCAGGATTTTTTTGGGGGTGGTGGTGGTGGTGAATAGCAATGTATGGAATGCAGTCAGTAACCATATCTTTTCCTTTCAACTCTGCTGCTTCAGGCTTTGGATTCAGGTGAGTGTGGTTTTTCCAAGGGAGTAGCAAAATTAGTCTTTTGAATGCAGCTATTGTTGTTTTTCTTTGTCTCTTTCTACAGAAGAGAAATGGAAGGGGATCTGTGAATGTGGGAAGGGGGGTGGGTGGGGAAGTGGGATCTAGGGCACGGGGGAATCCCCAAGGGCTCACTTTTGAAGAACATGGTTGTAGAATGAGAAAAATACCTGCTTATGAGATAAGAGGCTCAGTGTGCAGTGGGAGGTAAAAGAGAAAACAAAACTTTCATAGAGGCTGGGTAAATCCTTACTTTCCTTGAATGATCTACTGTGCAGTTCAATTGCACGCTTCCTATAGGATGGTGAGCATTGTTTGTCAAAAACTTTAAAAAAGAGTTTACAAAGTACAACCTCATCCTGAACCCTTAAAGCAAGATGATGGGCTGCATAATTTTAGGAGGAAAGACCATCGTGGATCATCAGCTTGGTCTAGTGCAGTGTTTCTCAACCTTGACAATTTTAAGGCATGTGGACTCCAACTCCCAGAATTTCACAGAATTCCACAGCCAGATGCTCACCGCGATGTAAAAAAGATGCTGAGACTCTAGAAAGAATACAGAGAAGAGCAACAAAGATGATTAGGGGACTGGAGGCTAAAGCATATAAGGAATGGTTGCTGGAATTGGGTATGTCTAGTTTAATGAAGAGAAGGACGAGGGGGGACATGACAGCAGTGTTCCAATATCTCAGGGGCTGCCACAAAGAAGAGGGAGTCAAGCTATTTTCCAAAGCACCTGAAGGCAGGACAAGAAGCAACGGATGGAAACTGATCAAGGAGAGAAGCAACCTGGAACTAAGGAGAAACTTCCTGACAGTTAGAACAATTACTCAGCCGAACAACCTGCCTCCAGAAGCGGTGAATGCCGCAACACTGGAAGTTTTCAAGAAGAGACTGGACAGCCATTTGTCTGAAATGGTATAGGGTTTCCTGCCTAAGCAGGGGGTTGGACTAGATGACCTTCAAGATCCCTTCCAACTTTATTATTATTATTATTAATATGAATGGGAAACATCTTCTGAGATGTTCCCTTTTGACTTAACGCATTTTTTTCTTCTTCTATTCTTCCAGTTCTCTGGCATCATCCTTCTGGGCGTCGGGATTTGGGGCAAGGTGAGCCTGGAGGTCTACTTCTTCCTGCTGAATGAGAAGGCCAGCAACGTTCCTTATGTCCTGATTGGGACAGGGCTCGTCGTCGCCCTGCTAGGCACCTTTGGCTGTTTTGCAACCTGTCGCGGAAGCACATGGATGCTGAAACTGGTAATTGTCCCAAATGGCCTTTGGTTGAACTGCAAGAGACTGGCTGGGGTTTGCAATTTCAGTCCATGGGAAACACGTGCATGTTATCCTGTTGGTTTCTTTGATTGACAATAGAAAATTTATATTCTGTTTTTATTTAAATACAGGACAGAATTTTAACCCAACTAGACCCTACTTTATGATTTGGGACTTTTTCCCCCTCTGCAAAGCGTCTTGTTATAGCTGGGGTACAGGCGCTCCTTGATGTACGACAATTCTTTAACCACTGAAGTTACGACAGTAACTGAAAAACGTGACTTGTGGCTAGTGCTCTCACAAATGACCATCGCAGTGTCCCTACGATCACTTGATCGGAATTTGGGCGCTTGGCACCTGGCGTGTATTTATGATGGTTGCACTATCCTGGGGTTGTGTGACACCCTCCCCTTTTGCAATCTTCCCAGCCAGCTTTTGTCAATCAAAGTCAACGGGGGAAACCAGGTTCGCTTAACGGATGCGTGACTTGCTTAACAACTGCAGCAATAAAAGTTGTAAAATCAGGATTGATTTTGCTTAGTGATGGAAGTTCTGGTTCCAATTGTCATAAGTGAAGGACTTACTTGTATAATATTTTTGACTCTTGTACCACAGCAATGAGGGTCATTTTGATCTTCATTCCTGTTTTCTGTTCACAGTATGCTATGTTCTTAACCCTCATCTTCCTTGTGGTGCTGGTGGCTGCCGTTCTGGGTTTTGTCTTCAGACATGAGGTGCGTGCTATGTCTTCGATAATTTGCTGTTTTAATGGGGTAAAAATGGAACTTCCTGCTGTTTTTCCTCAGGAAGTTTTCAGTAGGATCCTTTTTTTTTTTTGCTTTCATTGAAAGCTGGAGCTGGCCAAACAGCAAAGATTCCTGAAAAATCCTTCCAGCAAATATTATTGAATATTATTATTCAACAACAACAACAACAACAATAATAATAAAAAGTTGGAAGGGACCTTGGAGGTCATCTAGTCCAACCCCCTGCTCAGGAAGGAAACCCTATACCATTTCGGACAAATGGCTGTCCAGTCTCTTCTTAAAAACTTCCAGTGTTGGAGCATTCAACGCTTCTGGAGGCAGGTTATTCCACTGGTTAATTGTTCTAACTGTCAGGAAGTTTCTCCTTAGTTCTAGGTTGCTTCTCTCCTTGGTTAGTTTCCATCTGTTGCTTCTTGTCCTGCCTTCAGGCGCTTTGGAGAATAGATTGACTCCCTCTTCTTTGGGGCAGTCCCTGACATATTGGAAGACTGCTATCATGTCCCCCCTTGTCCTTCTCTTCATTAAATTAGACATACCCAATTCCAACAGCCTTTCCTTATATGTTTTAACCTCCAGTCCCCTAATCATCTCTGTTGCTCTTCTTTGCACTCTTTCTAGAGTCTCAACATCTTTTTTACATCATGGTGACCAAAACTGGATGCAATAGTCCAAGTGTTGATCTCCATTTTTTAAACACAGTTTCCTAAGAAACTCCATTCATTTATCTAGAGTCCAGCTGGATTGAGGTGGTGTGTAATTTCATAGTAAAGACCTTTGGGGACAGTAGGAGTGTGTGTAAAATTGCCCTTAAGTTGCTCAAAGCTTCTCTTATGTTCTATAAAACTTTGGAATTTCTTTCCAAACGAGCCTGTCTGACTTGTGACTGAAATTTTGCATAGCCCATTTAGGGCAGGATTGTATGTAGAAGCTGTTTGAATCCAAAGCAAAACGTGGATTGTAATGTAAATCTTTCCAATTCTAAATCCTTTATATTTTTAGCATCCATGGTGGGGTGGCTTAATGTGCCAAAATGCATTTGAAGACATCTGCTCTGCCATTTTTTGCTGTATAAAAATATGCGTGGATTCTCAGTTTTTTTTTAAAAAAAGAACACAGTTTAACACAAAAGCTTTGAAACTGACAGAAAATTACACCTCTAATTTGAACAATATCTTGAACGTGGCGTTTTTCTGTTTCCACAAAGTCTTTTCTAAGAATCCACCATCCTGATACGTTATCAGGCCTTGCCATTTTCCTGCTTTTATTCCTCTGCATCTCCCGTTACTTTTAACTCATTCAAATGGCTGAAGGTGTCTTTTGATCTGGGGACAACCTCCCCTGTACATAATGGAACTTTCTCCTCTCCTTACAGATAAAGGACAGTTTTAAGAAAAACTATGAAAATGCTGTGAAGCGTTACAATGGGACCAAAGACGATCCTAGCAAAGCGATTGATGACATCCAGAAAACAGTGAGTGGAAACCTTGTATTTTTCCTCTGGGTTTGTTATAACTTATATACTTATGGTTTGTTATAATGTATAAACCTATAGCTTGTTTGTCCCTGAAACACCCTTGAGGTGGAGTCCAGTGAACTCCCTAAATAAATCTTGAAAAGTAGGAGAAGCAAGGTTATGAACTCTGATAAAATTGGACCTTTACCTATGACAGGGGTAGGCAACCTGGGCTCTTTTATGATTCATAGACTTCAACTCCCAGAATTCCTGAGTTCAGCTATGCTCTTTTATGGGCTCTTTTATGATTCATGGACTTCAACTCCCAGAATTCCTGAGTTCAGCTATGCTCTTTTATGGGCTCTTTTATGATTCATGGACTTCAACTCCCAGAATTCCTGAGTTCAGCTATGCTCTTTTATGGGCTCTTTTATGATTCATGGACTTCAACTCCCAGAATTCCTGAGTCAGCTATGCTCTTTTATGGGCTCTTTTATGATTCATGGACTTCAACTCCCAGAATTCCTGAGTTCAGCTATGCTCTTTTATGGGCTCTTTTATGATTCATGGACTTCAACTCCCAGAATTCCTGAGTCAGCTATGCTCTTTTATGGGCTCTTTTATGATTCATGGACTTCAACTCCCAGAATTCCTGAGTCAGCTATGCTCTTATGGGCTCTTTTATGATTCATGGACTTCAACTCCCAGAATTCCTGAGTCAGCTATGCTCTTTTATGGGCTCTTTTATGATTCATGGACTTCAACTCCCAGAATTCCTGAGTCAGCTATGCTCTTTTATGGGCTCTTTTATGATTCATGGACTTCAACTCCCAGAATTCCTGAGTCAGCTATGCTCTTATGGGCTCTTTTATGATTCATGGACTTCAACTCCCAGAATTCCTGAGTCAGCTATGCTCTTTTATGGGCTCTTTTATGATTCATGGACTTCAACTCCCAGAATTCCTGAGCCAGCATAGCTGGGAGTTGAAGTCCATGAGTCATAAAAGAGCCGAGGTTGCCTACCCCTGACCTATGGGAACCAGAGAATGGGATCTTACCAGATGAATTTAAAAAAAAACCCAATCAAAAACATTTATTGACTTCTGGCCCATCACACTTGGCATCTGAAAAGATCCCATACTCCTATTGACCAAAATATTTTAAATGCCTCATTCAGTATATTGTATGATTTTCCATTTAGTAAGAAAGCCGGGAATTTAAGATAGGTCCCTGTACTTCCAACCGCCTGCTACAGGATGTGCCAGCTTAGCGTTGTGGAAGTTAATACTAATCTGAATAATCTGGGATATAAAATTAAAAGCAGAGGGCAGGCTGCGAAAGACTGGAGTGAAGTCTCGATGGGAAGACACATTATCGATCCTGTGGTTTGGTCTTGGAGTGGGAATAATAGAATAATAGAGTTGGAAGGGACCTTGGAGGTCTTCTAGTCCAACCCCCTACTCAAGAAGGAGATCCTAGACCAGGGGCAGGCAACCTTGGCTCTTTTATGACTCGTGGACTTCAACTGCCAGAATTCCTGAGCCAGCATGGCTCAGCTTGGAAACCTTTCCCTTTCCTTTCAGCATAGCTAGCTCAGGAATTCTGGGAGTTGAAGTCCACGAGTCATAAAAGAGCCAAGGTTGCCTACCCCTGTCCTAGACCATTCTGGATAAGTGGTTGTCCAGTCTCTTCTTGAAACCCTCCAGTGATGCAGGACCCACAAGTTCTGGGCACAGGCCATTGCACATCCGATACTGATACTGCTTTTTCTAAGAATATATTAGCTACGCATATATGTGAAACGTATACAAGATATCCCATTGTTTAACTTCACACTCTGAAATGGGCTTCCCAAAGGTATTTGTTGTCAGCATAGACCACTTCAAAGCCAGTTCCAGAAAAGATCTCTTTCAAAGTTAGGAAGACCCACAATAGGCTATGTAGACCCAAGAGGTGTCCCACTTTAGGGTGGTGGTATATGTTTTTGCCTTGACAGTATAGTTTGCGTGTCTTGCCACGGTCATCAAGTGCTCACTTGGTTTTTGCACAGTTGCACTGCTGTGGTGTAGAGAATTTCATGGACTGGAACATGAGTGATTACTTCAAACAAAAAGGCATCCCCATCAGTTGCTGCAAGCCTTTGGAGAACTGCACGGATGATGACTTGAGGAACGTCACCAAAGCAGAAGGCAAAGTTTACGAACACGTAAGTCAAGGCCTGCTGACCTTTCTGGATTTCTCTAGAATCTGGAAATTGGCCAATTCCTCCAGATTTTGGTTTGCTAGCAAACCAAGGTCCAGGCAGAAGAAGAACATCATGGCTTCAAAATCTAAGGGACTGGTTTGGACAAAACTCAGCAGCACTTTTTCGTGCAGCTGCTGATAAAAACAGGATCGCCAACATGATCGCCAACGTCCGATAACGGATATGGCACAAGAAGAAGAAGAAGCAGGCTGCTTAATGGTAGCTTGTTGTTGTTTTGCTACCTTTTACTGAGAAATAGATGAAAATAACTAGATTAAGCCGCTCACAAAGTTAACCAATTTTTCAGTGAGAGAAATAAGGTGGCAAATCGGTTCCCCCATTTCACCTTTGTCTCTTTCATTGCCGTCATGACGTTGCCATTTTGACCTTTTTTCCTGGGCTGCAACGAAGGTGCCCACCCTTGTATGAAGACATGGCTAGTCTTAACAAAGTTTATTGATAAGCCATGATGGATGGTTCACCTGATGCTGTGCCATAAGACAACGTCTGTTGGTCCAAGGGCCACATTAGGCTTTGCCTGGGCTAACAGAAAGTCTGTAATCCCAAGAAGGAATGAGGCAGGATGTGTCTTTAGGGAGCTTTTAAAGCTGTTAAAGCAGAACATGGGGGTCTTGGGTAGAAGGAATGAAGCTGGAACTTCCCTAAGCCTCAACCTCACTTTTTCATTGTTTCCATGTCTATGAAATTAGTTTAGCTCAAGTCATAGCATGTCCATGATCATGCTATGAAGCACGATGTGAGATAACAAGGACTGTGTGGCATGGAATGCAAACACTAGATTGTGAAGCGGTCCTGGTTTTTATTCTCTGAATCTCCCTACTTCCCGTTGAGCTGAAAAAAAAAAAAAAAAAGAGCAGGTCTGGATTATTAATCCTTCCAAAGCCCACTGCCATAAAGCCGATTGCGCTGCACAAATATTGACACATGCTGGAGGATCTTTGCAAGTCTTCCATCCGATTGAAAGAAATCGGCATGTGGTCTTTGATTATAAGGTTAAAGTCAAGTCAAGGTTGAAGTGGACTGGATGTGTTTTTTTTTTTTTTTGGTTCCGTGTGAAAAGGCGTCTCTTGTTTTTCTCTGAAGGGTTGTTTTAGCCTGGTGATACAAACCATGGACTCTGAGATGGGTATTGTGGCTGGGATCGCTTTTGGCATGGCTTGTTTCCAGGTGAGTCTTCCTTGAGGATCTTCGTCTATCTTAACGCCTGTAATTTTTTCTCCTCTCCATTTGATCTTTGATTACCATGCTAGCAAAGGCACATGGGGACCCCTGGCCACTGCTGCTGAGTTAAGATGCTATTTCTCCTTCTTAAGCAGCACCAATAGCTGGCTCCTGTCCAGGAACCCCTTTTGTTTGCCCTCCAGCCCCCAAATAATTTTGGGACGGAGAGGGATTCTCACCTTCACACACATCTAGCCTCACAGAAGATGCCTAGAAGTTGTTGGGACCAATTTTACAGTAAAACCTTGTTGGTTATGCAGTAATGGGGGAATAGGGCAGGGCTTTTCAACCAGTGGTATGGGTACCACCTGTGGTACATTGGCACCTGGCAGATGGTACGCGACCATCCTAGAAAAGTGGTAGCGGGGGAGGGGAATGAGCTGAACGGGTGGCAGCACCGCACAAGCCTGAGCGAGAGATGGCTGGAGCTGCAGGGCTGTCAGGACTCAGTGGAAGCGCCAGGATCAGCGACAGGCTCCAGCTGGAAAGTAGCACTGATCCTGGCGCTTCTGCTGAGCCCAGAAGAAGCACTGATCAGCTGGAATGTTGCAGCCTCTCCAGGGTCTTGTGATTTACATTCAGATGCTTGGCAACTGATTCATATTTATGACAGTCACAGTGTCCCAGGGTCGTGTGAAGTGACCAAAACCTGCTGCCACTCAGCAGACAGGGGGAATAAAAACCAAACACCCTCCCCACCCCACCCCCCTGCCATTTATATAACTTTAGAATAGTTGCAGAAGTACGCTATTAATGTCATCGACAGATAATTTGACGGAAATGGCAGGGATCACTGGAGTGATATGAAAGTACATACCTCAAGCCCCAAAGTCCTCAAGCTTAAAAGTAGCTAAGTGAGAGATTTATTAAGTGAGATTTGCCCTTTTCTTGCAATGTTTCTTGCCACAGTTGTGAAGGGAACCACTGCAGTTGTTAGTAATATGGTTAAGTGGATCTTGAGTGACGTTTCCTGTCAGAAGATTACAAAAGGGGATCACATAATGCTGGGAAACTGCAACCGTGTTATAAATGAACCAGTCGCCAAGCATCTCAATTTTGATCCCGTGACCACAGGGATGCTGGAACGGTCGTAAGTGTGAAAAATGGCCGTCGGTCCCTCTTCAGTGCCGTTGTAACTTTGAATAGGCACTACGCGAACAGTCGTAAGCTGAGGATTTATCTGTACAGATATTTAGCTGGGTGCCATCCAGTTAATCCTGTCTTTCCCTCTTTCTCTCCTAGTTGATTGGCATTTTCTTGGCCTGCTGCCTTTCCCGGTCTATCACAAGTAACCAGTATGAGATGGTGTAACACTGCAAGACGGGAGTTCGCCTGACACTCCAAGGTATAAATACTTTGCAATAAAGAACCCTTGCATCTTGCATTGCCCTCTGTTGTTAAGGAGGGTTCTCTTTTTGAAATCAAAGAAATGGCCCGAATCTGGGTAAATTAATGGGACGGTTTGACAAGCAAAGCACTTGCCAGTTTCCAAAACCTTCCCGGTTTGTTTGATTTGAAGTGAGAAGCCCTATGCAGAATCAAGCCACTTGACTGGGCAAGCCACTAATATATAAAATGACAGCAAAGCCTTGTCCTTATTAGCACTGAGGATATCTGCACGGAAACAGCCAAGCTCAGAGAGCACAAAGGACCCTACAATAGTAATCCTGTTCCTCCTCCTCCTCCTCCTCTTTTCCACAAACCCTATTCCCCTTCTAGCACTGATAATGTTACCTAGTTTGGTAATGAAACGTCTGCCAGAAAACAACCAAGCTGAGAGCACAGCAAGGACCCCCATATCAAGCCATGCGGTTAGTTTATCTTAGTGGGTGAGCGTACGCTTGAGGTGGTCTTTGTACCATAGAGGATTGAACAGAGTATCCATTCTATACACTGTATAGAATAATTGGATTGGACAATTGTGGAATTGGAGGGGACCACAAAGATCATCAACCTTAGTAGTATACAGTGAAACCAGTGGAAACCATTTATGAGCTTCTTAATAACCTTCAGAGATTGAGGACTACAAGTTCTATTGGTGGTTGCCCCGGTCTTAGAAAGCTTTTTCCTTACGTGTCAAAGAAATGTTTAGGAGCTGCAACCTGTTGTCATTATTTCCTGGTTATGTCTTTTAAGACCCTGTAGTATCAGGTTGCCTCCTGTACACCTGTTCAGAGTTTCAGTGACTTTTAGAAATGTGGCCTCTAATATCATATAACCTCTGAGATCAGTTGTATTCTTGCAGTTTTCCATCTGCTGGGAAGCTGATGCCTGCTCATCATAAAGCCTTTAGCCCAGGGGTCTTCAAACTTGGCCCTTTTATGACTTGTGGACTTCAACTCCCAGAATTCCTCAGCCAGGCACTGAAGTCCACAAGTCATAAAAGGGCCAAGTTTGAAGACCCCTTGCTTTAGACAAATCAATAGTAGATGTCCTTTTGAGACTTGCTTTTTCTTCAGAAATGGTGATTGCAGATTTGGGAAATAATCGGAGGGATGGTCATCAGCCGGATGTGCACGTTGCACTAAGCCTGACACATAACAGTAAGGTGTAAACCATGTTTACAAACTATGATCATTGGTTTGTGTAGCAAGCACTAGACCCATTATGGCTTAATGTGTAATTTCTTGGCATTTAAAAACAGCTGTCTCTTAATATCTTCTTTTCTGTTCTTTATTTGCAGGGTTTATTTAAACAAACAAAAAACAAAAACAGAAGATTTTTTTTTTTTAGGAGCCACTTCCCTGACAGACTTGAGCTATGGAAAACCCGTTTGATTTGACTGCTCTCTTTGGGATTTTATTTGAATTTTGTTTGAAATTATGGAGCTTTTCCTTTGAGATTTGAAACTACTGAGGACCAGTAGTTTTAAAAATAGATTTTTTTTTTTAAAAAAGGGAGGCTTTACATAGTACTATTTCATAGTACTATTAGTTTCATTAGTTTTATTTGTGTCATTAATCTTCAATGTATTTAAGTGGACATATTATTTAAATTTATATTAGCCTGTTCTTGCTATTGTAGTGTAACTTAACCAACAGCTGCCTCTTTTAGTTAAAGGCTCTTTTTCTCCCTTGAGTAACGCTTCTCATTCCGGACTATCAGATCCTACTCAGAACCAAAGTACCTTCCAAAATTATGATTTCGATCCAGAATTCCACAGCTCTTTAGCCTGGGGTTCAAATACTATATTTTGGGGCTCAAATACTATATTTTGTTTCCGTTGGATCCATTTCTGGAGGCTTCAGCATGGGATTTTTTTCCCCCAAGCTTGGCATCTTGAAGATGTGTGGACTTTTAACTTCCAAAATCCTGGAAGTGGAAGGATGCATGTCTTAACACTGCCTAGTTTGAATAACTCTCTTCCCATTATTTAAAGCTTTCCAAGACTTGCTTGTTGGAAATGTAACCAGTTCTCCATCTTGGAACAAAGGAGAATGAAGATTTTAGTAGCCTGTTCCAAACTCGCATCTGGAGCTAGCTTCTGACTTGGCCACAGGGGATTGTCAAATACATTTTGTGTGGTTTAATCCCAAATTCTGGTGAGAAGTCAAAAATGTGCAGAGGACACTTCTTCTTTTTTTAAATCCTCTTTGGGGTCATTAGCAGACCCTACTTTTTGGTAAAGAGATATACATTCTTTCTTTTTGGACCTTTGCTTTGAATGGATAGGGACAAGATAAAATGGCAAGGTCCTGATGTAAGCCCCCAATGAGACTGTAGCTTGGGGGTGGGAGGAGCAGATGTTTTGTATTGTCAAAGGCCTCTGGTCCAATTCACAGGATCTCCAAATATGGTGGAAAATGGTTTTTTGAAAGCTTTTGGTAACGTTAATCAAGGATAGGCCACCTTGGCTCTTTTATGACTGGTGGACTTCAACTCCCAGAATTCCTGAGCCAGCCATGCTGAGGGGAAAGGGAGGGGTTTCCAAGCTGAGCCACGCTGGCTGAGGAATTCTGGGAGTTGAAGTCCATGAGTGATAAAAGAGCCAGGGTTGCCTACCCCTGATCTAGATAGACAGACATTACGAGTTTGTATAAGCTAGTTTCCTGTGCAGTGGAATGGAATTGTAGCCCCCGTAACCAAACAGGATAGATTAACTAAAAATAAATAGATAAATATGCTGATTTGCAACAGCAGGAATTTGATCCCCCTATCTTTGAGATTTCTGTGGGAGAACGGATTCTGCAATAGATAGAACACTAAGGCCCTCACTGAAGAGGCTTCACATATTGTGCCAAGACAGATCTACTATGTGAATAGTAAATGGCTGGCTCATACACGCTAAGCTACAAAACCGTGGTTATACAAGGGGTGGAATTTGCACACTATGCAAAGCTGAAGCCCAGCCATCTTGTTGTTTAATGCTATATGTGAACCCCAACCTGTGCAATGAGCTTTGCAAAATAAGACAGTTACTGTTTTTGTATGTGATATTGACCCAGCAATTTGGACCGGGGTTGATCAGGCAACAATGGCCTTGATTTGTCCTTAACACTAAAACATTACAATTGGGTACCTGCCTCATACAAAACCTTCAACAAAGAAATTATGACTTGGATATGATTTGTGTTCCAGGCTTCTTAGTATAGGTAGCCCTCGGTTTACATCAGTTCATTTAGTAACCATTTGAAGTTACAATGACCCTTAAAAGACCATTCCAGCGTCCCTACGATCACGTGATCAACATTCCGACATTTGGCAATGGACTCATTTAGGGCGGTTGCAGCGTCACGGGGTCACGCCATCCCCTTTTGCGACCGTCTGTCAAGCAAAGTCAATAAAGGAAGCCCGATTGACTTAATCACCGTGTTGCTAACTCAACAACCGCTGTTATTCCCTTAACAACAATGGCGAGAAAGATCATAAGATGGGGCAAAAGTCACTTAACAAACGTCTCGCTTAACAACGGAAATGTTGGTCTCAATTGTGCTCATAAGCTGAGGACTGTATGGTCTTCTGAAAGACACTCCTGATGATTGCGCAGTGTTACTTGGTACTTGTTAATTACTGTACTTCTGGAAGGTGCAAAGAGTACTTAAAAACGAGTACCAAACAAACCACATGACTTATCAGGTGTTTTGTTTCTGTTGGGAAGGACTTCCTGTCTGTTCTCCGGAGCTGTTCCCCATTTTCCTATGTCAGCAACCTTCCCAGCCTGGCTGACTTCCCGTCTGCTCTCTGTGGCTGTCCCCGTCTTCTTATCGCAGCACATCAAGAACCAGACGAGTACGGAGACAACCTTTTTGTATCAAAATGCATCAAGTACCAAACTTGACAAGTTTTGAAGCAGTCAGGTACCGAGGTACCGCCGGATGTTTTATGTACCACCGTACATAAATAAGTACATACATAGACAACACCTGGCTTGAATCAAGGTTGAGTTGTGTGAAAAAATCTCTTCTTGGCCTCCTTTCCACTTTCCTCTGCTTGCCTCTGCCCTTCCACCCCAAAACTGAATGGTATTTGGTGCTAATTCCTTGCATTCTGAAAATCCCTGGTATTCTTTGGAAAGGTGGGTGTTTTTTGTCGGCGTTGCTTGTCTGTGAAAACACTCTGAAAACAAATTCAGATTTCAGTGATTCTTTTGAAGCCAGGTTGTAGTGACTTTTGTGTCTCCCTGTGTGTATTTTTAAGACTCAGTGGGAGAGTCCTTAATCTTAGCTGTCGCTCTGCATCCGTCTGAGTAGGGTTTTTATCATCAGTATTATGTGATGTTTTGAATATATATATTTTTTGTATTCAGTAGAGGAATCTTCCTGGACCCATAATAAACCTTTATACATTTTTTATTCCAAAAGCTCTTAAAATACATCACTTGGTTGTCCTGATTTCTTGAGAACAGTTGTAATGAAGCAAATATTTTATTTCTCTGGCTGTTAACAACTTAACGGTGTGATGTGTGTCTGGGGACAAATTGCTTCTTTTGTTAACGTTAGAAATGTATACATGCTTATTTCTAACCTTCCTCCAAATTAACATACTGATAGTCCTCAACTTAAACTATAATTGAGCCTGCAATTTTGGTCATAAGTCGTGATGGTTGTAAAGAGGGCTACCTGGTAACTATCCCCGATTTTATGATCTTTTTTGCAGCAGTGAGAACACCATGCTCACAAGCAAACACTGTGGCTGTTAAATAAGTCCATTGTTTGCCATGGGGCAATTTTCACCAGAAACTGAAAACTTCCTTACTGAAGAAAAATCTTAAGCACAGTTGTGGTGTTACTTAGCCACACTTTGCTTACTGACTGAGCTGCCAGCCCCAATTATGGCCTCTAAACAAGGATTGCCTGAATATATTTGGGTGTACACCCTGAGTTGCTGACGTTAATTTGCAAATCTCTGGGTTTGTTTTTTTTTTACATAGTTTTGGGGTTTGGGGCAAAATAAGGATCCCGTTGAAGCTGCAAAAGCACAGTTTGGGGCATATTTTGCAGAATGTACTTCTAGCTTTTTATGATATTGAGCTAAGCCTGCTTATTTCCAGTTAAAGGATGCCCTCTTGCGGCTTTTTAGGAGAATGCTGGTGTAAGAGATTTTTTCTTTTCAGCTGTGGGATGCCATGCTTGGTTCTAGTTTAGCAATATCAGCAGATCCCTGAATGGCCTTTAATTTCCCTTTCGTATAGGGACCCAATCTGATTTGTGAACCAGCAGACTAAAATGAGCTAATGCTTGCCTTCCAACTTTCATTCCAACTTCGATTGCAGTGTATTTTTACTGCTTAAAAAAAAAAAACAGTCATCCACTTGAGTACTTTGCAGAAAGGTTTACACCAAGTAATATATCCGAGGGGCAAAGGCACAGAAAAAAAAAATGATCTGGAGAAATGGCTTGCATAAAGCATATAGTTTAGGAAAAGTGCAAGAGAAGATTATCAGGAGATAATTGCATCTGGGCCACCCAGGTGACTCTAGCAGAAACGTACACATACATTGTGCTCATGGCCTTTAAGAGAATTAGGAGAGCATTCTACAGGGAGACGGTCAGAATGGACCTTGGACTGCACTAAGCTTATTTTTATTACTTTTGGATAAAGTGTGTGCTTACACTCGCCCTAACATCCGTGCTATCCACCAGTTGCAAGGCATGATTGTACGGCAGATCACCCGCCCTCCCTGATAGCAGTAGGGATACGGGTAGTATCCTAGTAGCGGCTCACATATCCTGCGACAGTAGCGGTGGGCTCGGCGGCAGCGGGCGCAGCAGTATCCTCTCTCATCCCAAAGGGGGTGGAACTCAAGGCCGTTCTCGGTCTAGGGATGGCAAAGGAGGAAGGTTCATCCGTTAGGAACAATGGCCTGATCTTGTTGACCAGCCACAAGCTAGAAGTTGACTTGCCTAGGAAAAGTTAGAAGCGGGGCCACAGCGCTCTATGGCAAGGGTCTGCAACCGTGGCAACTTGTAAGGCTTGACTTCCACTCCAAGAATTCCTCGGCCAGCCACGGATTTGCACTTTGTGGGGATCCATCGGCACATCCCAAAGGACAGGGGTCTCCAACCTTGGCAACTTTAAGACTTGTGGACTTCAAGTCCCAGAATTCGGCAGCCAACACGGCCGACTGAGGAACGTTGGGAGTTGAAGTCCACAAGTCTTAAAAGTCGCCAAGGAGACCCCTGTCCTGTAGGACGTGCTGATGGATTCCCATCATGTGCAAATCTATCAGAAGGTCTTTGGTTGAGGTTATACAAGGGGCTAAGCCAATCAACAAATACATAACACTGGCTAAAGAAACACACCGAATGTGAATAGGAATATAGGGATAAACTTCATGTAATGCTACTTTTTTGATTCTTGCTTTGGTGGCTTACATTCACTGGTTGCTCACTGGGGAAGCTAAGCAGATTTTACAATGATTTAACTGCCGTGTGTAAACTCAGTTATTGGGACTACCTCTTAATTGTCGCTCCTGTTCTGTCAGCCGGAGGACAAGGTGACGGGTTATATCTACCCTCTCCAAGATTAGCTAGAGAGTCCCAGTTAGTGAAAATAGGGAAAGACTGAGCTTGCTAGATCAGTGGTTCTCAACCTTTTTAATGCCGCGACCCCCAACTGGTCGTACATTGAGGACTACTCAACCAGTCGTAAGTCGAGGACTACTCAACTGGTGCAGCACCGTTTGCAGAATGGGACTTTTGGCGGGCTCAGTAGGGCAGAGACAACCTGGACAATTCCTATTGGCTTTTGAAAGCCAATGGAATTAGACTCTATTCAAGAGAGTCTATTCTATTGGCTTTCAAAAGCCAATAGAATAAAAGGGAGTAACACAGCTCAGGAAAAGGGGGAAAAAATGGCGGACTGCGTTGTTTGGTGACCCCCGTGAAATGGTCGTTCGACCCCAAATGGGGTCCCGACCCACAGGTTGAGAACCACTGTGCTAGATAGATAATTGGATCTGCTCTAAGGCTGCTTCCTGTATTCCTTATGAGAGTAGCGTCCCTTGTATGTCACACAATGCTGCATCTGCTCTTGCACCTTTCCCCCCCTCCACGTCAGTAGTTTCTGGCAAGGGAAGGATGCAAGATACCCATCCTTCTCCATTGCAACAACTCTCTTACTCGTCCTTTTGTTGCTTCCTTCCCCTACTCTTGCTTTCTGGCGCAAATTCGTAGCGCTCATCTTTTGCTATTCTGGCCTCTCCCGATGTCTGCCTTCTTTCAGCTTTCACAATGCTTTGAAGCAAGGAATTTTGAGCATACTTTCCGAGGACTGTTGGGGGGGGGGAACTGCTTAATGGAAGAAGCAGGACTTTTCTAGCTCTGCAGAAAAGATTGCTAAAAATTCCACTTGGCTGGAGGCTGGGCACAAATTGTGACAATGCCTGGGTTGTTTTTTTTATGCCAAAGACTTACGTAGTCGTTCACTGGTAAGTCTTCTTCGGTCAGCTGCCGAGTGTGGCGTTTGGGGCCTTGGCTTTCTTCCTTGCCCAAGGACTGGCGTCGCTGCTGAGCCTCCACTTGGTTTTGCTCATTCGTGCGAATCGGATCCTCATTTCCTTTTTCAAAGTCAACAAGGTCTGGATCTAAGTTTGAGAGATCCATAATCAGAATAAGAAAATAACAGTGTTGGAAGGGACCTTGGAGTTCATCTAGTCCAAATCCCTGCTCAGGCAGGAAAGCCTATACTATTTCAGATAAATGCTTGTCCAGTGTCTTCTTAAAAACTTCCAGCGGTGGAGCACCCACAACTTCTGGAGGCAGGTTGTTCCACTGATTAATTGTTCTCACTGTCAAATTTCTCCTTAGTTCTAGGTTGCTTTTCTCCTTGGTTAGTTTCCATCCATTGATTCCAAGTGCTGAATAGAATAGAATAGAATAGAATAGAATAGAATAGAATAGAATAGAATAGAATATTGAGAATGGAGTGGAGCAGAGTAGAATAGAATAGAATTAGAAATAATAGACTGGACTGGACTAGACTAGACTAGACATAGAATAGAATAGAATAGAATAGAAAAAAATAGAATAGAATAGAATAGAATAGAATAGAATAGAATAGAATAGAACAGAATAGAATAGAATAGAATAATCTGCTGCTACTCAGAGGCTGGTTATTTTCTTAATCCAGAGCATCTCTGCTGTTCTGGATTTAATTTTTGGCTTGACTAAGCTCATCCAGCCCTCAGTGATTCCAAATGCCACTTCAGAATATGATGGAAAGCATTGTTGACTTAATGATGCAAAGCCTTGCTGTATTTAAAATATTTCTGGCAGCTTTGCTGCTTAAAATTTTTCCAAGCAATTTACCAAAATCATCAGAGAACCATCAAGGGTGGCTGGACGTGTCTGCCTCTGCCCTTGTCAATTTCAAATCTTTCAGGAAGTTACCTTAAACTTGGTGATTTCAGGCGATTAGATGGTGTTTAACCCCACAATTTACCCGGCAAGTAATATGTTATGAATTCATCTGTGATAGTACTTTACGATTCAGTATTTTAGGCAACCCTAGGAAATAGGATTAAACAATGAGAGGTCCTTGATGCTCTCTGAATTTGATTGTTTTCTTGCAGACATTTCATTACCCAAACTAAGTAACTTGTAAGGTAACTTACCAGCACTGATGATGTTACCTAGTTGGGTAATGAAATGTCTGCAAGAAAAGAACTAACTTCAGAGAGCATCAAGGATCCCATCGTCATTGTCGTCGTCCTCCTCCTCCTCCTTCCCCCCCCCCAAACCACGCTCCCTTCTAGCACTGATGATGTTGCCTAGTTGGGTAATGAAATGTCTGCGAGCTCAGAGAGCACCAAGGAGCCCACAGTCGTCCTCCTCTTCCCTCCCCTTCTCCTCCTCCACTCCTCCCCCCCTTCACTCACGTCTGCAAGAAAACAACCAAATTCAGAGACCCCTCATTTCAACCCTGAGTTCTAGTCATGCCTTAGCCATGAAAGCTGTCTGAGTGACTTTGGGCCAATCACTAGGAGACTAGGAGTTCTAGTCCCATCTTAAGCATGAAAGCAGGCTGGGTGACCTTGGGCCAATCATTCTCTCAGCCCAGCCCACCTCACCGGATTGTTTTTGTGAGGAAAATAGGAGGAAGGAGGAATGTTAGATAGGTTTGTCGTGTTCAGTTATTATGTCAGGTTGACATCTTCGGCGTTGCACCTCACTGGCTTCCTGCCCTCAAAGCACTGGGGAAGGGAGGGGGGGACAAATGGGCAATAAATCTGTATGTTCCTATGGTGGGAATTCAGGAGAGGGAGAAACAGTTGAAGAAGAGCTGAGCATTTTGGAATTTGGTTCGTGCCAGGCAGCTTCAAGGCCGTTTACCCTGAGAGTGGAATTTCACCAGCCTCAACACCTTAGCGTTCCCCAAAACATCTTGTGAGGATGGATTGGCTAAAGACAGACTGGTCATAGGGGGAGGGATGACGAACCGAGGGGCATAGTTCGGTATTGTTATGTGGGAACCTTAGATTCCGCTTGGAAGCTCTTCGTATGCGTACTTTTCACTTCAACCACATGGAGTCGAGAGTTTTCCTTTCCTAAGGGATCAGACGGGCAGGTCTGACATATTTATAAAAACAAAGGTGAGAAATAAATAAACAATGGGCCATCCAGGTTAGAAAATGGAACAACCTGCCTCCAGAAGCGGTGAATGCTCCAACACTGGAAGATTTTAAGAAGAGACTGGACAGCCATTCATCCGAAATGGTGTAGGGTTTCCTGCCTGAGCAGGGGGTTGGACTTGATGACCTCCAAGGTCCCTTCCAACATTATTATTATTATTATTATTATTATTATTATTATTATTATTATTATTATTATTATTATTATTATTATTATTATATGCCCCCTGTGACATTGGATAAACTTCTGGCAGTATAATGTTGAGAGAAGACAGCCTTACGCCTTAGCAGAGTTGGATGGATCCAATATGCAGTAACGTTTTTGCAGAGGTCAAACATCTTGGAATCCTTCAGAAAATCTTTATTTTCAATGGCTTTCTCTTCTGGAACCCAGAGTACCGATTGGTCAAAATAAGTGGCTGGTATTTCTTCTGCCTGCAAGACAGGACATAATTCTCATGTCAAATGTATTATGCTGGGGCAGCACTTCGATCAGATCTTTCCAGGTTATTATTTCTTTTCATTTTTTTTCTGGAGTACCATTCCTTTTTCCTGGACTAAAAACGGAAGTTTGCCACACTCACAAAAGGTGACAGCGTGCTGTCTTGATCCATTAGCCCCCAAACAGAAAGACAGAATGAAACAAGCTGATATTCTCTAAGGTTAAGGCAGCCCAGCAATTCTTGCTTAATCGTCAGCGAAATGAGAATGAAAGACGCATCTAACGAAGTGTCTCAGAGCCAGCCAGATTCTTGCAGGAATGCAAAATATATTCTTTTTTCCTTTTCTTTTCCTGACCCCTCCCTCAATTTGCTGTGTAACGCCAGAAACATGAAAAAGAGTTTGAACTGAAACCCTTTGCAATTCGACACACCAGTTTGAGTGTGAAATAGGATGCTTGGTTCACTGTGGAAGCGTTTTTTGAGATTGGAAGAGAGGATTTTTTTTCCACCTCAAAATGCTTCTGAAATGATGGAAACAACCCATTTTGCATTCGGAAGGGCTGTTTTGCTCTCACAAGGGGTCGCTTTGAACTTGGAATGGGGATTGAACTCTTAAAAAAAAAAGGTGGGATCCTTAAAATATTTGCCCGTTTTTGAAAATAGATTGCATTTTAACTAGCATGGCTACTTATTGGTGGACATAGATTTGTAAGAAAATGTTTCAGAGCATCTTCCCTTTCCTAAAAGTTCTCTTCTTGTGTTATTTGCAATGAGACACCATTATGGCTAGGACTGAGTTTACTATTGGAATAAAATAAAATAAAATAATTCTGGGAGTTGAAGTCCACAAGTCATAAAAGGGCCAAGTTTGAAGACCCCTGCACTAGAATATGAGCGCAAACCCTGCTCCATACTAGCATTGATGGCGTTACCTAGTTGGGTAAGGAAACGTCTCCAGAAATCAACCAAGCTCAGGGGCCACTAAAGACTCCTCATTTCAACCCTGAGCTCCAACTGCTTAGATGTTTTGCAGACCAAGTTTGAAGGCAAACATCATTGGAAAAGACTGGGATGCTTGGAAAAACGGGAAGGCAGTAAGTCCAATTAAAGGCTCACAGACACATTGAAAACCAATTAATGTCATGTGGATGACATTTCCTTGCAACCATCATCTCAGCTGGGCTGCGTTTGGCCTTACAGTTGATTCCATCTTCCTTGTTTTAGGGAAGACTCCGCTCAGCTTTAGCATATGCTGGACCTCATTTTCTCTCTCTCTCTCTCTCTCTCTCTCTCTCTCTCTCTCTCTCTCTCTCTCTCTCTCTCTCTCTCTCTCTCTCTCTCTCTCTCTCTCTCTCGTCTGCGAGTGATTTAAAAACCAGTTGGGGATTACTCTCCTCTGTCCTTTCCAAGCTGCTATAAATCTGCTAGCCGGCCAGAGTCTTTATTTAATTCAGCACATTCTTTCCTTCTGCATACCTCGGGCGCCTCCATCTCCATATCCGATGCTTCTGGTATCCCTTTAATCTGGTTTTGGAGAAAGCATTTGGGATCACCCATGAAAAAGAGGCCAGTTATTCCCTGCAAAGAAAAGCAAAAATATAACCAGGTAAAGGTGGGAAAGGAAATGAATGCAACAGAGGTAAATCTGCAAGCCCATGATTACTTTAATTCAGGTGTCTCTCTATCTTTCCATCTCTCTATCTCTATCATCTCTATCTCTATTTTCTCTATCTCTACCTCTACCTCTATCATCTCTATCTCTGTCTCTCTGTCTCTGTCTCTCTCTCTGCGAGTATGTGTGTGCGTGTATATATATATACACACACATATATATACCTACCTACCTATCTATCTATCTATCTATCTATCTATCTATCTATCTATCTATCTATCTATCTATCTATGTATCTATCATCTATCCATCCACCCACTCACCCACCTACCTACCTACCTTTATACATATACATACATATACATTTTCAATTGCAGTAAAAGTGGGGCATGGCTTAATAAATATTTTCAGCAGTCTATAAATTCTATAAAATCTATAAATACTTCTATATGCCTCTGATTTGTCGTCTGAATGTAAAGTAAATAAAAAAACGCCTCGGATTCAGAAGGTTCACCGTGGGCTTTTTGCTTTAATGCCTTGTGTTATAATGAATATTTTCTCCTTCCTGCTGACTTTGTTTTTTTTAAAACAAATTGGCATTGCATAATAGCTAAGAGACTCCCCTACGAATCAAGAAATTCCAGGTTTGACTCAGATCTGCTGGGTCCACCGATTGACATAAGCTGTAATGTAGTTTATTGGCTTAGTGCACAACATAAAATTGGCCAATTTGCTTTATTCTGTGCACCTTGCATTTTTTTTTTTTTTTTTGCCTTTAAACAAGGTGGATTATTCAGGCAGACTGTAGCCAAGATGTGAATCAGGCTGACCTAACTATACCCTGGAAATAGATATACACACATTCTTAAAATCATGTATTTCAAGGACTTCCTCACGATCCTTGCCAGTATAAAAAGTCTCTGTCCAGGTGAGGGGATCAATCTTGAGAAATATCTTCTGTTTTTCCATGTTGCTGACAAACATATGCTCCAATTCATAAATCTGAAAAACGGATTGGGGAGAGAAGAATTCAGTGCAATGGTTGATCACATTAAGCCTTGCATGGTTTGGTTAAAAAGTTACAGGCATTCTGCCAATTGTGGCTTTTCGAACAAGACACGGTTAAAACAAACCATGGCTATATAATGTATAGAGTCAGCCTCTTTGTCCCAAAGGCAACAGGACTTTCTTTTTTCCCTTGAAAATGTTTCGTTTCTCACCCAAGAAGCTTTCTCAGCTCTAACCCCAGTTATTCCGTTAGAATTGAAGAAGCTTCTTGGATGAGATGTGAAACATTTTCAGGGGGGGAACCCCTAAGAAAGTCATTTTGAACTCAGCAGGCTACAAAGAAAGAGGAAAATATTTCTACTGTGGAATATTTTCTAGGGTAGAATATTTCTACCCTAGAAAATATTCTATGCTAGATTCAAACTGGCATCCTTTTCATCACAGCTGCAGCCTTCAGACTGTTAGTGAATTCTTCAAAGTTCAAACCAATAGGTTTTACAATATGGAAAGGGGGGGGGGGAAAGCAATTAGGTTGCCTCATCAGATGATATAATAATAATAATAATAGTAAAGTTGGAAGGGACCTTGGAGGTCATCTAGTCCAACCCCCTGCTCAGGCAGGAAACCCTATACCATTTCGGACAAATGGCTGTCCAGTCTCTTCTTGAAAACTTCCAGTGTTGGAGCATTCACCGCTTCTGGAGGCAGGTTGTTCCACTGGTTAATTGTTCTAACTGTCAGAAAGTTTCTCCTTAGTTCTAGGTTGCTTCTCTCCTTGACTAGTTTCCATCCGTTGTTTCTTGTCCTGCTTTCAGGCGCTTTGGAGAATAGCTTGACCCCCTCTTTTTTGGGGCAGCCCCTGAGATATTGGAAGACTGCTATCATGTCCCCTCTTGTCCTTCTCTTCATTAGACTAGACATACCCAATTCAAGCAACTGTTCCTTATATGTTTTAGCCTCCAGTCCCCTAATCATCTATCTGTGGACAGAATTGTGCTTTAAACCAGACTTAGTGGCATCGGAAGACAGACTGGAAAAAGATCTTGAAATTCAAATTTTGTATACAAGGAACTTTCTTTTTTTTTTGAGAGGGGTTACTTTTATGGCTAACTTGATTTCATTCTTTTTCTTTTGGGTCCTGCTAAAGCAGAATTGTGACTAAGCTCTGAGAAAGAGGAGATATATAAGCTGTAAGAAGAACAGTTTTTGTACAAACCCTATTTGTTTCTGAGGCAATAAAGTTGAAATATTCATGGCATTGTTTTGCAGTTATCCTGAGCAGCAGGAATTTTTGTTTATGGCCTGATCACAGCCCTCCAGTCCCCGGGGACCTCTAAAAATATCTCCCCCAAATTGCAATGTTTAATGCATCAGAAAGAGAAGATGATGAAATGCATAGGGAGTTGTCATATTAATGAGATTTAATTAGCTTAATTCAGTGCTAATTAATTAGAAATTAAAATGAAAATGGATTTATTACCCTGGGTGCAATGTTATTCCTAGCTCTGCTTGCCTGTCTGAAGACTCTAACATGTCATTCAAAGGACACCTGTTACCTGTTCTGGGAAAGGTTGGGCACTCTTGCTGTAGACCAGGGGTTCTCAACCTGTGGGTCGGGACTCCATTTGGGGTCGAACGACCATTTCACGGGGGTTGCCAAACAACGCAGTCCGCCATTTTTTCCCCCTTTTCCTTAGCTGTGCTACTCCCTTTTATTCTATTGGCTTTTGAAAGCCAATAGAATAGACTGTCTTGAATAGAGTCTAATTCTATTGGCTTTCCAAAGCCAATAGGAATTGTCCAGGCTGTCTCTGCCCTGCTGAGCCCTCCAAAAGTCCCATTCTGCAAACGGTGCTGCACCAGTTGAGTAGTCCTCGACTTACGACCGGTTGAGTAGTCCTCGACTTACAACCGGTTGGGGGTCGCGGCATTAAAAAGGTTGAGAACCCCTGCTGTAGACTCTTCCTATCAATCAGAACAGAGCTGGAAGAGACCCTGGAGATCTTCTAGGCCAGCCCCCTGCTCAGGCAGAAGACCCTATACCATTTCAAACAGTTGGCTGTCCAGTCTTTTCTTAAAAGCCTCCAGTGATGGAGCACCCATGATTTCTGGAGGCAAGCTGTTCCACTGGTTAATTGTCCTCATTGTAGGAAGTTTCTTCTTAGTTCTAGGTTGCTTCTCTCCTTGATTAGTTTCCATCCATTGTTTCTTGTCTTGCCCTCTGGTGCTTTGGAAAATAAGCTGAACCCTCTTTTCTTTGTGACAGTCCCTCAAGTACCGGAATACTGCTATTATGTCATCCCTACTCCTTCTCTCCTCTGGACTGGCCATTCCCAAATCCAGCAGCCGTTCTTCCTATGTTTTTGTCTCCAAGCCCTTAATCATCTGAGTTGCTCCTCTTTGCACTTTTTTTCCAAAGTCTCAACATCTTTTTTGTAACGTGGTGACCAAAACTGGATGGAGTATTCCAGGTGTGGCCTTACTAAAGGAAGCTGCGACGGTTGTAAGTGTGAAAATTAGTCACAGTGCTGTTGTAAGTTTGAACGGTCCCTAAATGGACTCTTGTAATTGAGGACTACCTGCATTGTGCAAACCCAGCCCAATTTGGTTTAGTCAATGAATTGTGACTGAGAATGTAATAGAGCATTTTCCGGTGACTTCTGAACCAAGTCTGTATTTTGGAGCGATGGGATTTGGTACTTCCTTGTGCAAACCACGGATGCTTATGACCCTACAGATGTCTCGGGGCAATTAACATAAATGGAAGAAGCCTGAATGAAACACTGATCTGTTGGGCTAATGGTGGATATCTTCTTCCTGCCCTTCACTTCAGCATTTTGGCCAAAGTCCACCATTCTCCAGAATGAAAGTATGAAGTTCTTCTCCTTCCCTCCATATTTACTTTTTGGGACAAGGATGAAAGTGATTTTACTTTCAAATTGTTCGGCTGTCCTTTTTTTTTTTTTTTTTGCTGTTTGCTTAAACGATATTTGAAACCAGACTTTCATGCAATTTGTTTTTTCTGGAAAGCGCTACAGGTGGCTGGGCAAACAGTAGCTTCCTGATGCTGAGATGTGACTGTTTGTTCCACTGGGATGATTTAAAGCAGGGGACAAGAGCTGGCCTGCTAGAAGTTGCACCACAATTCCCATTATCCTGGCTGGTGATTGGAGTTAGCGTTCAACAATATCTGGAGAGCCAAAAATCCCACATTTATTATTATTACTACTATTATTATTGCTATTACTACTTCTACTACTAATAATAATAAAGTTGGAAGGGAACTTGGAGGTCATCTAGTCCAACTCCATGCTCAGTCAGGAAAGCCTATACCATTCCAGACAAATGGCTGTCCAGTCTCTTCTTAAAACTCCCAGTGTTGGAGCATTCACAGCTTCTGGAGGCAGGTTGTTCCACTGGTTAATTGTTCTCACTGTCAGGAAGTTTCTCCTTAGTTCTAGGTTGCTTCTCTCCTTGGTTAGTTTCCATCTGTTGCTTCTTGTCCTGCCTTCAGGGACTTTGGAGAATAGCTTGACTCCCTCTTCTTTGGGGCAGCCCCTGAGATATTGGAACCCTGCTATCATGTCACCCCTAGTCCTTCTTTTCATTAGACTAGACATACCCAAAGTGATGACCCTTATTGAATATACAGGCAGTCTTCAATATATAGTCATTCATTTAGTGACCATTGAAAGTTACAATGGTACTTAAAAAAAGGGACTTGTAACTAGTCCTTGTGCTTGACCCTCGCAGCATCCCCCAGTCACGTGTTTTGAAATGCTTGGCATGTGTTTACAATGTTCACAACATCCGGAGGTCATGTGATTGCTATTTGGGAGTTTTCAAAGGGTTTCCCACGAGCAAAGTCAATGGGGAGAGCTATATTTTCTGAAGGACCATGATCCACTCAACAGCTGCAGTTATTCGCTTAATGACTATGGCAAAAAGTTTGTGAAACCATGTGACTCACTTTACCATCTTGCTTAGCAACAGAAGTTCTGGTCCCAAGCATATGTTAAGGACCAGCTGTATGATTAATAATCAGCATAATAATAACTGATTATTATACTGATGGTGCATTTTCCAAAGCACCAGAAGGCGAGACAAAAAAAACAATGGATCGGAACTAATCAAGGAGAGAAGCAAGCTGGAATTAAGCAGAAACTTCCTAACTGTGAGGACAATTAAGCAGTGGAACAGCTTGCCTCCAGAGGTTGTGGGTGCTTCATTCCTGGAGGTTTTTAAGAAAAGACTGGACAGCTACTTCTCTGAAACGGTATGGGGTCCCCTGCGTGAGCAGGGGGTTGGACTAGAAGACCTCCAAGATCCCTTCCAACTCTATTCTTATTGATTGATTGATTGATAATATACTGATGACTGAAGAAAAAAGGAACAGGCGATTGATGATGCACATGTAATTTTTTTTATATCCTAAGATCTTTTTTTATTTTTCTTTTAATTTGCTGGCACCTGCATGGGTACACCAAGTTACCAGGGCAGTCTCTTCTCTCCAGTAATGTCACTGGGGTTGCAGCAGTCTGGAATCTGCAAATGGTTTTTGCAGACCTACCTCCTGAACAGCAGCAGCTTATTGCAAACAGATGCTGGCCTTGGACTGCAAAGCCAACGAAGGCAGGACTGTCCAGCCAGCCAGCTTTTGGCTGGTGGACATTTCTCTGCTGCCTTTATGGATAGTAGCAGAACTGACTTGAGAGTGGACTTCCAAAGAACTTTCTCTCCCAAATCTATTAAACTGGTTTTACCTTTTTGGTTTTTTTTTTTTTTTAATATAAAGAGCTGCATCACTTCAAAAATAACCTGGAGGATTATAATATTTTGGGTGGTGTGCATATGTATTGGAAAGACCTTCTGTGGAAAAATGGCTAATTAAATTATGGGACCACGGTACATTTGATGTCAAAAAGAACCTCGTATTTAAAAAGGAAATCTGATGCAGAATTCAGGTCTAACTGGAAACCATCCCTGGCTAATTATTTGCTCGACGGATTTTGTACTCCAGTCTAAATTTGGGCGTTTCTACATTTAGAGTTTGGCATGTAGTATTTCATTGTTCAATTTCCCCCAAGAAACTACCGTCTGAGGTAGATTCTCAGAGAATAACTCTCTCCCATTCACCCAGAGAATTTCTGTGGCTCAGGGTGGATTAGAACCCAAGTCTTTTTAAGCAAGCCCAGTTCCTTAACCACCATCTCCCCAATGCCGGGTGTTTCTGAGATTTTGGTTTATTGTTCTGCACAAACATGATTGCTGTGATATATATATAAAAGAAAAGAAAAGAAAGATTTCTTTCTCCCATATTTGGGCTGACAGGGTGCACATTCAAGGTAATATATGTATATGTATATATATATATATATATATATATATATATATTATATATATATATATATATATATATGTAAAAAATATATCGCTATTCTTCAATTTTTAATGTAATTTTTAATATATATATATATATATATATATATATATATATATATATATATATGTAGGTCTTTGGTTGTTCGGTTTTGTCCCGCATAAAATTGGAAGTGTCTTGGCGACGTTTCGACGAAGTCCCATTCGTCATCTTCAGGCAGGTGTTTTCAGCTTCGTGCTTCGAGCAGCAATGTGAAGCACGAAGCACGAAGCTGAAAACACCAGCCTGAAGATGACGAATGGGACTTCATCGAAACGTCGCCAAGACACTTCCAATTTTACGCGGGAGAAAACCGAACAACCAAAGACCTACATACAAACACCCGCGAAAACCTCAGAAAACACACACACACACACACACACACACACACACACACACACACATATATATATATATATATAGGTCTTTGGTTGTTCGGGTTTTCTCCCGTGTAAAATTGGAAGTGTCTTGGCGACGTTTCGACGAAGTCCCATTCGTCATCTTCAGGATGGTGTTTTCAGCTTCGTATTTTGAGCAGCAAGTATGTATGTATGTATGTATGTATATTGGGGGGTAGTATTGGCAGAAAGAAATTCTCATAATTATTCCATAAAATGACTGAATAAATATAGCAAGTTCTCAGCCCTTTCAGCTGCAAACTCGTGAAAGTCCAATTTAAATTGGCTAGAGATCAGTCACTTTCCCAAGCAAGTGACTTCTTTAATGCCTTGATCGAGAGGGCTTCTCCTCCAGTTCCTGGTGAGTTAATTGAAACAAAATGGAAAGGAACTTCTCACAATTAAACTGTGCTAGGAAAGAAATCTCCGCCTTTCTACAGCTACGATCCCACTGCCAAAAGAAACGGCAGCACAGCGTAAAACTTTGACAAGTTTCTCTGCGTCTTTTTTAAAGTGTGGGATAGAAATATCCCCTTCTCAAACCCCCACCCCTTTAAAATATCTCTTCAATATAATCCTGAGAATAGGACGTACCTTTTTAGGAGGAGCAGGTTTCCAAAAATAGGAGACACCCAGAATGGTCAAGGTGAGGGAGAGGAGCAGAATGAAAGCTAACACAGCCCAAATCTGGACTCTTTTGTAGAACCCTTTCTTGACATTTGAAGTGTAAGCCTGAGAGACAGAAAGAGGAGAGAAGTCTTCAGGAAAAGCTAGTTTCAGACAAGCCACACAATAGAAGTATAGAATCAAAGGGCTAGGAGGGACTTTGGAGGTCTTCTAGTCCAACCTCAAGCAGGAGACCCTATACCATCGCGGGCAAAGGGCTGTCCGGTCTTGTCTTGAAAACCTCCAGTGATGGAGCACCCACAACTTCTGCAGGCAGGCTATCCCACTAATTCATTGTTCTCACTTTCAGGAAATGTCTCCTTAGTTATGGGGCACCAAACCATCGCTCTTTGGGGGCGCATCCCCCAAGATCTGCCCTCCCACACCCCCCAAAAAAGCCAAGTAGCGGACTTACATCTTTCTTGCAGAATTTTGGGGACCCCTCCGGGAGCTGTTGCCCCATGCTGCTTCCCCTTGAGTGTCAAATCTTTCTTTTATGCCACAAAGAGTGGGGCGGGAGAGACAGAGGGACTGGGGTGGAGTCAGAATGCCTTCAAATCCTCCTTGAGCAGAGTGGAGGGCTCCCTTTTTGTCTCCCCCCCCAGCTGGCTAGGCTAAATGTTTGGCACTGCCACATCCAAGTCTGCAAACGTGCTGGACAGGCTAGAAGGAGACAAGGATGGTCTGTTTCTTCTCGGAACGGATCCTCCTTGCAAGCCTGACTCCTGGAAAGAGACGGTCATTTTATTTCCAATGCTAATTCCTTCTGGGTCCCGGGGTTTTATTTTGTTTGCTAAGGATCTTTCTAGTCTGGCTAGATTCTCAATGGCAAATGCTCACCATGTTGACCCAAACATGTTTTTTTTTTCTCTAAAAGGCAAGTGGACTTTCTTGTTTTTTTTTTTCCTTTGAAAATGTTTCGCTTCTCATCCAAGAAGCTTCTTCGATGAACTGAAGAAGCACACTGACTAAAACATATAAGGAACGGTTGCTGGAATTGGGTATGTCTAGTTTAATGAAGAGAAGGACGAGGGGGGACAGGATAGCAGGGTTCCAACATCTAGGGGGCTGCCCCAAAGAAGAGGGAGTCAAGCTGTTCTCCAAAGTGCCTGAAGGCAGGAGAAGAAGCAACGGATGGAAACTAACCAAGGAGAGAAGCAACCTGGAATTAAGGAGAAACTTCCTGACAGTTAGAACAATTAACCAGTGGAACAACCTGCCTCCAGAAGCAGTGAATGCTCCAACACTGGAAGTTTTTAAGAAGAGACTGGACATCCATTTGTCTGAAATGGTATAGGCTTTCCTGCCTGAGCAAGGGGTTGGACTAGATGACCTCCAAGGTCCCTTCCAACTTTATTATTATTATTTTGGATCATCGCACAGTCAGCCAGATGTTCAGACTGGATTTGGCATTTTGTCTACCTATCGAGTCCTTACCCAGGACCTGGGATAGGCAGATGTGGATGTTTGATGGTATTACAGATATCGTCGCAGGATGGAAGCAGTTCCTAGTAAGGCCGCCTTTTGCAATTGACTAATAGCGAATTTGTCAATGCCAATGGAGCCTATTATTATTGTTGTTGTTGTTGTTGTTATTATTATTATTATTATTATTATTATTATTATAGATCTTAACCGTGTTTGTTTACTGAATGATTCTTTATTATATTCTAGTCTTCAGAGTAGACTAGAAGAAAGCTTATTAGTAATACTGACAGATCTCCCTAGTGGTTAGGACATTCTTGGAACTGGTTATTTTTCTTCTGTGCTGGAATGAAGACAGAACAAAGCCGATTGGCGTGTTGCTGCTGCCGTCGTGTGGTCTGTGGTGGAAGAGCAAGTAAGACTTTCTGGATAACCTTTCCAACTTCTGCAGAGGTGACCCAGTACAATTTCATTGTATTCTTAAGAGTGTTTCAGGATAAGATTGGCTAATCTGCTGGTTGGCAGCCCATAATCTTCAATAGAAGTGAGAGGATTATGCCATATGGGATTTCTAAGAGGGCTTCAGAAGCCCGTCTTAGCTCCGTGTTCTCCAGATGTGTGGAACTTCTCAAAATCTCCTGCCAATATAGCCTTGGGCTGTAGATGAAAAAGGCAGTGATTTTAATTGCTTTGCACAACCCACAGGCAGCTTTTCGGAAAACAACCGTCTGCAAGAACTATTTGTTGGCAGTTAGAAGCACAGATATTGTTGCTATCCTCCGCAACTCCAAATTTAAAGCTAGATAAAATTGGCAGAACGCTATGAATATCTGGAAGGTTAAAGACATAAAGATCGGATATTTGTTTGTTTATCCATTTACACAGATTTAAAATGCTGTTTCTTGCACTAAACGTTCTCGAGTATATGGGTTTTTTGTTTGTTTGTATCTAATTTCGGTCAGATTGTGATGGTTGGAACAGTGGTGAGATTCAAATAGGTGAACAACTGGTTCTCTGTGTGGATGCCGCTTCTGGAAGTCCATTCTGGGCCTGGGCAACAAAAAATTAGCTACCAGCTCTGCTGAACTGGTGCAAACTGACTGAATCCCACCACTGGGTTGGAATATCCGTGGACTTTAGTTGAGGTTGCTAAATCTTTACTATAAAGTCCCCTTACTCAAATTGGGCATCCTTAGAGATTGGTTAGAATCTTGGGGGTCCCAGGCCCCACATCTGAAGAGTGCCAAGGCTAAGAGAAAAATCTCCCCAAGACTGTGAGAAGTCAAATCCAGACTTTACGATGACTGCAAACCGTGCAGTTTCTCTTTGCTGCTTGACAGCGGCTTCGCTCATGGTAACTTTTGCTTAAACTGCAAAAATGGAATTAAAACTTCCTGTTTTCCAGGATGGCTGCTCTCCTTTCTGAGTGGTTGACAGCTATTTCCCAGGAGGTGGGATCCCTTAATGTTGCCATAAAACAAAATGAAGGCTTATATTTTCCTGTGCCTGTTCACCTCTGCAAAGAAGCAGCAATAAAAAAAAGCAGGTTGTTATTGCCTCTCCACTCTACTGAGAAGATAAAATTCTTGTTTGTCGTTTGAATGAAAAGCAGCATTAGTAGGCCTAATTATTGCCCTTGTGGGGCATTAATGGGGGTGTGATGGCTCAGTGGTTAAAGACACTGAGCTTGTCAGCTGGAAAGCTTGCTAGCCTGGGTTCGTTACCTGAGCACTGTGCAATGGGGTGAGCTCCCGTTCCTTGCCTCAGCTCCTGCCCACCTAGCTAGCAGTTTGAAATGTGAGTAGATAAATAGGTACCACTTCGGTGGGATGGTAACAGCTCTCTGTGCACCTTTGGAGTATAGCCATGCTGGCCCTATGACCACAGAAGATGTCTTCAGACAATGCTAGCTCCCTCGGCTAAGAAACAGAGATTATCCCCGCCCCTTAGAATCAGACATGGGTGGACAGATAGTCCTCAACTTACAACAGTTCATTTAGTGACCATTCAAAGTTACAGCAGCACTGAAAAAAGGGTCTTATGACCATTTGGGGACCCTTGCAACATCCCCACAGTCACATGATCAAAATTCAGACGCTTGCCCACTGGTTCATATTTACGATGGTCGCAGCGTCCTCCTGGGTCACGTGATCCCCTTTTGCAACCTTCTGGCAAGCAAAGTCAACAGGGGGGAGCTAGATTCATTTAACAACCATGTTACTCACTTAACGACTGCAGCTGAACAAATGTGGCAAGAAAAGTCATAAAATGGAGCAAAACTCATTTAACAAATGTCTCCCTTAGCAACAGAAATGTTGGGCTCAATCGTGGTCGTAAGTCGAGGACTACCTTTATTTAAGCACAGTACAAGAGCTATTTTTGCCCATCACAGCCCCGTGAGGTAGATCGGGCGAAGAGTAAACAGCCAGTCCAAAATCCTCCAGTGAATTGGCAGGGCTGAGGGTGGAGTAGAACTAGGCCTCCTTGTTCTTAGTCGTCCCAAAGGTGCTTTTTCACGTAGCAACTGGACTTTCTTGTTTTTCTTTGAAGACATTTCACTTCTCATCCAAGAAGCTTCTTCAGCTCTGACTGGATGGTGGGGGAATGGAAGGATTTATACTTCTTGCAGACAGCTGGTCATTTGCCTTCTTTTAGAAAGTCATTGAGGCCACCTGGAGGTTTACCTGTGATCTCAGGGTCATCTGAGTGGTGCAAATGGGTGTGACCCTGAGGACACAGATAAAACCTCCAAGTGGCCTCAACGACTCTCTAAAACAGCGGTTCTCAACCTGTGGGTCGGGACCCCATTTGGGGTCGAACGACCATTTCACGGGGTCGCCAAACAGCGCAGTCCTCCATTTTTCCCCCCTTTTCCTTAGCTGTGCTACTCCCTTTTATTCTATTGGCTTTTGAAAGCCAATAGAATAGACTCTCTTGAATAGAATCTAATTCTATTGGTTTTCAAAAGCCAATAGGAATTGTCCAGGCTGTCTCTGCCCTGCGGAGCCCGCCAAAAGTCCCATTCTGCAAACGGTGCTGCACCAGTTTAGTAGCCCTCGACTTGCGACCGGTTGGGGGTCGCGGCATTAAAAAGGTTGAGAACCACTGCTCTAAAAGAAGGCAAATGACCAGCAAATTTTGATCACCTGATCATGGGGACACTGCAACAGTCGCAAGGCTGAAAACCAATCGTAATTCACTTTTTTTGGCGCCCATGCCACTAAACGAATGGTTGTACCTGCAATCGTGCCTCATGGATACAGGGTGCGATCCAATCCGGAGTCCTCCGGCCTTCATGGTGTGTCAGAAAGCAGGTGGACAGGCAGCCCCTCTTCAGGCTTCTGTTGGATTAACGGTGGGAGATGTTTACTGGCTGAGATCGTTAGACCTCTTCTAATGGTGTGGAAAAGCTGCTTTCTGCGTGATCAGCACTCGCCGATAAATAGTCTGCAGGGACCGATTACGACTCGTTCACCTCAACAATAGGTCAGGGCAGAGCTAAGGTGATTAGATGGGATTGCTGGGTGTGCAAAGGAGTGCAGTTCGTGTGTGCAAGCCTTCTATGCAAACAAGCGTGGACTTTCACTCAGTGCTGGGGAAAATCACTGGCCATGAAGGGGCAGAGCAGCTTTGCCTTCAGCTCCTTTGCATTAAGCAAATCACTGTGGTCGTTTGAGTGAGACATCACAGGACCGTGACTTGTGATCTTTCCCTCTCGGCTTCCCCTTTGATTGTTGCTTGTTTGCAAGTTCCCCCCGGGAAGTTTGCATATAGGGATCACGTGATTGCTGGATGCTGCAATTGTTGTAATTACAAGCTGGCTATAAGTGCCCCGATTGTGATCTTGTGATTGCATGATTAAGGGGGAAAAAAAACCCCATTCTGGAGATTATAAATTGATTTCAATGGCTCCAGAATGGGCACCCATGACTGAAAACTCATACTCATTTTGAAAATTCATAACCATTTGCCCGAAGTGGTAGAGGATCTCCTGCTCGAGCAGGGAGCTGGTCTTGATGACCTTCAAGGTCCCTTCCAGTTCTGTTATGCTGCCTTCTGTCTGTGATTACCTACTTAGTGATTAGGGTGCTTAGCAGCTGAGTTGCCGGTTTCAATTGTGATTGCTAAGTGAGGACTCTATCCTGCTCCTGCATGTGTGAATGAAGGCATGGAGACCAATGAAGTCCCGCCCCAAGGGATTGACTTACATCATCTCTTGGATGTTTCCTTTATAGCCGTTCCATGATTTTTTATGAAACAAAGCTTTTAGGGATTGCAAGCTGGCAAACGGCTGCACTTTGGGAAAGGCTTATGAGTTGAAATTGTTTCCTTTCCACTTTTCTTTTGGAGGGAGAGATGATTTATCGGGTTGTATTAATGAGGTGTTTACTTTACAAGGGAGTGGAACTGTAATTACGAAAAAGTGATTCTGGCTGTTGATGTCCATCCGCGGGACCGTCTTGCAGCTTTTTAGTGCCATGT